GTTCCATTTCCAATCCAGCTCTCTGCTGATGGCCTGGGAAAACCAATGGAGGATGTCCCAAGTGTTTGGGCCCCTGCACCCATGTGGGAGACACAGAGGAAGCTCCTGGCTGCTGGCTTTGGCCTGGCCCAGCCTGGCCATTGAGGCCATTTGAGGAGTGAACCAGCAGATAGAAGATCTCTGTCTCTCTCTATATATAACTCTACCTTTCAAATAAATCCATCTTTAAACAACAACAACACAATGACAAAAAAAATAAATTTAAAGATGGAATGAAAGTACAGAAAAAAGACATAACATACTGATATTTTTTTAAAAAGCAGAAGTAACTATATTAATAGCAGACAAAACAGACTATAGGACGAAGAAAAGGTATTGGGAATAAAGAGAAACAGTAGAGATTAAAGGGGTCAGGTCTCCAAGGAGACCTAACAATCCTTAACACACATGCACCCAACAACAGAACATCAAAATACATGAGGCTAAAACGTACAGAACTGAGAAACAGATGACCCTGCTATCACAGTGGCAGACTCCACCCCTCAGTCCGTAAGTGGAGACCCAGCCAGCTGCAGCAAATGGGCCAGAACACAGCCGAATGCAACAGTACCATCAATCAGCTGGACCTGGTGGACAGCTACAGCCCTACTTCCCCTACCTGTGGGTGATCCGTGAGACTGCCTGCCTAGGCTATGCTGTTAGCCTGACTGCTGGCAGACAGCCAGAGCCCAGGGCACGTTTCCCCCACTCCTGCTTTCTGCCAATCAGGTAAATTGCTACTAGCCCACATGACCTTCAAGCTGATTGGAGAAGCATAGTGGTGCCAAAATTGGCTCTATCCTATAGAATCAGTATTGCCCTGAATGAGTTATCCCCTCTCTGCCTGCCCTTTAAAAGATGTGCTTGGTTGTAAATAAAGTGGACATGTTCACCAAAACCTGTCTCTGGTGCTTCTTGTTGAAGAACTGCCTTCGCCCTACCCATGCTGACAGGGTGCAGGCCTTGCGGGATGAGCCCGCACCCTAACAACAGCAGAGGGTGAGTTATACACTTCTCAAGGCCACATAGAACAGATTCTTGGCCATAAAACACACCTTAACAAATTTAATAGCCTATAAACCATAAAAGTATGTGTCACATGGCAACAGAATCAAACTAGAAATCTATATAGCAGGATTAGCTAGACATCTCCCAAAACACTTAAGAGATTAAATAAGAGACTTCTAAGTAAGTCATGGATCAAGGAACTCTCAAGATAATTTTTTAAAATATTTCAAACTAAATAAAAATGAAACCCTAAGTTTTCAAACGCTGTGAGATGCAGCAAAAGCCATGTTTGAAGGCAAATTTATAGCACTGAGTGTATGTTTTAGAAAAGATGGAGAATCTGAAATCAATAATCTATCGCTTCTTGGCCTTTTGGCTAAGATCAAGTGAAATCAATAATCTAAGTTTCTGCCTTAGGAAACTAGAAAAAGAGAAGCCAATTAAATCCAAAGTCAGGAGGAAAAAATATCTGAAAGCTAGAGAAATGAAATAATAATAAAAGTAGAATAATATAAATAATTGAAAAATAATAGATAAAAATCTAATTCTCCCATCTGTCGATTCAGTCCCTAAATGTCCACAACAGCTGGGGCTGGGCCAGGCTGAAGCCAGAGGCCAAGAGCTCCATCCAGGTCTCCCACATGTGTGCAGGAGCCCAAGCATTGGGGCCATCACCTGTTGCCTTCCCAGGCACATTAGCAGGAAGCTGGATCAGAAGTGGAGCAGCTGGGACCTGAACCAGCACATATGGGATGCTGGTGTTACAGGCAGGGTTTAACCCACTGTGCCACAACACCAGTCCCTAGGACATTTTTCTGACAGTACTTTTTGGCACAGTCCAGCATCTGGAGCCATGTTAGTGTTTTACATATGCAGAGAAGGAAATCAGTATTGCAGAGGATGGATAATTTTTATACACACTAAAACTGAACACAAAAATCCCAAATGAGGCCGGCACTGCGGCTCACTAGGCTAAGCCTCTGCCTGCAGTGCCGGCACCCTGGGTTCTAGTCCCCGTTGCTTCTCTTCCAATCCAGCTCTCTGCTATGGCCCGGGAAGGCAGTGGAGGATGGCCCAAGTCCTTGGGCCCTGCACCCGCATGGGAGACCAGGAGAAGCACCTGGCTCCTGGCTTCAGATCCTGGCAATGCGCCGGCCGTAGTGGCCACTTGGAGGGTGAACCAACGGAAAAAGGAAGACCTTTCTCTCTGTCTCTCTCTCTCACTGTCTAACTCTGCCTGTCAAAAATTAAAAAAAAAAAAAAAAAATCCCAAATGAACCAAGTTTCTTATCAACATAGTTGTTTATCAACCAAGTTGTTTATCAAATAAATATAACCACCTGAAGGGGGCCTAGGAAAGAACCTAAGTCGTGTTTGAACCCAGGCCTGGGACTCCACATCTCAGGTCACAAAGCCCGAACATCCCGATACTGGCCACTGATTAGCAGGGCCTTTTCTACCGAGCCACAGATTGGCACTTCTGAAATCACTGTATATGCACTGGAGCACTGAGCAAGTAGGAAGATGTATTGTGTAATTTTGGAGCCAGTTTCTCATTGTCAGAGAAAGAAGTTGTTGGCCGGCGCCGTGGCTCACTAGGCTAACCCTTCGCCTTGCAGCTCCGGCACACCGGGTTCTAGTCCCGGTCGGGGCGCTGCATTCTGTCCCGGTTGCCCCTCTTCCAGGCCAGCTCTCTGCTGTGAACAGGGAGTACAATGGAAGATGGCCCAAGTCCTTGGGCCCTGCACCCCATGGGAGACCAGGAGAAGTACCTGGCTCCTGCCATCGGATCAGCGTGGTGCGCCGGCCGCAGTGGCCATTGGAGGGTGAACCAACGGCAAAAGGAAAACCTTTCTCTCTGTCTCTCTCTCTCACTGTCCACTCTGCCTGTCCAAAAAAAAAAAAAAAAAGGCAAACGGATTTAGTCCCTAATAATAAAACCTAAAAAAAAAAGAAGTTGTAACTATGAAAGGAAGGATCAAATAACCACTGTGAAGACATGATAGACAGATGATGATATTATGGAAAATATTAAAATAAATACATAGGAGGGTTTGTATATTTGTGTATATGCATTCAAATAATGCTACTTTCATCATAGATGAAGTTTTCAATGACTTTTATGTAGATTCTCTATTCATTCCTTTGGTGTACTTTTCTGTTCCTGTGCCTGCTGCATTCTTATAAATTAACTTTGATATTCTTGCTTTTATTATTATTTTTTTTATTTGACAGGTACAGTTATATAGTGAGAGAGAGAGAGAAAGGTCTTCCTTCCGTTGGTTCACTCCCCAAATGGCCACTACGGTCAGCACTGCGTCGATCCGAAGCCAGGAGCCGGGTATTTCCTCTCGGTCTCCCATGCGAGTGCAGGGACCCAAGCAGTTGGGCCATCCTCCGCTGTCCTCCCGGGCCACAGCAGAGAGCTGGACTGGAAGAGAAGCAACCAGGACTAGAAACCTGGGGTGCCGGCGCCACAGGTGGAGGATTAGCCAAGTGAGCCATGGCGCCAGTGCTTTTATTATTTGACATTTATTTTAGAATTAGTTTGGGAATACTCATTGAAAATCTTGTTAAGAATTTGGTTTAAGGGGCCAGTGCTATGGCATAGCAGGTAAAGCTGCCGCCTGCAGTGCCAGCATCCCATGTGGGTGCTGGTTCCAGTCCTGGCTGCTTCACTTCCAATCCAGCTCTCTGCTATGGCCTGGGAAAGCAGTAGAAGTTGGCTCAAGTGCCTGGGCCCTTGCACCCACATGGGAGACCTGGAAGCTTCTGGCTCCTGGCTTTGGATCGGCCCAGCTCTGGCCACTGAGGGCCAATTGGGAGTGAACCAGCGGATGGAAGATTCCTAACTCTGCCTTTCAAATCAATCAATCAATCTTTGGGAGGAAATGATTACATTTGTAGACAGATACATGCAGAATTGACATCTCTTGTCAGATTATCCCCAAGTATTTCATATTTGTGATACTATTATAATAGTATTTTTATTTCAAGTTTCACATATTTGTCATTAATATAGATGCTCCTTGACTTTCTTTTCTTTTTTTAAGATTTATTTATTTGAAAGGCAGAGTTAGAGAGGAAGAGGCAGAGAGAGACAGGTCTTCCATCCACTCAGATGGCCGTAATGGTCAGAGCTGCGCCAATCTGAAGCCAGGAGCCAGGAGCCTCCTCAAGGCCTGGGAAAGCAGTAGAAGATGGCCCAAGTCCTTGAGCCCCTGCACCTGCGTGGGAGACCTGGAAGAAGCTCCCTATTCAGAGTGAGCTACATGCCCACCCTCCACCCTGTTGCTCTACTGTGGCCTCCAGTGGACTGGCTGATGTCCACCCACAGTAGTGAGGGTGGGTACTTACTTATTCCACTAATTCAAACACTAATCTGTCAAGATGGCACTGATAGTGGCCAGTTTGTTTAGATTCTCTTCTCCAGTGGGTTAATGACACTTCAGTGAGACAGAAGTAGACACGGTACAGTGAGGCTTATTAAGGTTTATAAAAGTCTGTTCCTCTCCCAAAACAGGCAGTCAGGAGACAGTACGGCCCCCTTTATTCCTGGTTTGGGGCTGTTGTCCCTAAAGCCTAAGGGTGTTAACCACAATGCTAACTGAATCATAATGATCGTATTGAGCATGTGCTGTAGCCCACAAACTGGGTGGTCTCAGGGTCTAACTTTCCACCTGACACACCCAGGAGTGGTTCACTAGCTATCTGGGCATCCCTTAGCCTGGTCAAGTTGATGCACAAAAAAGGGCCATCATGCTTCCCAAATGTGAGGGTTCTGAGATGCTTTTATGGACTCTAATTTCACTGTGATCATGGAATACAGGCTATATGGCTTCAATCCTTTAAAACCTACTTGTTCCTGTTGCACGGGCTACTGTACTGATTCAATCTTGGCAAATGATCTCTGTGTATTTGTGTTCTTATTATTCCGTTGTTACCAAGGGGAGTTTTTTTTTTTTTTTTTTTTTTTAAGATTTTATTTATTTGAAAGATAGAGTTACAGAGAGAGGTAGAGACAGAGAGAGGTCCTCCATCCACTGGCTCACTCCCCAGATGACCACAACGGCCGGAGCTGCGTCGATCTGAAGCTAGGAGCTTCCTCCGGGTCTCCCATGCGGGTGCGGGGGCCCAAGGACCTGGCCATCCTCCACTGCTATCCCAGGCCACAGCAGAGAGCTGGATGGGAAGAGGAGCAGCCAGGACTTGAACCAGTGCCAATATGGGATGGCGGCGCTTCAGGCCAGGGTGTTAACCCGCTGCACCACAGCGCCCCCCCCCCCTTAAAGATTTGTTTATTTATTTGAAAGTCACAAAGAGAGAGAGGGAGAGACAGAGAGATTTTCCATCTGCTGGTTCACACCCCAGATGGCCATAGGGCTGGACCTGGCTGAAGCCAGGAGTCTGGAGCTCCATCTGGGTCTCCCATGTGGGTGCAGGACTCAAGCACTTGGGCCATCTTCTGCTGCTTTCCCAGGCACATTAGCAGGGAGTTAGTTCAGGAAGTAGAGCAGCTGGGACTCAAACTAGTGACAATATGGGATGCTGGCACTGCAGGTGGCAGCTTAACCCATTGTGTCACAATGATGGCTCCAGCACCAAGCCCTTTTTAAGTGTAAAGGAGAGATGGGCATTTGGCCTAGCAGTTAGGCCACCTGCGGCCCACACAGGAACCTAGATTTAGTTCCCAGCTCTGGTTCCCTACGCTAACATACTGTCAGTGCAGACCTGGAAGGCAGCAGTGATGGCTCAAGTGATTGGGTTCCTATCACCTACACGGGAGACCTGGCTGTGGCCTCAGGCTCCCAGCTTCAGCCAGCTCAGCCAGGACCACCACGGTTGGAGAGCCTGGGTTCGATGTCCAGCTCCTGACTCTACCTTCCTTTTAATGAACTCTTGGGGACGGCAGTGATGACTCAAGTACGTGGGTTCCTGCCACCCACCAGGGAGACATGGATTGAGTTCCCGGCTTTGGTCCAAGGCCACTGTGTACATTTGGGAGGGAAGGAATGGAAGAAGAGAAGGAAGGAGGAAGAGACGAAAGACAGGGAGGGAGAATAAAAGGGGGAGCATACAGGAAACTGCTACTAGAAAAGGAATCCAGCCACCTAGTGGCATTTATGCTGTTTGAAGGGAGGAATCAGAGATGGGTCCCTGCAAGAAGCAGCCCCTGCAGGAGCCATGTGCACAATGGCTTCCCAAGGGAGGATGCCTGGCAGCGACTGGAGAGCCTATACATCCTGAGTGTTAACCTCAGACCAGGCTATGAGGGAAATTGAAGGCCACGTCCAAACCCAGAAGAGCTACCCAGGGATGGAGACCATGGCTAAATGCCTGGGCTCTTCCCTCTACTGGATGCGCTCTCCAGGTTCCCTAGGGCTTGTCCCAGCAGTGCGTGGGCTGTGTCTCTCCAGCAGTGCCCAGGGGATGGGCTCCACCTTACTCCTCTGTACCCTGCGGGATGGTGGTCATATGAACACAACCCACGACAGAGCCAAGGCATAAAAAGGCCTCACAGCCAAGAGTGGCAAAATGTTCCGTTTATGCTTTAGGAGAACATGAAGATAAATATACCTTACATATTACAAATTTTAATATACAGGAAAGACCCACGCCCTCATTTGTCTAAACAGTCTGCTTAGTTTTTAAACCCTGATGAGCACATGGCAGAACACACAGCAGGTGGCAGACCCCGGCTGGCTCAGCTGGGCTCACTGCACAACAGCACGTGGATATGCACTCAAGATCCCTGCCCAGTGCAGGCGCCAGGGGTCGGGGTTCAGCCAGCTAGGCCGCGAGGGCGTCACTTCCTGAAGCGCTTGAAGAGGGGGTGCACGTGTTTCGTGGTGGCCTTGCTCCGGGATGAGTGGTACTCCATGTATACCGTGTCGTCGGCCCCGGACATGGAACTCATGGTGCCGAAGCGGCGTGATGCCTGTGGGGAGGGGCAGTGGCATCAGTGTCGGGGCAAAGACGGTCCTTGTACGACATTCACAGTCCCCATCAGCTCAGTCAAAGCTGCCTAAGTTTAACGCATTCTGTGATTCACAGTAACACTGACCACCTACCACGGCCGAGCTCGGTTCTAGGCGTTGCCCGTGTACCTGCAGGCATGACCTCACCTAACCTCACAAGCATGGCAGTCCTCATATTCCAGAAGGGACGCTGAGGCACAAATGCGGATGCCCAGCTCCAAAGGAGATGGCACTTGAGCCTGGGCAGGTGGGCTCCAGCCTCTCTCCATAACCATACTGTCACACTGCCTCTCCAAAAATCAGGTTCAGAAACGGCCATCAACAGGAGAGAAGCCCCTGGAAGGTGCTACCGTAAGGCCTGGACTCAGGGAAAGCCGAGTCTTTCTGGTCTGCATCTTGGTCACCTCTTACTCGGGGACCCTGGGCCAGTACTGAATGTCTGCACTGCGGTGAACTCAGCTGTCAAACGGGGATGACCATGTCCGCCCTCACAGGTGGGAGTGAACAGAAACCTTACTGAGTCCGAGGCTGACCCAGAGCCCATCACACAATGGCAGGCGGCACAGGGGACGTGTGCAGCACCTGCACCTCGGGGGGCCAAGCTGAGACAGGGACTGCGCGAGGCCACCTGGGGACCTGTTAAGAGCAGGAAGGCGTCCTGAGGGGTTCTAGTCAGCAGCTTCGTCCTCACCCGGCGCCTGCCATGGCTCGCCCTCTGGCACCAACACCAGCAGAATTTCAAAAGCACCTGACTCCACTGCACTGATCTCCTTGGAAGGGCCTGATGAACTCCCCAGGAATTAACTGAGATACTCCCTTAAGGACACCTTAGAGTATTCACTTGGCACATGGCAGACGCTCAGTGTCTGCAGAGTAAGCGACAGGCTGAGCATTTTCAGAGAACTCTGCTGAAGCTGCCACATGAGGTGACCCGCAGCCCCATCCCACAGGCCAGAAGGCTCAGCTCCTTCACCGAGCAGGAAATCAGTGGCGAGCTGCCTCAGCCAAGGCCAAAGCCAAGAATGGCAATCACAGGCCCACGCCACTCTGCTCCCTTGGCAGGACCCCGAGGAGCCCCAGGTGTCCTGTTTGCCATCCAGGCTCCAACGTCAAGACACTGGCAAGCCCTCCTGGCAGACTGGGATGTGAAGGAGGCCACTCACAGCCCCTAGGGGGGTGGCTGTGCGCAGCCATAGGGAGGCAAGGGGACATGCACCATATGGTTAACAAGGGTTGCTTTTCTCTTCTCTATTTTCCTGTGTTCTTCAAGTGTTTCCGAAAAATCCCAGAGGCCCCTACACACACCCCCAGGACTCCGTGAAAAAGGCTGCCCTTCAGGAGCACCGACACCGGAACCTCTTGTTCCCACTCACCTGGCTGGACTTGGAGCCGAATTCTCCAGCCACCACCTCTTCCTCAGCGTCCAGATCGGTGGCTGCCAGCACTTTCTGTAACAGCTGCTGCTGCTCCTCTTTAGTGGAAAACGCCAGCTCTTCCTCCTCCATGCCCGCTAGCTTTGTGATCACCTGCAAAGCCCAAACCAGAAGCACTCTGCCTTCTGCTGTCAGCCCAGCCAGCCAGGTGGCTCCCAGCAACAGCCCTTCCGTGCTGTTCCACACAGCGGCTGTGGGAGTGGCCCTGCCCAGGGAGCTTGAAGGGACGAGGGAGGCTGGAGCTGCCAGCCCCCAGCCCACAGCATCTGATGGCTGCATATAGCAGAGTAGCAGGAGCCTGGGGATCTGGAAACCTCCACCTCCCTCGCACAAGAAGGGAGCAGACTGGAGGGCTCAGGCTGTGCCTCTGCACAGGGCCCATGGCTGTGCTGCGCATGGCACCCAGGGCTGCCAGTGGGAGCAAGTACCCAAAACAGAGAGGATGTTGGAATTCATCGACTAGATTTTTTTTAATTAATTTATTTATTTATTTATTTATTTATTTATTTTTGATAAGAGTGGACAGTGAGAGAGACACAGAGAGAAAGGTCTTCCTCTGCCGTTGGTTCACCATCCAATGGTCGCTGTGGCCGGCGCGCTGCAGCCGGCGCACTGCGCCGATCTGATGGCAGAAGCCAGGTACTTATCCTGGTCTCCCATGGGGTGCAGGGCCCAAGTACCTGGGCCATCCTCCACTGCACTCCCTGGCCACAGCAGAGAGCTGGCCTGGAAGAGGGGCAACCGGGACAGAATCCGGCGCCCCGACCGGGACTAGAACCCGGTGTGCCGGGACCACAAGGCAGAGGATTAGCCTAGTGAGCTGAGGCGCTGGCTTAGATTTTTTCTAACAGGGCAAGGGAACAGTACACAGCACGGTGGAGACTGGGTTTTCATTTCCATGGGAATAACTTACTGCCAGGCCTACCTCTCCATGCAGCGAGTGGAGCTGATTCTGTGAAGGGCCCCTCCCTGCCCCACTGCTATTCTATTTGGAAAGGCAGCCTGGCCTGTAGTTTTTGACAAGACCAGGAACTGGGGACCTTGTGTGTTCCAGAGAGTTCTCCAGTGAACCACAAAGGCTCTTTCCTTCCTTTCCAGGACTCTTCATCCATGTCACAAATAAAGGCCTCTGGGACACTAAATCCTGCCATAAACTCAGTATATGTGTTAACAGGAAGGAAACCAAATGCCTCAGCCAATGAGAGTTGGTGAAAGCTTTAAAATTCCCCACTACTCACTGGCTGATTCGCAGTAAGAGGGCCCTGAGGCCTGGAGTCGCAGGGTGTAACAGCTGATTAAAGGGAGAGCTCTTCCAGCCATGTGGAGGGGCACCCCCTGAGAAAGTGACCCCAAGACGCTCAGACTCAGTGCCAGCTGACACTGCCCCAGTAACTCATGCACACTCCAAGAGAGTCTGCAGCAAGGCCTCTGATCCCAGTGCCCACCACCTGCCTGTGGGCTGTCCCAGACTGCTGCTGACAGTCCCCACTTCTCCTGCAGGCCGGGGTACCCAAAAGGCCTTGGTCCTGGTTTCAGCAGAGGCCACACAGATACCAACCTTGAAGCTATAACCCTGATCTACCAAGAACCTCTGGCGTTTGGTAGAGTAAGCCATTTCCTGTGTGTCCTGGGACACCAGCGAGTAGAAGAAGGCATTGTACTCCTCTGCGACCATGCCTGTGGGGAGAAGGTGAGAGAAGTCAGGAAAACAACAGGAGCCACTAGAAGGCCGCAGCACAGAGGCTCTTGGGCAGCACTGGCGTGGGAAGCTCGGCAGGCAGCCACGGTCACCTCGACCCTGCACACGACTCCATCACAATGGCAGCCTCTCATGCTAAGGACACCATGAAGATGGAGAAAAGACAACCTGCAAAGTACACATCCGGTACGGGACCTGCCTGTACTTGTTCTAGACTACGTCAAGAATTGTGAAAACTCAACAAGACCACTCACTCAACTCTAACGCGGGCAAAGCATGTAAAGACATTTCTCCAGTGACAGTGTGCAAATGGCCAATGGCACGGGAAAGACATCAGCACCACAGATCATCAGGGAGAGGCAAGCAAACACATGTGGCCTGTCATCTACTCCCACTTCCACAGTAGAGGTAAAAAGCAAGACATATTCCTGTGGTCAAGCATGAGACTGGAACCGTCATCTACTTCTGGTGAGAATGTAAAATGTGGCAGTTGCTCTGGAAAACAGCCTGGCAGTTCACCAAAACGCTGAGTTAACACAGTTACCAGCACATGACCAGGCAACTTCTCTCCTAGGCACACTCATATAAGCAAGACCAAGAAAACTAAAGATCTATCCACAGAGATTTGCATTATTCTAAAATCAAAGAGTAGAAATGGCCTAAAAGTCAAGATGAATGGATAAAATGTGGTATGTCCACACAGAATATTATGTGGCAATAAAAATTATAGGGGAGGCGGGCGCCGCGGCTCACTAGGCTAATCCTCCGCCTTGCGGCGCCGGCACACCGGGTTCTAGTCCCGGTCGGGGCGCTGGATTCTGTCCCGGTTGCCCCTCTTCCAGGCCAGCTCTCTGCTGTGGCCAGGGAGTGCAGTGGAGGATGGCCCAGGTGCTTGGGCCCTGCACCCCATGGGAGACCAGGATAGGCACCTGGCTCCTGCCATCGGATCAGCGCGGTGCGCTGGCCATAGCGTGCCGGCCGCGGCGGCCAGTGGAGGGTGAACCAGCGGCAAAGGAAGACCTTTCTCTCTGTCTCTCTCTCCCACTGTCCACTCTGCCTGTCCAAAAAAAAATAAAGGGGGGGGGGGGGGACAGGCATTTAGTCTGCCAGCTAAGACACTGTGTCCCATACCAGACTATCTGGGTTCCAGGCCCAGCTCTGACTCCTCCCTTCAATTTCCTGCTGATGCAGACTCTGAGAGGCAGCAGTCAGCAATCAAGTACCTGGGTTCCTGCCATACATGTGGGAGACCGAAACTGTGTTCCCAGCTTCTGGTTCCAGCCCTGGCCCAGCTCCAGCCTTTGCAGGCATTTGGGGAGTGAACCAGTGGACAGGAGGGTGCTCTTTCTCTCAAATAAGCAAAAAACAAAGAATGAGATACTGGCACAATATGGGTAGTCCATTACGCTGAGCAAAAGCAGCAAGTCACAGGGGCCCCAATCTGTACGCCTCTACTTCCAAACTGTCCAGACAGCCATGAAGACAGGTGGGCAGGTCCCTGGGCCTGGGGGTGCAGAGGAATGGGAAACAAGGAATGACTACTGAATAGCAGGATTCCTTTCAGGGGGTGAGGAAAATATCCTAAAGATTGGGGTAATGGTTACACTTTCAAAATACACTGAAAACCACTGAACCGTATACTCAAAATGAAGCAATTGTATAATCTCTGAATTTTATCTCAACAAAACTGCTGGGGAAAAAAACAGCTCAGAGAGGAAAGCCTCTGTAACAGGGACACTTATCACAGAAACTAGGACAGAATATACCTGTCTTTCAGGAAAATCTGAACACTTTTACTTTCACGGTTCAAATGTCATCAGATAGAGCATGCGTACATTGCTGCTGTATCAACTGCTTCCTACAGCTCACAGTGGCAAATAGAGGGACCGGATGTCTGATCTCAGGAGATACTGTGTTGAGGGGCCAGCGCTCTGACGTGGTAGGCTAAGCCTCCGCCTGTGGTGCTGGCATTCCATGTGTGTGCAGTTCACGTCCCTGATGCTCCTCTTCCAATCCAGCTTCCTGCTGATGGCTTGGGAAAGCAGTGGAAGATGGCCCAGGTGCTTGGGCCCCCGCATCCACTGGGAGACGTGGGAGAGGCTTCTGGCTTCGGATTGGCACAGCTCTGGCCTTGTGGCCACTGGGAAGTGAACCAGCACATGGGAGACCTCTTTCTGTCTCTCTTATACTATTTTACTCAACTACCTCTCAAATAAATAAATCTTTAGGAAAAAAAAAGGATACTTGGAGTAAGAAAATGTAATTCTAATCAAATTCAAAGGAGCTTTCAAATCAGATTTGCTTCTGTTTTAAGAAGATTAAGGAGCAAGCAATGAATTGGCTGCACACCTGTCAGCAGTGACATCCTGACAGTTTATAAACAACTGTGCACTGGGCAGCCAGCTGTAGCCCATGCTATGTAAGCTCACCCTCCCATCAATCCTGCAAGGTAAGATGGTTACCCCTACTCTGATGTGAAAAACCAAGGCTCAGAGGAAATGACTTGCCCAAGGTCACAAAGCAGATCTGGTACCCAAATCCATGCTATTTCCACTTTTAGCCCTGTTTCCATTTCAGGTATAATCCTGGAGCTGTCTCCTAGAAACATCTGAGTAAGGTACAGATTCAAGATATACCCACTAACCTTCCTGTTTTCAAACATCCCAATAGTCCAGATGCCTCTTCAGATAAGCCTGGCTCTTTGGTCCCAGCAGGAGAGATGGGGCCATCTCCTGGCAGCAGTCAGTCTCTGAAGCGCCTCCCCACGGCAGTCTGGGCACTGTTACTATAGTTACTGAGTGCAGGAAGCCTGCCCCTCCCCAGTCAAAACCTTTGCAACAGTGCCACTGTACTTGGTTGCTTGCCAGCTCCACCCAGGCTCTTCACAGGTAAAGAGTGCTGTGCCATCCTGTGGCTGCCCAGGCTGCTCCTGCCACACCCTCCCTTCCTGTTGACTCCAAACCCAGGGCAGCTTCCAGCCACCCATTTCCAAGGGTGGCCCTTCTGTGTCTATACCATCAAGCTCTGCCCCATCCCTGGCAGCCTCTTCCCTAGCAACAGCACCACTCAGCTCAGACCACCGCCCTGGGAATTACAGGCCTTGGTCATGGGAAGACACCCACATATGCATGCCCAATGCATGCTGTGGGGGTCCCGGTCCGTGCTTTGGGGTCCCGTACATGCAAGACCCGAGCAGATCAGCAGCCATGGCCTCCCCCAAAACCACTTCTTACCTTTTTTAGCTCGGAGCACCCGCCCTAGCCTCTGTGCCTCCTGCCGCCTGGAGCCACCATGGGATGAGATCTGAATGAGGACATTTGCTTCTGGTAGGTCAAACGATGTGTCACCTACCTAGAGAAACGAGGCAGCAGTGAGTCTGGGAAGGTGCTGACACAGGACACAGAATGAGAAACAAGATCCACTGGCCCAGAACTGAAGGAAAGCCTGCAGATAATGTTAAAAAAAAACAATCTTTCTCCGCTCCAGGACAGGGGCTTTCTGATGCAGGCAGGGGGCGGCATGGGACCCCAGAAAGGTCTCTCTGGGCCTCTAGGCCCTAACCTGAGTTCTCCTAAAAGCCACCAGAAAGCATCACTGGCACCACTGAACCACAGTCACCTCCTGTCTCAGCACCTTGTGCCCTGCTGCGAGGGAGGGGCCTGATCAGCAGGGATGCACATGGAACAGTATGTTTTTGGATACAGTAACAGGTTTGCACAAAACCAGCCCGTCCTCTTACCTGGAGGGCAACAGCAGCAGCAGCATGTGAGGAACAATGTAGAACTTGGGAGAGGCCAGTGCCCCAGAGACCCTGACTGGGGGGCTGGCTCCAATCTCAAGGTTCCAGCCGTAGACAGGGAGGTCTAGTGCTCAACTGCACAGTGGAGTCTCAGTTTCCTGGCTTCTAAGCCGGTCTGAATCTGAGCAACTGTTCTAAAGTGTCAGGCCCACAGCTCTGAAGGCAGAGCAAAGCTGTCCAGAGCTGGGTCTGCATGAGTCTGTGCTGACGCTGGCCACCTACCTCCTGGGCACTCCAGGGGACAGGATGGATGCCACTAGAGTCACAGAGAACCTCATTCAAATGTCTATTTTTGTTAACTTCTGTCTTTTTGGAAAGGAAATGCAACTTAAAATTCCTAAATCTCCAAAAGAGGTGGGAAAAATGTGAGTTAGGCAAAGAGCCTTTACAGACTCATGAAAATCCTAAACCTGCTGCTTCTACTACAAAACAGGCAGATCCCTCCCCCCACCCCCAACCACCAGCACCTGCATGTGGGGATGCAAATGTGCATCGGAAGTTGCTTCTACAAACCTGAACCCACTGTCCAGGAATCAGTCTACCCCCAGCCCCAATGTCTCATCTCCACCTGCTGTGCAACACAGACCTTGGATATGAAGATGGTGTTGATTTTGGGATTGTGCTTGAAATTCTGGAGAATCTGCATCCTTTCCCCCTGGGATGTGGGGCCATAAATATAGGGTCTAGGAAAGAAAAAAGCTGTGTTACAGCTATCGCTGAACCACACCTCAGTTATCCTGAAAGCACTTCAGAGGGGAAAAGTGCTCAGCGAGGCTCTCCCAGAAGCCCCTGGCCATGCTGGCCCATCAGAGCCCACAAACCCACAGGCTGCAGACCACCACTGGCAGCCCTTCCCTTCTGATTCTAGGTGTAGACCCACCACTCCCTCCGGAATTCCCTCCTTCACTGTGTCTTCTCTTTGGAATGCGCTGTTCCCTGCTTCAACACCCCTAACTTAGACACGGTGCCTGAACAAGCAGAACTCCTGGATTTCTTCAAGACTGATGGGAGCAGCAGAGAACACTGCCATCCGCCCATCTCCCAGCGAAAGGCCTGACAAACTAACCCCCCAGTGACACAGTGTTCCCTAAGTAATGGGCAGGAAGGGGAGAAGAACCCTCAGACTTTTGCCTGCTGCGCTCCCACAATACTGCACATAAAACATTTTTAATTCCTAGCTCCCCTACTTAGAGGTCACCATACCCCGGTACCTGGGAAGGCCATACCCCTGCTGCTGTCTTGCATATGCTAGGGGTTGTATGTGGCTATCCAGCATAACAGCAAAGAGGTGGACAAAGACAGGTACCAGGCATATAGGACCAAGCTCTAGGCTTGGCATGACATTAAATAAATCAACCGTCCCATCCCATCAATGTTACTGAGAACTGTAAAAGGGAGCAGGTGCTGGGGCACAGTGGGGTCAGCTGCTGCTTGCAATGCCAGCATCCTATATCAGAGCACTGGTTCAAGTTCTGGCTGCTCTTACTTCTGATCCATCTCCTGTTAACTACCTGAGAAAGTAGCAAAGGATGGCCCAAGTGCTTAGGCCCCAGTTTTTATCTGGGGAACTAAGGTTCCAGAGCTTGAGGCGATACAGCCCAAGTATGGCTGTCCCCATTACCCCCGTCCATCCAGTCCTATCAATGCCCTGGGCAATGCCTGTTAAGGGTCCAGGACGCACTGCTTTTGCTGCTCCCCAAAGCTGCGTTATGAGATGGTTAACAAAACAAAACAAACTTGAAGGAGAGTCAGTACAGGGCACAAAAGGAAGCTGCAAAAGTTTTCATAGCCTCTTAGAAGACACTGTGTGCTCACACGGCAAGAACAGTTATCAAGAAAGAACTCAGGAAAAGTAGTCAGGCTCTAGAGAAAGACAGAAAGTAAAAAGCTGTTGTGGTGCAGCGCAAGCCTGCATCCCCTGCAGAAGGGCTAGTTCAAGTCCCGGCTGTTCTGCTTCCCATCCAGCTCCCTGCTAATGCACTTGAGAAGGCAAAGGACGATGGCCTAAGTACTTGGGTCCCTGCCACACATGGGAGACTTGGATTGAATTCCTGACTCTTGGCTTCAGACTGGTCCAGCCTAGGCCATTGTGGCCATTTGTGGAACCAATCAGTGGATAAAAGATCCCTGTCTCCCCTCTCTCTGTGATTCTGTTTATCAGATAAACAAACTGTTTTTTTATTTTTAAGACTTACTTATTTATTTGAAAGTCAGAATTATAGAGCAAGAGGGACAGACAGAGATAGATCTTCCATCTGTTGGTTCACTCCCCAGATGGCCGCTACGGCCAAGGCTGGACCAGCCCAAAGTTGGGAGTCAGGAGCTTCTTCCAGGTCTCCCACATTGGCACAGGGGCCCAAGCACTTGGGCCATCTTCCACTGCTTTCCCAGGAGCATTAGCAGGGAGCTGGATCACAAGTGGAGCAGCCAGGACTCGAATCAGCACTGATAAGGGATGCAGGCACTGCAGACAGCAGCTTAACCTGCTGGGCCACCAGACCAGACTCAATAAATCAATCTTCAAAAAAAGAGAAAGCAACAAGATTAAAAAAAAAAAAAAAAAGGAAAAAATATTAAAAAACTGGACAAGTTGAGCAGAAGACCTATTATCTGACAAGGGATTCCAAAAAGAAAGAACAGAGAAAACATACACAAGATGATAAACAAAGAAGAAACAGAAATTCTCAGAACAGAAGGACACGAGATTCCAGATGCAGAGGGCCTGAGTGGGACAGGCATCTGGTACCGGGGTTAAGACATTGCTTGGGGGGGCCGGCGCCGTGGCTCAACAGGCTAATCCTTCTCCTTGCGGCGCCGGCACACCGGGTTCTAGTCCCGGTTGGGGCGCCGGATTCTGTCCCGGTTGCCCCTCTTCCAGGCCAGCTCTCTGCTGTGGCCTGGGAGTGCAGTGGAGGATGGCCCAAGTGCTTGGGCCCTACACCCGCATGGGAGCCCAGGAGAAGCACCTGGCTTCTGCCTTTGGATCAGCGCAGTGCATCGGCCGCAGTGCGCCAGCCGCGGCAGCCATTGGAGGGTGAACCAACGGCAAAAGGAAAACCTTTCTCTCTCTCTCACTGTCCACTCTGCCTGTCAAAAAAAAGATTCTAAAAAAAAAAGGACACTGCTTGGGATGCCTACCTGCATCTTGTATTCGAGTGCCTGGGTTTGAGTACCAGCTCCACTTCTAATTCCAGCTTCCTGCTAATGCACGCCCTCAGAGGCAACAGTTGATGGCGCCAGTACATGGGTTCTTGTTACCCACTAGGGATGCCTCGGGAATTTCCTGGCTCCTGGTTTCAGCCTGACCCAGCCCTTGATGTTGCAGGCACTTGGAGAGTGAAGAGTGGAAGTGCGCTCTTTCTCTCTCTCTCTCTCTCTCTCTCTCTCTCTCCCCCCACCTCTCCCTCTCCCTCTCCCTCCCTGCCTCTTAAGTAAAAATAAACAAAAATTTCATAGATTTTATTTTTATTATTAAAAAGGGGAAAACAAGGGGCTTCAGTACCTATCATAGTGAAAGAAAAAAGACCATCCTAGACTTAGGATTGATTGAAATCTCCAAAAAATCACCTCCTGAAAGAAGGAAAACAGACAAGCACCACTACCAGTCACAGAGAAAGAAACCAGAGAGCACCAGACTTCCAAGCAGCCTCACTGCAAGCTTCAATATTGCTTCCAAGGCCCAGTCAACTTGCTGATCAGATGCAAAGTTCTGTAAAGGCACTTGTGAACATTCAGTCTTACAAACTTTCCCTCCAGCATCCCTCCTCTCAAGAATCTAATGGGGCATGTGCTCCATCCAATGAGTGACCAAGAGAAGAGTACAGACTTGAGATGAAGAAATAGGGGCCCAGGGAATTCATGGGGTGATTTCCAAGGGAAGCCCCATGATGATAGCCAGGCCAGAGCAGAGCAGGAGGGTGGAGTGCTGGTGGGGATTCCACTGGACAGAGAAAACCAGAACTGAGGGGTTACCTGACCCTGCTCAAAGGGAATTTACGGTTACGTGAAGAGTATGGAAAGGAGGAATCATTGTATATGCAAACCTAGCAAAAGCAACCAGGGGCAGGCGTTGAACCTTGTGGTTTAGACACTGGGTTGGGACACCTGCATCCCATATCAGAGCGCCTGAGTTCAAGTCCTAGCTCTGCTTCCAATTCCAGCTTCCTGCTCATGTGCACCCTGGGAGACAGCAGGAGATGATCAAGTACTTGAGTCCCTGTCACTCACCTGGGAGTCTTAGACTGAGTTTCAGTTCCTGGCTTCAGCCTGGCCAAACCCCGGCCAAACCCCTGCTGTCTGAGGCATTTTGATAGTGAACTAGCAGATGAGGGTTCTCTGTCCAATATGGGATGCAGGCATCCCACAGTGTTAACCACCTTGCTAAAAGCCCACCCCAGAAATTCAATCTTTCTAAGCCTGTGTTTTCCTTCGTATAAAATGGGAATACCTCCTGGTATGGCTGAGATGAGGAATAAATAAAACATACGTACAGTATGCCCAGCATCCAGCTTGCTAAGGAGAAGCTGGTCTATATTCATTCACCCCTTGCTGCCCTCACAAAAAGCATCATGGCCTGTGTCCACGGAGCACTTTGCCTACTCCGACGCAGCACCTGCGGCCCGGCATCACCATCTGGGGAAGCCTCTTCCTCTTCATGTGGCAGGAACTTGGCCACAGCTAGGTTGAAGCACACGCACTGGGGTGGGGCTATGGGCTGATGAGCATGCTGGGTGTTACTGAGAAGTTCTTGGATGCCAGTCCACACCTGGGATGCTGGCCCAGCCCCCTTTGCCATCCAGCTCCTTGCCCAGACAGTATGGCCTCATCATTGCCCATAGCATTCTCCCAGCCTGAAACTCCAGAAGCCAACCTCATGCAGCTTTGGAGCCCAGATGTGAGGAAGCAGCTCTCCCAGCTACGCACAACTCTGACCCCTGCTCTCTGGGCTGGAGGGGACCAGTCCCTCTTGCCTCTCTGCTCTAACCTCCATCTCTGATCACCTGCTTCTCTGTCTTGCCTGGGTCCTGAGAGCAGTGACAGAGCTTTAGAATCCAAGAAGTTCCCAAGAGCTTCAAGGATCAAGGCAGTCGCCTTGTGTATTCTCGGTGAGGAAAACGAAGCTTTCAGGGCTTACTTGTTCAGCCGAATGGCGTACTCCTTCAGAGCAAACACGTTGTCAGCAAACACAATAATCTTGTCATTCCTCCTTTCATGAAACTTGATCAGAAACTGACAAGCCCTGAACTTGTTGGGGTTCATGGTGTACAGCAAGATTCGTTTCTTGGTTTTGATTGCCACATACTCCCGGTAAAATTCGGGTGACATTGGGCACCAAACCTGTGATGCATTAAGAATCAAGGATCATTTTACAGGTTTAAACATCACACAACTGTAAACTTTTAAAGCCCGTTCATCTTCTAAAAGCAAAACCAACGGTATATGAATTATGATTTCAACACAACAACAAGTCCATGCATGCACAAAATCAAATCTAACACTGAACTGGACACTCTCATGTGCCCATCATTTAACACCTATTTTTAAATAGTTATACCCAGGGAACTAATTTTACACCAGATACTGAACTACAGTTTTGTTTTTCTAAATGGTATTGGTTAGCAATTCTAAAATTCCTTTGTGTATATCATAGGTCCAAACTAATAAGTAAGTGAACTTTCATGGATAATGGAAGCCAAGTTTCTCACTGTCTGAGAAAGGAATTATAAACAGGGAAAGTTAGAATACAATTTGTGGGGGCCGGTGCTGGGGCGCAGTGGGTTAACGCCCTGGCCTGAAGCACCAGCATCACATATGTGCGCTGATTCTAGTCCCAGGTGCTCCTCTTCTGATCCAGCTCTCTGCTATGGCCTGGGAGAGCAGTAGAAGATGGCCCAAGTCCTTGGGCCCCTGCACCACGTGGGAGACCCGCCAAGAAGCTCCTGGCTCCTGCTTCGGACGGCACAGCTCTGGCCGTTGTGGCCAACTGGGGAGTGAACCATGGGAGGAAGACCTCTCTCTCTCTCTCTCTCTCTCTCTCTCTGCCTCTCCTCTCTCTGTGTAACTCTTTCAAATAAATAAATAAATCTTTTAAAAGAATACAATCTGTGGAGCTCGTGGTTTTTAATGTGCACAGACAGATGAGAAACGGATACAGATGTGTGTACATGCACACACACACACTTGTAGCTCCGTCTACTGAGTTAGCCTCGCCATGACATTCTGACAGTAAAGAACACACCTCTACTTTGGTATTAAAATCCCATCCTTGCTCCTTTCTTTCCCAACTGCCGAGGTACCTACCAGCATCATGACCCACACAGTAACTGCCTGGCCTAGGCAGTCCAGGAGCAACGGATGACTGTAGAGGGAACAGCCACCAATGTCCTTCACTCTGGGAAGGCAGCTGTGCCGAAGACAGCAATTTGAGAAAAACCAGCCAAAAGGTACCAGACTACACTAATATCACCTTCTATCTGGATCCAGAACACATTTTGGTGGTGGCACTGGCTTTGGCATCATTTATGAACCCTTGGATTATGCAAAAACAAAATGAGCCCAAACATAGACTTGCAAGACATGGCCTGTATGACAAAAAAACCTCAAGAAAACACTAACAGGAGCACAAGAACAGGGTGCAAACACTCAGGACTGCAAAGGCCAATGTCAGTGCTGGCAAAAACCAGCTGTAGTAGACTCTACAGTTACTGTGAAAATTCTTCATGCTAATAGGCCAGTAACTTTTAAAATAATTAATGTTTTTAAATTCTAAATTCTGTTGTCTACTTAAAGGTGCCAGGGCTGCTTGGGGAAATGCTGAGTCTAGGCCCAGGGGAAGGAAGGTACCCAATGAGACTAGAATCTCCCTGTGCTGCAAGGCGAGGATGTGCTCAAAGAAAGATGGGGACACATCAAATGGACACAGGAGCTAGAGGGGAAGGGGTCCCACAGGTTAAGTCTGGGACAACTTGGACATCCAGATAAAACAGAGTCCTGCTCTGCTGATAAGAGAGCTCCTCCATGCTGATAAGCTGAAGGAGGCGTGTACAAATGTACTCAAGCGCCAACGAGCTTTAAAGCACGTAAGGCTGTGCAGACCAAAAAGGGCCCTCCAGGAGCTGTGCTGTGGCACAGGCCACAGAACCTCTGCTGCCAGGCTCTGAGGTTGTGGCTGTGACCTATGCCACTCATCTGATCACCACAGACCATGTCTATTCATGTGGCCACCACTGTGCAATCACTGGCCACTACTACATGCCAAGCACTGCCGTGAGCTCAAAGCCATTGGTGGTGTGATATTAAGTTTCTGCCTCTCTCTGGGTCACATCCTATTGTGAGATCCCAAGAGAATTCCCGGTACTATGCTTTTTGCATAGTAACGTCTTTATATTCATACATTTCACAGATTATGAACCACAAGCCTGTAAACATATGTCACTGGTAAAGATAGGATAGCACAATTCAAACCACAAAGGGATGCCACTGCACACCCAATCAGGTCAGCAAAAACTTAAAGGGAAAAAAAAAAAATCAGCCGGCGTACTTGGCTAATCCTCTGCCTGTGGCACCGGCACTCCAGGTTCTAGTCCCAGCTGGGGCGCCAGATTCTGTCCCGGTTGCTCCTCTTTCAGTCCAGTTCTGCTGTGGCCCGGGAGTGCAGTGGAGGATGGCCCAAGTGCTTGGGCCCTGCACCCGCATGGGAGACCAGGAAGAAGCACTGGCTCCTGGCTTCAGATCAGCACAGTGGCCATTTGGGGGGTGAACCAATGGAAAGGAAGACCTTTCTCTCTGTCTCTCTCTCTCTCTCACTGTCTAACTCTGCCTGTCAAAAAAAAAAAAAAAAAAAAAAAAAAATCCACCATGAAGGGTAAGAGGAAAAAGGAGCGATCCTAGGTACCCCAGCACTTCCCAAAGTACTCTCATGTGTCTGTCAGATAGTGACTTTCACACTTGGGCCACTGTATATCACAAAACACATACAAACACATGGAGTTTTACCAAACAATATACACCCTTAGTCCATATTCTGTCAATCTATTCTCTACTGGCCATAACTCATCCTATTATGGGGCGGGGGGGGGGGGGGGGGTTGTCACAGTGCAGTGTGAAGAATACTGCTTTACAAAAACTCCTAGGGCCAGGGTTGTGGGTTGTGGTGCAGTGAGTTAAGCCACTGCTTGCCATGTTGACGTCTCATATCAGAGTGTTGGTTCCAGTCCTGGCTGATCAGCTTCTGATCCAGTTTCCTACTGACATGCATAGAAGGCAGCAGATGATGGCCCAAGTACTTGGGTCCTTGCTACACATGTGAGAGCCCCAATGGAGTTTCAGATTCATGGTTTTGGCCTGGTCTGGCTCAGCGCTGGCTCCTGTGGCCACTTAGGGACAGAACTAGCAGATGGAAGACCTCTCTGTCACTCTACCATTCAAATAAATAAATATTAAAAAGAAGAGAGAGAAGGTCTTATACAAGGGCACTGGAAATGGTATAAAAATATACACAGAGGGGCTAGCACTGTGGCGTAGCAGGTAAAGCCACCACCTGCAGTGTCAGCGTCCCATATGGGTGCCAGTTCAGGTCCTGACAGCTCCACTTCCAATCTGGCTCTCTGCTATAGCCTGGAAAGGCAATGGAAGATGGCCCAAGTCCTTGGGCCCCTGCACCCATGTTGGAGATCCAGAGGATGCTCCTGGCTCCTGGCTTCAGATCAGCACAGCTCTGGCCATTACAGTCATCTGGGGAGTGAAGCAGCAGATGGAAGACCTCTCTCTCTGCCTCTGCCTCTCTGTAACTCTGCCTTTCAAATAAATAAAATAAATCTTTGAAAAAAATATATTTAGCAACACTGTCATAATAGCAAAAAACTAAACTCTTAATTTATAGAGACAGAAAACAAATCAGATGCAAACAGGCATGATGGCCTTTTATGGGGAAATACTTTTATGGGAAAATACTCTGAAATTTACTAAAATCACAAATTTTACACTCAAAAGTGAATTTGATGGTGTATAAATAATATCCCAACAAAAATGTTAAAAAAATCTAAAACAAACCCTTAAGGATGGGCAGTTTGCCAAGTGGTTAAGACACCCATGCCCCACAGGGTACCTCGAGCATCCTGATAATGCAGACCCTGGAAGGAGGCAGCAATGAGGGTTCAAGTGATTGGGTTCTTGCCACCCACAGAAACTTGGATTTAATTCCTGGCTCCTGGCATTTAGGAAATGAACCAGTAGCTGGGAGCTCTATCTGCCTCTCAAATAAATAAACAAAACCAAAAATGGGGGAGGGAAAGAAGGAGCAATTCAAATGTCAACATTAGAAAGATTTTACTTCTATTGCTAGGTAGTATTCCAATACAGAACAAACTGTGGTATGTCTATATAATGGAATACCATACAGATATTCAAAGGAATGAGCTAGAGCTATATGCAAAGAAATAATGTGGGGCTGGCACTGTGGTGTAGTGGATAAACCGCCACCTGCAGTGCCAGTATCCCATATGGGTGCCAGTTCAAGTACCAGCTGCTCCACTTCTGATCCAGCTCTCTGCTGTGACCTGGGAGAGCAGGAGAAGATGGCCCAAGTCCTTGGGCCCCTGCACTGCGTGGGAGACCCAGAAGATGCTCCTGGCTCCTGCTTTGGATCGGTGCAACTCTGGCCATTGCAGCAATTGGGGAATGAATCAGTGAATGGACGACCTCTCTCTCTCCTCTCTGCCTTTCCTTTCTCTGTGTAACTCTGACTTTCAAGTAAAAATAGATAAATCTTAAAAAAAAAAAAATGTATTATGCAAAGAATAAAAACAATGAGAAAAGACAAGTCACAGAAAAACACATATAACCTCATTCCATTAACAGGAAACATAATTTTAAGCAGGCAAACATATATTCAAGGAAATATATGTAACAAATAAACTAATAAAGGAAAGCAAGAGATCAAGTTCCATGATAGTGATTACCCGGACAGGCAAAGAGGAGACACAACTGGAGAGGAAGACACCTGAAGTTTCTGGCAACAGTTTTTCACAGTGGGTGGTGATGCTACAGCATGACTGAGGGGTGTGGGCCTCTGTCACCTAAGGGAGTCTCTCTGCTCACTCTCACCTTTATCCAAGAGGCCCCTTTCTACCCTTTCAGGACAGGGGCCACTCCAGCCACTGAATGACAGTCATTTTAAGGTGACAAAGAATTCTTTTTGGGGGCTGGTGCTGTGGTGCAGTGGGTAAAGCCACTACCTGCAGTGCCGGCATCTCGTATAGGCACAGGTTTGAGTCCCGGCTATTCTACTTCCCATCCAGGTCTCTGTTTATGGCCTGAGAAAGCAGCAGAAGGTGACCCCAAGCCCTTGGGCTCTGTACCCATGTAGGAGACCTTGAAGAAGCTCCTGGGTCCTGGCTTCATATTGGCTCAGCTCCAGCGTAGGCCATTTGGGGAGTGAACAAGCATTTAGAAGGCTTTTCTCTCACTCTGTCTCTCCCTGTCTCTCTGTGGCTGGCTTTTGGATAAATAAATCTATAAAAAAAATTTTTTTGTTGCTCCTTCTCAGACGACTTCCCTTTGAACACACATTTTTTACACATATGCAGGTATTCTCTACAAAATGGTCAAGGCCACAGATTACCAAGAGTGCTGAATCAACAGGCTCTGACACTGGGTGGCACACATACAGGATCTCCCAGAGATCCAGGAGGGTGAGGGACAGGGATAACCCCACCAGGAGCTCACTCAAGGAGGAAGTGCATGGACCCAGCAGCTAAGCGGCCTGGGTCTGTATTCTGACTTCCATGTACAAGCTGTGTGACCCAGAACAAGGAATCCTGTTCCACTCATTTGTGAAGTAGAACAACTCCGCCCAGCCCCAGGTGACTGAGGGGAAGATACTGCACAAGGTGGCAGCAGTTTAGCTGGTCCCAACCTGATCACCTCTGCTTGCCTGTCAGAGCTTGAGCCAGATGCCCACCCACCAGGCCCAGCTACCTCAGCACACTGGACTTTGGCGATGTAGCCGTTGTTCTCCAGCTCCATCCAGTTGGCTTCATAGAGCTTAGGCCCGATCAGAAAATTTAAGTCGACAATCTTGTCATCTTCCCGGACGAGGGTTGCGGTCAAGCCCAGCTTGCAGTGGGCCTGCACGATGGTGAGCACCCGGCGGAACATCTTGGCTGGGGGAACAACGGAGCACGCTCTAAGACTCTGGAGCAGCACAACACAGACTTCGCTTTGACCTGGCTAACCCCCAAATGTCAGGCCAAAGGCACCTGACTCGAGACAGGAATGATGAAGTCAGATGCCTTCCCATTTCTTTTACCATCTGCCCAAAAGAGGGGCGAAGAGGAGAATCAGAAGCAGAAATGTGCTCTCCCTCTCTCCGGAGCTGAGTTATGGGGAAAAGCATAGAGGCAACCCAGAATGTCAGCTACAACACTTACATCATTAACTCTAAACTAAGCAAGGAGATTGTTCACCCTGAAACTTGTACCCAGCTTCTGGGGCAGTCAGCTGGGGATCTGGTGGGGAGAGAGGAACCAAAGGAGTCAGCTCTGCCCGGCTCCCAACATCTTCCCAGAAACCAGGCAGAAAGCAAAGCCCAAGGCAGCCCCGGAATCCCCGGCTCTGACTGCTCTGCCTCTCTCAGGAAACCCCTCACCACATCCTATCAAGTAGATTCCTTCTGGTCAACCAACAGCTTCCTTTCTTTTCAATGTTACAACTCTTTGTGATTTATCAAATCAGGTATGAGGCACTCATTTAAAAGGCTCAACGTATGTTCCTATGTGCTCCAATACCTTGAAGCAAGGTTAACATGTCTGATACATGATTATCTTAAAATATAAGTAAAGTCGGACTAGTGATACTTAAAAAATAAACAGCCATAACAACGTGAAAAAAGAAAAGAGACTGGAATACACCAAAACACAAACCAAAAACCTAAAAGCAAAGCAATGACAGAGGACTGTCTAACCCAAGTACACTGTCTTTACAGCTGTGAAACAGAATAGTAACAACGTGGTTTGCACACACATCACATGCAAACATAGATGACACACATAAGACAAACAACCAGCACCATGGTTGATGCCAAGGAGACTGTCAGTCTCCCTCTCTCTCTCTCAAACACACACATACACACACACACACACACACACAGTGTGGCAGACGGCTCGACATTTTCACGTGGGCACATGCCAGTGGAAGAAGAGGGTGTGTGTCTGTACCCCCAAATCCCCCAGCCCCTGCTGTCATGAGGAGGATACCACGGGTGTGACTTCCATCATCAGAGAGGAGTCTGTCTCCTCTGAATTTCACAGGAATTGAGTCAGAGTATGTACTTTTGTGCATGGCTTGTGTCACTTAACACTGTCACGGCTGTCACTTGACATTCATTAGTGTGACTGCTGGACTGTCTCTCCCATTTTGACTCAATGCCAAGCACAGGGCCTAGCAAGACAGAAGCACTTAACATATGCAAATATTTTACACAGATTTCTTACTAATAAGATGGCCCCACAGGGCTTCCTTGAAAAGATCTGTAAAGTAACACAGCCATCTTCATCTTTTGAAAAGAATCTCAAAGATGTGTCATTCTATCTAACCCAACATGGTAGCTGCTGAGTAGTTGGGAAACTTCCACTCATTTCCCAGCAGTCAATCCCTCAGTCAACACTTGCTCTCTGGGTGAGCACAGCCTGGCCTCGGGCTTGCAAAGCCTGGAGTGCTTTACAGTCCTCTACCCAACCAAAGATAAAGTGATAAAGTGAACAGGAGACAAGCATGCAGACACACGCTAAATACACCCTTGGGCAGAAAGCTGAGGACAGGCACTGGAAATCTGAAGTATGTTCATGCAGAGCATTCAAAATTTGTCAAAATGGCCCCAGCATCTGCTTCTGTGTGGTTGGAGCTTTCAGCACCTGTGGATATCTGAAGATACCTGGAGATGTTCATAGCTGGCCAGGTAGGGGTGAGGGTCTTTGAGGAGGAAGCAGCAAGGCACAGGCTCTGTGGTGGGAGTCCTTGGTGTGTTCAGACACAAGGTGACCAAATGGCCAGAGGAGAGAGTCAGCGTGGGAAGGATAGAGTTCTCTAGGCAGATCTTGTGAAGCCTTGTAGGCCATGGCAAGGATATGCACTAAGAGGCTGGGAGCCATCCAAGAGATGGAACAGAGCTGGCTTCCATGTGAGCAGATGAGGCTGGTCACTGTGGTCAGTGTGGGTGGAAGAAAGCACTGTGAGAGCAGAGAGAAGCTGGCGCCGTGGCTCAATAGGCTAATCCTCCGCCTTGCGGTGCTGGCACACCGGGTTCTAGTCCCGGTGGGGGCACTGGATTCTGTCCCGGTTGCCCCTCTTCCAGGCCAGCTCTCTGCTGTGGCCAGGGAGTGCAGTGGAGGATGGCCCAAGTGCTTGGGCCCTGCACCCCATTGGAGACCAGGAGAAGCACCTGGCTCCTGCCTTCGGATCAGTGTGGTGCGCCGGCCACAGCGGCCATTGGAGGGTGAACCAACGGCAAAGGAAGACCTTTCTCTCTGTCTCTCTCTCACTGTCCACTCTGCCTGTCAAAAAATAAAACAAAAATAAATTTAGACAGAGAGAGAGCAGAGAGAAGCACAGGATTATAGAATCCAGTAAGACACCTGACCCAGCGAAAAAGACAAGAGGATGAAGGTGGCCTGACGGGGTGGTCGGAAAGGTTCAGCTGGCGAGTCAGATGTTGGATCAGAGAGAGATCCAGAGTGATGCTAAGGCTTTTGGCTTGAGCGGAGGAAGGATGGCATGGTGGTAACTGAGACAGGAACAGCTTTAGAAGGAGCAGAGTTGGAAGGGGCCGCTCAGGAGTTAGGCTTAAGACATGTTGATTTGAGTTACCTGTTAAAGAGATTCAGGCACTGGCCAGAACATTAGGAAGGGAACAAAAGAAATGGACATTTCACCAAAGGGCATATTAAGCTGCCAGGTAAGCAAGTTGAAAAGGTGTGCAACATCTTTCATCATCAGGGAAGTGCCAGCTAAACCCACCATGAGATACTCCAGTAAATCTTTTAGATCAGAAAGTATTGACAATGCAAATGATGGAGGAGGTTACAGAGCAAATGGAACTGTCATGTTGTTGGAGGGACTGTGTTGTGCTTAGTCACTCTGGAAAATGGTTTATGGCAGTTCGTATTAAATTGTCGGTGGCCTACCAGTGCCATTCCTGGATACCTATCTTAGATCAGTGGAGACAGTTTTATACAAAAACCTGTTTATAATGCTTATGGCAGCTCTGTTCACAATCTGCAAAGGCCAGTGCCTTCGGATCAGCACAGCTCCGGCTGTTACAGCCAATTGGGGAGTGAAGCAGCAAATGGAAAATCTCTCTGCCTCTCCTTCTCTCTGTGTATAACTCTTTCAAATAAATAAATAAATCTTTAAAAAAAATGGTTTGGGGTGGGCACTGTGACACAGCTGGTTAAGCCATCATTTGGGACACCCATATCCTATACTGGATTACCTGAGATCAAGTCCTGCCTCTGCTTCTGACACAGCTTTCTATTAATGTGCCTGGGAGGCAGCACATGATGGCCCAAGTAGCTGGGTTCCTGCCACCCAGGTGGAAGTCCCAGATGAGAGTTCCTGGCTCCTGGCTTTGGCCTGGTCCAGTCCTGGCTCTTGGGGGCACAGAGGGAGCAAACTAGTATTTGGAAGATCTCTCTGTCACTCTGCCTTTCAAATTAACAAATGAATACATAAAACTTTTAAAAATAATAAAATTTTTAAAATGAGTCTTCCTTAGAGTGGGAGTTCAGTGCAGTGAGTAAGTCCCTACTTAGGATGTCTGTATCCTCTACTGGAGTGCTTGGTTTGAGGCCTAGCTCTGCTTCCAACTTCTTGATAATGTGTACCCTGGAAAGCAGTGGTGATGGCTCAGTTACTTGGGTCCCTGCCACTAATGTGGGAGACCTGGATTAAGTTCTTGGCTCTAGGCATCAGCCTGTCCCAGCCTGGGTTGCTGCAGGCATTTGGGGAGTGAACATCAGATGGAAGATTTGTATCTGTCTCTCTGCTCTTAAAATAAAAACGTTAAAAAGAAAAAGGTTTGCCTGCAATACTTAGAGAAGTAGGGTTTCTATTACATATTCCCTGAGGACCAATACTTCAGCTTTCATATAACACAGCCACGCTACTGCAAGGGCTTTTCAGTGCTCCTGGCCATTTTCATAGGGCTAAGGGTGTGGTGAACTGCAATAGTAAGAAAGATGGAAGAAAAAAAGGCCACCTTCTAAATGACTAGTGTGGGCCAATGCTTAAGGAAGCTGTGAACGTAACGTACTCACCATCCACCCCAACCTTGACCCTAACTACTCTTAAGAATTATTTAAACGTTTTATCCAGCAAGTCTTGTAGCCAGCTGGGTGGACTACAGAGCAGTCCCTCCCCCAGGCCAGCAACTGGAAATTTCTTATCTGTTTTTTATCTGTTCAATGAAGGGACACCCTGGCTTCACTTGCATACCTGGTATTGTGTGCACCTCATCCAGGATCATGAGGCCCCACTCCTGGGTTTTGAGCCACTCCATGACACGCTCAGCCTCCCAGGACCTTTTGGTGGTGTGGCCCAGCATGGAGTAAGTGCTAATGGCAACGGAGCAGCCTATGGGCTTGTCCTTGGCATCGGAGGTGAAGCGGCAAATCTGGCTGTCATCGATGGTGGACCACATCTTGAACTGGGCTTTCCACTGTTCCACAGACACAGCTGAGTTCCCCAGCACCAGACAGCGTTTTCTGACGGTGCACGCAGCCGTCACACCAACCAGGGACTTCCCAGCACCTACAAGAAACCCAGGGCCAGGCTGAAACGAAGGACAGGGACAGGCAGAATGACTCAGCAGGAGCACAGGACTCCCAGCAAACTTCTTGCTATGCCTGCCAGCTGACTCTGTGAGGACAACTTTGGGGCACTCACTGCCCCAGCCTCAGTCTCCTGCTTCATAGAGGAGACACGTCCAATTCACACACAAGTGAGAATCAGTGGATGTAACTTTATCTGCATCCTGTTTAAACGCTGATGTCTTAAAACAAACCAGTGAGAGGAGATACTCCCATTACCACCATTTCAAAGATGGAAAAACTGAAGTACGGAGCGCCTTGCCCATGGGTAGAGCACAGTGGTGTACCAAGGCACAGGTGCACAGCACACGGCCTGCTAAGGAGGGACCCAGCAAAAGACAACTGGTATGGGGGCCAGCGCTGTGGCGTAGCAGGCTAAGACTCTACCTGTGGTACCAGCATCCCATATGGGCGCCAGTTCGTGTCCCAGCTGCTCCTCTTCTGATCCAGCTCTCTGCTAATGGCATGGGAAAGCAGTGGAACATGGCCCAAATGTTTGGGCCTCTGCACCTGCCAGGGGGACTTGGAGGAAGTTCCTGGCTCCTGGCTTCAGATCAGCTCAGCTCTGGCCATTGCAGCCAGTTAGGGAGCAAACCAGCAGATGGAAAACCTTTCTGTCTCTCCCTCTCTGTGTCTGTTAACTCTACCTCTCAAATAAATAAATAAAAATCTAAAAAAAAAAAAAAAAAAAAAAAAGACAACTGGTATCATCACACAGTAGGTAAGGCCAAGAACTCGGGAGCATACTAAGTGTGGACGGTACTGGCGAAGACAGAGGAGGAAATTCCAGGAGCTTCTAAGCATACAACCAACCACCATCTGAAGATCAAGATAAAAACCAAGCTATTCCTTTCAACAGTGACTCTCCTTTACCATCAAAATAACCCATGGAACGTTAATTTAAAAACAAACAAACAAACAAACAAAAGATCCCAGGGGTGACCTGCGGCACAGCAGGTTAAGCTGCCACTTGCGATGTTGTCCACATCCCATACCACAGTGCATGGGATCAAGTCCCACCTCTGTCTCCAATCCAGCTTCCTGCTAATGTGCATCCCGGGAAGTAGAAGATGATAGCTCAAGTATTTGGTATCTGCCACCCACATGGAAGACCTGGATGGAGTTCCTGACTCCTGGCTTCAGCCTGGCTCAGCTCCGGCTGCTGAGGGCATTTGGGGAGTAAACCAGTGGAGAGAAGCTCTCTCTACATGTTCCCTTTCCCCCTCCAATTTTGCTCTGCCTTTCAAATAAATAAACTTAAAAAAAAAAAAAAAACAAAAACAAAAAAAACCTGGAGTCTATCATGGCCTCTGGCCAAGAACCTAGGTGGAGACCTCATATTACATCCCTCATCTGAAAACTGAAATCCACAGTGCTCCAAAAGCTGGCACTTTTTGCATACTGACAACACCACATGTGAAAAATCCTACACTGATCTCATGTGCTGGTCACACTCAAAGCACAGGTGCACTAAAATGCTGCATCAGTTACCTTCAGGCTGTGTGTACAAGGTAATTATGAAACAGAAGTCAACTTCATGTTTAGACTCATGTCCCATCCCCAAGATACCTCATTGTGAATAAGCAAAACAATCTGGTATCCAAAACACTTTACCTAAGCATTTCAGATGAGGGATACTCAACCTGTGACCAGTGAGATTGGACGGGTGCCAAGCGAGCTGCCACTGCGTTTTCTTGGCACTATCTTATGCCATCTAGGAAGAAGCAAGGCTTCTGTGCTGGGGAGCTTCCAAATTCACAGCTCACAAGACTAATTTCTAGGAATGAGAACCTAACCCCACTATCTATGTTCAATAGCACCTCGCCAGCATCACCATCACAGCCCACACATGGCTTGAGTTTTCTTTACCACCTCTATCACCACTCAGGATGTGCCGTGTTGCTCAGCTGGTCTGTTTACTGCCTATCCCTTCCCTGGTGGAATGAACTCCATGAGGTCGGGACTGCTGTTTAATCCATGACTACGTCTCAGCACACTGGTCAGGACCCCCCACGCAGCTAACACTGGATAAATATTTGCCAAGTCATGAATTAAGACTTTACCTTGGCCATTCCTTGGAAAGCTGCAACTTAGGGAAAAGCACAAAAGGGAGAGCAGGAGGCAGCCAACAGATTCAGAGAGAGCAACCTGACCACTTACCGCATGGAAGAACAATGACCCCAGAACGTGCACGCCCATTGCCAAACATCTTCCGCAAGCTCTTCTCCTGGTAGGGTCTGAGGACAGCTGTGGGTTTCAGATCAATGTTGATATCAGGGTTGACAGAATCATTCCGGAAGTCGTATTCAGCCAACAGAGGGTACTCTAGGTGGATGCAACGCTTCTGGAGCTCCTCAATCATTTCCTGGAGAGGAGGCGCGAAGGTGGTTTCATTATAAGCTTGTTAGCTGAGGGTATGTGCTCAGAACACCACATATGCTAGGGGCCCAATGTTCAAAGCCAGCATTTTATTTAGACTTCTACAATTTCAGATCTTAAGGCACAGAAAAACAACCCAAAACTACACTGGCAAAATGAAATGTAACTGGCCAGACCAAACTGACCCTCAGCACAATTTCTCACATCTCCTCAGGAAGGGGTGAAGACCCCGGCCTCCACTGGGAGGAAAGATGCTGTGGACCCCAGACACTTCAGCAGCTCACACCAACTAAAGCTGGAATCAACACAGGGCTGGGCTTCGGAGCCCAGCTCGCTCAAAGGGCTGATGGGACACACTCACTAACCTGTTTGACTTCAAAGGACACTGTCTGTGTCTCTTCCTCCTCTTCCTCATCCTTGTCCATTTGCTCATAGAAATCAAACAGGTCCGTAGGGATGTCAGATTTACCCTGTGGATCTGTCACCCGGGAGGTGGAGGGCCCGCCGCCTCCTTCAACAGTCTTAGAAATCTGGAAGAGAGAGGCAGGTCGTGCTCCGCACACAACCTTTAACCCTGCCGCTATCAAGCAAGAGTTGAAGTTGCAGAGGGTAGAAAACTGCAGGGCTGTTAGGTTCCAGGTGGCGGATCACAGATAACTGCGAGCTGGAATCCTAAGTGCCCGGCCACCCCAGGTGACCCCGGAGCCTACATACAGCAGATTTGCTCGTGAAAGTCTCTGTGATGAGCTCCGTGGCCTCCCCCTCAGAGTTCCTCAGGCGGCATTCCCGGATCACTGGGTCCTGAAGAAGATGCTGGATGACATCGGGGTGCGAGCTTTCAACAAAGTACCTACAAGCAGGGGAGGGAGGAAGGGTCCACTGACCGGCACACCACTTCTAGAAGATTCTACAGTTCATCTGACCAGATGGTCTGGAACTAGCAGCTTCCTAAGAACTTGCCCCACTCCCTCACTCCCCCCAACCCTCTGCCTATTCTGAGCTCTGAGCTGCTGGCCATGACATAACTTACGGGGACTATGGGCAAAGCCCTATTCTGAAGTCAAGCAAGCAGGGGACGGAGCCCCAGCTCTGCTGCTGTGGGGAATACAGTGACCAGTGAATAAACTGCCATCTGGGGACACTTGTCCTGCTCCTCTTATCTGTGCTTCAGGGCAGTGAGGTACTGGTGCAGAGAAGAGGTTGGCTCCTTCCCACAGCCCTTCCCCAAACTGTGCAGAGGGTGAAGTGCCCGGAACGGGGCTGTCACAGAGTCTCTTACCTGTTATGCTTCAGGACCAGCTTGACCTTCCCATAGCTAACCGTACACAGCTGCAAGCAGACACAACACCAACAATCAAGTCAGCAACAAGCAGCTCACTCAGAACATGGTTACCATTGGGCATGTCCACTGCCCAAGTGAAGAGTGCAGTTTACTTCAGGAAAAACCGGTGTGCAATCCCAAAGGAGCCAGATCTGTCTAAATCGAGCTTTCCCCATTAGCTTCTGCTTTTGGAAAGTGCTTTTGGAGAGCAAAACTTTCTTGCCTAATTCTGACATACATTCCTTAATTTCTAAAACAGCTTAAAATCTCTCTTTTATCTTCTCTTTTTTTAAAAAAAAGATTTATTTATTTGAGAAGGCAGAGTTACAGAGAGAGAGAGGTTTTCCATCTGCTGGTTCACTCCTCAGAAGGCCACAACAGCTGGAGCTGCGCCAATCTGAAGCCAGGAGCCAGGAGCTTCCTCCCGGTCTCCAAAACTGGTGCAGGAGCCCAAGCACTTGGGCCATCCTCCACTGCTTTCCCAGGCCATAGCAGAGAGCTGAATCGGAAGTGGAGCAGTTGGGACTAGAACCGGTGCCCATCTGGGATGCTGGCACTGTAGGTGGCAGCTTTACCCGCCACACCACAGCACCAGCCCCTCTTTTTATCTTCTCTTCCCTTCCTCACCATGTCCAAAGTTGTCACCCTCATCCAGAGCTCATCCTGCCACACCAGTAATTACCACAGCTCCTAGTACACAGCTGGCATGGAGTAGGCACATGGTAACTGTTGCATAAATCAACATAAATCTGACCTCCTTGCCCATATTATTTCCCCAACTAAAACGTAAGCTTCTTGATGGCAGAGAATACAGACAAGCTCTATGAAGAAAGCCACAGAGGTGTGATGGTGGCCATGAAAATCTCACCACTCAAACCCTTGGCTGTTGCTCCTTCCCCCTGCCCCCCACCCACCACTGCATTGTACCAATGCACGTATCTCTACAAGCAGCTCCCAGGCACGAGTGGGTGCAGCCACGGAGCGAAGCTGGCTCAAACCAGTGAGATGTAAGCCCCTCTCCCTGGGCGGCCTTGCCCATCATAAGACAGAACTCTCTTCAGGGCTCCTGGCAGCTACTCTGGGGCCAGAGGCCATGGCAGTCTGGGGCCCTCTTCTGCCATTTGATTTGGGATCTGATTCACCCTCCCTTTAGATCAGCCAAAGGCAACAGAGTCATCATCTATACCTTCAGAATGGCACTAGTCCTCTACCAACCACTGTGCACACAGAACCCTCTCTACTGCAACAGCTGCAGGTCTTTTTGATGTTCCCCCAAGGGAGCTCACTGACCACTGGCCTCATGCAAGCATTTATTCTTAGATGGAGTTTAGCCCCTGCATTAGTCAGCTAGGGTTGACAAAACCAAAAACCACACACTGAATGGCTTCAACATCTATTTTCTCAGTGTTCTGGAGGCTGGAAGCCTATGACCAAGGTACCAGCCAATGTGGTTTGTGGTAAAGGTCCTCTTTGTAGGGAGCTGTCTTCTTGCTGTGAATTCACATGACATGGAGAGAGAAGAAGAGCTCTCACAGTATCTGTGCTTATAAGGACAATCATCCCACTGGATCAAGGCCCCATCCTTAGGGCCTCCTTTAGTCTTAATTACTTTCTCACTCCAACCCACACTGGGGGTTAGGGTTTCAACATGCTAACTTTGGGAGACCACAACCCAGTGCACAGCACCACCCCACTCTAGGCTGTGTTCCCAAATAATCCTGGCCAGAAGGAGTCTGAACCGGTACCCATGCTGTTAGCTCCCATGGATGAGAGCAGCTTGGGGGAAAACACAGCCTCAGCCACAACACAGTGCAGGACCCAGGGAAGCAGCAGCTGCGCTCCCCACAGGGGATCTGATTGGCACACTTCCGTGGCTGCCCCAGGCTGACGACAAGCAACACCTATCCACACTGTGCCGCCATCCCCAGGGCAGGCTGGCCTCGGTCCCTACTTGCCTTAATAAACTGCATGATTCCATCGGGGACTCCAGTCTTGCTGAGCTTCCTGAGGTACTCAGTGATGTCACTGGTTTGCAGCCCAACGCTGACAGCTGCATACAGGGAGTAGGCAGTTAGCTTGTACTCATGCACGTGGGTTGGCCGGCACACCGGCTCGGCAATAGCCACCAGGAAGTCTTGGGCATATTTGTAAACTGGAGAGAAGGCTTCCAAGAAGATGTGGCCATCAGGAGCCTGAAGAACATCAAATACACATGACAGGACACTCCAGAGTTGCAGAGACTCTTAAGACTCTCTCCCATATAATTATCAAAGAAGGACAAGCCGCCTAACACCAGAAGCGTTCCTGCAAGCCCCCCTCCAAATAACTGTAGGGTCTACTACTCAAATCAGATACACAGAAGGAGAGCAAAACAGAAGAAAAGGTTTCCAAAGTCCACAGCTGTTTCTCACACGGGGATTCTGCACAAGGAAATGCAACCTTACTGCCTATCCTCACGGAACCGTTTTTAAGTTAGATCTCAACTGAAGGTAGAACGCTCACTACTCTGGGCTGAGCCAAAGTTGGCTCCCAGATCCACGGTTTCCAACTGATCTAAAACATGCTAAATAAAGTGCTACATAATACATGCTATTTATCCCGCAGCTCAACGTTAATTCCTGGCATGGGGTAGGGAAAAGGAGAGGGGAGTGGATGAGAATGGAGGGGCTGGAGGTAGAGGAACTGCAGGCAGGATCGTGTGGCCCTTGTGCGCAGGTGGGGGGGCGGGGTAGAGAGCGCGCTGTCCGGAAGACTGAATCCCACACCTCACTTTTGGATCTGAGAACGCCCAAGCTTCGGCGGCTGTTCCAGGCTCCGGAGCCCGGTCCCGGCCGAGGGCGTGCTTACCACCCAGAGGGGCCTGGAAGCGTGGTCATCCTTGAGAGGCATCTGCAGCCTGTAGTCTTTGGCCCCGTACTCGTCCACTTTGGTGCCCGACTCGTCCACCTGCTTCCCGGCCGCTGAGGGTACGGCCTCCTGAGAGTCGTTTCCAGGGGCGTCGTCGTCATCTTCTTCCTCATCCTCGTAGTGCCGCTTCTTGGACTTCTTCTTGTCTGCAAACAGACACAGGCGTGAGCCCCGCAGCAGTCTGGGGTTTCCACCACATTGCAGGGCGCCAGGTCGCGGCCATCACCCCCCGCGCCACCAACTCTGCACTAAAAACAACCGCCCCCCACCCGGCCGGTTCGCAGAGAGCTGCGCTGAGCTCCAGCCACGCAGCTCCCCTGCCCGGCGGCAGGGCCTGCGGGAAACAGCCTGGCGGCGAAGCCTGAAGCAGCTCCGCCACAGAGGCGGGGGCGGGGCCCGAGTGCGGCCGCCCCACGTCTCACCGCGGTCCGCCCGGTCTCTTTTGCCCATGGCAGCGACTGCCACACACACTGGGGTACAGCCAAACGCCTGCCCACGGCGTCTTCAGCTCTCGGAGGAACTTCCGGCTCACACCGGAAGCTCTTCTGACGTCTGGACGGGAAGTCCCGCCTCTGGGGACCAAGTTGGCGGGGAGGGCAGAGCGAGCGCAGCGGCCGAGAGCTTTCCAGGCGCTGGTGTGAGCCCAATGCTCGGACTTTTTTTTTTTTTTTTTTTTTTTAAGATTTAGTTATTCGAAAGAGTTACACAGAGAAGGAGAGGCAGAGAGAGAGTCAGAGTCTTCCACCCGCTGATTCACTGCCCAATTGGCCGCAACTGCTGGAGCGGCCAGATCCGAAACCAGGAGCCAGGAGCTTTTTCCAGGTCTCCCATGCGGGTGCGGGGGCCCAAGGACTTGGGTCATCTTCCACTGCTTTCCCAGGCCATAGCAAGAGAGCTGGATTGGGAGTGGAGCAACCGGGACTCGAACTGGCCTCCATATGGGATGCCAGCACTTAAGACGTTGGCTTTACCCGCTACGTCTCAGCGCCGGCACCCAGGACGTTTTCTCTGCCCGGGTGTCTTCTCTCCGGTTCTTTCTGCTATTCCTTCAGTGAAGTCTTTTCTGAGTGTCTGTGTGATCGCGCAGTCACTGCCGTAAACCGCTCGGGTAGAACAGACAGCGGACGCAAGGCCTCGACCTTCTGGAACACAAATTCTGACAAAGCAGTGTGGGCCACCAAAAAATAGTGTTGAAATAAAAGGAGCCCAGAGGATGCCGGAATACCTCTCTGAAGTGGTGTAAGACTATAGGCTGAGTGAGGGCATCGCACCATGTGGAGGCTCAGTGTGGCTGGGAGACCTGGGAAAGAGCAGGTGCCCCGTGTCCAGAGCGTGGCCTCCCTGGGGTGTCGACAGGAAACGGAAGCTGGGGTAACTCAGATTGGAAAAGCCGGTGCAGAGTGCCTCGCCCTATCCCCGCCCTTACGGAATCAGAGAGGACGAGGTGGGGCTCAGTTATCGCGTCCTTCCGATGTTCAAGTTCGAGAAGCACTTATGTAGACCATTGTAGGGAATAGATTTGAGATGGGAAACCACTGGGAGATTCTGCGCAGAAGAAATGACTCTGATTTGCTATTCAGTGATCATTCTTCACCGGCTGCAATGCTCAGTGTAGCCTTTACATGGTCGTGAGTACAGGAACAGCTGGTTCTGCCAGGGTGGCAGGGTACGGGTGACACAAGGTGGCGCCATTCTGGATGTATTTTGGAGGTAGAGCGAGTGAGATTTGCTTACTGACTTACTAGGGCAAGTGAGAGAGGAGGAGTAAAGGGTAACTCCACGATTTTTAGGCAAAGAAACTGTAACAATGAAGAAAACCGAATATAAGTGCAGGCATTTATGCACAGACTGCATAAACAACTTACTTTCTAACAGTTCTGGAGGCTGGAGAGTCCAAGTAGGATATCGTCCATCCTGGTGAGGGCCCACTTGGCGGCTGTCAGCTGCCTTCTTGCTGTGTCCCCACATGGCACAGAGAGGGAACTATGATGTCTCCTCCTACAAGGACACCACCCTAGCGACCTCTTTGAACTTTTGTCACTTCCTAATACCTGTCTTCAAATACAGCCACATTGGGAACAGGTCTTGTGGCACAGTGGGTTAAGCCAACACTTGGCATGCCCATATCCCATATTGGAGTGCCTGAGATAGAGTCCCCCCTCTGCTTCCAACTAATGTGCACCCCAGGAGGCAACAGTCAATGGCTCCATTACATCGGTCCCTGCCATCCATGTGGAAGACCCGCATGGACTTCCTGGCTCCTGGCTTCAGTCTGGCCCAGCCACAGCAGTTGTGGGCATTTGGGGAGTGAACCAGCAGTTGGAAGGACAATCTCTTTCAAAATAATAATTAATATTCCATTGTATGGCAATATCATACTTTACTTAGCCAAATCCTAATTGGATAGTTCCAGTCCATTCAGTTTTAAATAGCTCTATTATGCATATCATGAGTTATAAATCATTAACTGCATCCTGGGTTGTTTTAAGGCAAATTCTGAGAAGTGGAAACACGGGATTAAACACAGGGTTTTTTTTTTTTTTTTTTTTTTTAAGCATTTCATATGAAAGGAAAACTTTATTTCAAAAATTTTTCTAAGCCGGCGCCGTGGCTCAATAGGCTAATCCTCCACCTTGTGGCGCCGGCACACCGGGTTCTAGTCCCGGTTGGGGCGCCGGATTCTGTCCCGGTTGCCCCTCTTCCAGGCCAGCTCTCTGCTATGGCCAGGGAGTGCAGTGGAGGATGGCCCAGGTGCTTGGGCCCTGCACCCCATGGGAGACCAGGAAAAGCACCTGGATCCTGGCTCCTGCCATCGGATCAGCGCGGTGCGCCGGCTGCAGCGGCGGCCATTGGAGGGTGAACCAACGGCAAAAACGAAGACCTTTCTCTCTCTGTCTCTCTCTCTCACTGTCCACTCTGCCTGTCAAAAATAAAAAAAAAAAATTTTCTAACAAGTTTGGTTTTGTTTTTGGCTTCACAGTTACACACATTTTTAAATAAAGACATAAGACATTTCTAACAAGTTGTTTTCAAAGATTTACATGAAAATCCTCTATTACTCAATAAAATGCTTCCTCACAGTAACAGACTCAATGCTGGGTCAAACTGACTAATGTCTCTTCAACTCATCAGAGTTGTAAAGAATTTCACTAATATAATGGTAGAAATGAAAAACCACAGAAAATAAATTTTCTATCAGAAAATCAGCAGGCAAATCAGGTCCTTGTCTCACACTTAGTCTTGCTTGTCAAACATTAGGATAAAAGATACACAACCCCCTCAACCCTAATGTTACTCAACCATTGCCTGGACATCCAACCTGCTAACCATACCCATCTAAGGCCTGCCTGATTCCTGGTGTAGACCATATGACCTTTTGATTTTAAAGATTTATCAGAGCTATAAAACTTTCTCTACTATCATCAGTTTTTAATACTCTCAGTTTTGAATCAATTAGCAATTATAATTTGATGATAATTGAAACTGTCTAGTTTTGATCTCTTCAAGTTTAACTGCAATGTTACCATAAAATTTTAGGATGATGAATAAATCACATATGAAAGTGTTGGTGGATAAAACCTCCAAAAGCTCCCATTGTACTTTCTTAAAAAATATTTGTTTGTTGGAAAATCAGATTTACAGCATGAGAGGGAAAGACAGAGAATAGAGGACAGAGATTTTCCATCTGCTGGTTTACTCTCCAAATGGCTGCAATGACTGGGGCGGGGCCAGGATGCAGTAAGAAGTCAGGAGTTTCATCTGGATCTCTCATGTGGGTGCAGGGGCCCAAGCACTTGAGCCGTATTATGCTGCTTAGGTGCTAAGCAAGGAGCTAGATTGGAAGTGGAGCATCAGGACTCAAGCTGGTGTTCATATGGAATGCCAGTGCTGCAGAGAGCGGCATAACCTGCTGCACCTCGGACCAGCCTCTCAGTATACTTTTTTTGAAAAAAAGATTTATTTATTTATTGGAAAGTCAGAGTTACACAGAGAGAGAAGATGAGGCAGAGAGAGAGAGAGGTCTTCCATCCGCTGGTTCACTCACCAATTGGCCACAATGGTTGCAGCTGCGCCAATCCGAACCAGGAACCAGGATCCTCTTCTGGGTCTCCCACACGGGTTCATGGTCCCAAGGACTTGGGCCATCTTCTACTCATCTCCCAAGCGATAGCAGAGAGATGGATCAGAAGTAGAGCAGCTGGGACTCGAACCGGCGCCCATATGGGATGCCTGCATTGCAGGCAGCAGCTTTACCCACTACATCACAGCGCCAGCCCCTCTCAGTATACTTTTTTTTTTTTGCTTCAGATTCAATATTTTTTATTATTTTTTTATTTAATGAGCATAAATTTCCAAAGTACAGCTTATGGATTACAATAGCTCCCCCCCATAACTTCCCTCCCACCCACAACGCTCCCCTCTCCCACTCCCTAATCCCTTCCCCTTCACATTACGATTAATTTTCAATTATCTTTATATACAGAAGATCAATTTAGCGTATGTTAAGTAAAGATTTCCGCATTTTGCTCCCACACAGAAACACAAAGTGTAAAATACTATCTGAGTACTAGTTATAGCATTAATTAAACACCTAAGAGTAATTGTGTATTAATTACAGAGTTCAATCAATAGTTTTAAGTAGAATATAAAATGCAACTTTTGTATTGTTGTGGCTCCCCCCCAACCTCCCTCCCTCCCGTGGCCCTCCCCTCACCCACTCCCTCTCCCATCCCGCCCTTCATCACGTTTCATTTTCAATTACCTTCATATACTGAAGATCAACTAAGTATATACTAAGCAGGGATTTCAACAGGTTGCACTCACACAACTGAACCAGGTATAGGGTATTGTTTGACTAGTAGTGTTGTTTTTGAGTTTCATAGTAAAACACATTAAGGACAGAGATCCTGCGTGGGGAGCATGAACCCAATGACTCCCGTTGTTGATTTAACAATTGGCACTCTTATTTATGATGTCAGCAATCACCCGAGACTTGCTATGAGCTGTCTAGGCTATGGAAGCCCCTTGAGTTTACCAACTCTGAATTTGTTTAGTCAAGGCCATATCACAGTGGAGGTTCCTTCCTCCCTTCAGAGAAAGGCGCCTCTCTCTTTGATGGCCTGTTCCTTCTGCTGGGGTGTTGTTCACCAGGATCCTTCATTTAGATTGTTTTTTTGCCACTGTGTCATGGCTTTCCATGCCTGTGAGACTCTCATGGACCTTTTAGTCAGATCCGAATGTCCCAAGGGTTGATTCTGAGGCAGGAGTGCTGTTTTGGGCATTTGCCATTCTATGAGTCTGCTGTGTGTCCTGCTTCCCCCGCAGGATCATTCTCTCCCTTTTGATTCTATCTTTCATTATTTGCTTACACTGGTCTTATTTGTGTAATCTCTTCGACACTTACCCTATCTTTTTGATCAGTTGTGTGTTTATACTTATCACTTTACCAAGTGTGCTGGCAATGGTACCTGCCTCCTTGGTAAGGTTGAGTTGAAATCCCCTGGCACATTTCTAGTTCCACCATTGGAGGTAGGTCTGAGTGATATGTGCCATCCTATATATCTCCTCCCTCTCTTATTCCCACTCCTATGTTTCACAGAGATCAATTTTCTGTTAATTTTTAAATGCTTAAGAATGGTTGTGCATTGATTGCAGAGTTCAACCAGTGGTCTTGTAAACACAGGGCTTTTTAAGTTCTTGCTACCAAACCTGATTAACTTAAGTGGAGGAGGTGATGAGGAAGAATGGCTGATAATAACATTTTTACAATTAAGCAAAGATTTTGGACTAAGCAAAAACATCTACAAATCATAAGTTTAAAAATTACAATAAATAATAAACAAATAATAATAAACAATAAATAAACAAAAATAAACAAATATAATACCCACTCATCACTCCACCACAATATGTACTTCCAGTATTTTTTCTAAATATTCTTTAAAAAACGCAGTCATGCTATACATCTTATGTAATTGGTTTTCTTTCAGTCAGTAACATATGTGAGAGTACTACAATTTATTTAATCCCAGTGGTGGTTAATGTTATGTTTCAACTAAACTAGGCTATGTATGGTGCCCCTTGTTGGATCAAACACTAGTCTACATGTTGCTGTGAAGGTAGTTTTTAGATGTGATCAACATTCACAATCACTTGTCTTTTATTATTTATTTATTTGAAAGGTAGAGTGATAGAGAAAGATCTCTTCCATCAACTGGTTCACTCCTCCAAATGGCTGCAATGGGTGGGGCTGAGCCAAAGACAGGAACTCCATCCAGGTTTTCTACACAGGTATGGGCCGTAGGGGACCAAGCCCAAAGCACATTAGCAGGGACCTGACTCAGAAGCAGAGCAGCCTGGACTGAAACTGGCTGGAGTCACAGGTGGTGTTTTAACCTTCTGTGACACAATGTTGGCCCCAATCAGGTGGCCTTTTTTTTTTTTTTTGATTTGAATTTATTTAATTGAGAGGTAGAGGGAGAGACAGAAAGGTCTTCCATCTACTGGTTCACTCCCCAAATGGCCGCAATAGCCGGAGCTGGGCTGATCCAAAGCCAGCAGCCAGGAGCTTCTCCAGGTGTCCCACATGGGTGCAGGGACCCAAGCACTTGGGCCATCTTCTACTGCTTTCCCAGGTCATTAGCAGAGAGCTGGACTGGAAGAGGAGCTGCCTAAATTAGAACCGGCACTCATATGGGATGCCAGTGCCACAGCACCGACCCCCTCAGGTGGCTTTTAAAATAAAGATTACCCTCAATAATGTGTGCAGGCTTCATCCAAACATGGCAGACTGGCTTCCCAGGGAACAATGCAGAATGCTCCAGACTGTAACAACATAGAAGTTGTTTTCTACAACTTTCAATGTAGAAATTGAGTTTCTAGCCTTTGAACTCAAGATTCCAACATCAGTTCTTATTTGAATTGTCGGCTTCCATACTATGTGAGCCAGTTTCTTTAAATAAATCTCTCCCTAACACTATCAGTGGGAGAAACACCACCTTTTGGTCCTGATTCTCTGGAGACTCAATACAGATTTTGGTACAGGGAAGTAGGATGCTGCTGTTAGAAATAGCTGAAGGTGTGGCCGTAGTTTGAAATTGTGAAATGCATGAAGAAAAAAGCTTTGGTTGCCATAGAGATTAATAGAAATTTGGACATTAAAGTTGAGTCCAGGGACTGGTGCTGTGGCGTAGCAGGTAGAGCCACCACCTGCAGTGCCAGCATCCCATATGGGTACCGGTTTGAGTTCTGGCTGCTCTGCTTCTGATCCAGCTCTCTGCTATGGCCTGGGAAAGCAATAGAGGATGGCCCAAGTCCTTGGGTCCCTGGACCCACGTGAGAGACTCTTGGCTCCTAACTTCAGATTGGTGCAGCCCGGACGGTTGTGGCCATCTGGGGAGTGAACCAGCAGACGGAAGACCTCTATCTTTCTCTGCCTTTCAAATAAATAATAAAAAATAAGTATAAAATAAATGCAATGCTGCTTCTCTGTAGTTTAAAAAAAAAAAAAAAAACAGCACAACAGTTCGGGCTGGCGCTGCGGCGCAGTGGGTTAAAGCTCTGGTTTAAAGTGCCGGCATCTCATATGAGCGCCAGTTCGAGTCCTGGCTGCTCCACTTCCGATCCAGCTCTCTGCTGTGGCCTGGGAAAGCAGCAGAAGATGGCCCAAGTCCTTGTGCCCCTGCACCCATGTGAGAGACCTGGAAGAAGCTCCTGGCTCTTGACTTCGGATAGGCTCAGCTACAGCTGTTGCGGCCATCTGCGGAGTGAACCAGTGAATGGAAGACATCTCTCTTTCAAATACATTTAAAAAAAAGTTGATTTCAGTGAAAGCTCAGATGAAAATGAGAAATGTTAGTGAAAGCTAGAGGAAAGGCAATCCTTGTTATGAAGCAGTAGAGACCTTTCCCAAACTGTTCTGCTGGATAGGAGAGAGAACTTTTAAGCCATGAACTTGGATACGCACAGCTTCAAAGTGTAGCTTGATTTTTTACTGCTTAATAAGTAAAATGTGAGAAGGAAGAGATTGTTCAGCAAAAAAGAACCCAAACTTGCAAGACTTGGACAGTTCTTAGCCTATCAATTTTGTAAAACATGAGCAAGTGTGTCCTGGAGAAAAACACAAGAATATGACTGGACAACCATCTGTAGGAGATAACGTGTGTGGACTGTGTATCCAATCAACCTTCTCAAGTAGAAGGTTGCAATCCAGGGGAGAAGATTGGAGGCAATGAAGCCAGGCTGTTGACTTCTAGGAGTTACAGCCAGGAAAGACACACAGCACTTTGGCTGTGAGCACATTTTTATCCTTAAAGAAAAGGGAAAACTGCCGGCGCCGCAGCTCAATAAGCTAATCCTCTGCCTGCGGCACCCCGGGTTCTAGTCCCAGTCAGGGCGCCAGATTCTGTCCTGGTTGCTCCTCTTCCAGTCCGGCTCTCTGCTGTGGCCTGGGAAGGCAGTGGAAGATGGCCCAAGTGCTTGGGTGCCTGCACCCGCATGGGAGACCAGGAGGAAGCACCTGGCTCCTGGCTTCAGATCAGCGCAGTGCGCGGGCCGCAGTGGCCATTGGGGGTTGAACCAGTGGAAAAAGGAAGACCTTTCTCTTTCTCTCTCACTGTCCACTCTGTCAAAAAAAAAAAAAAAAAAAAAAAAAAAGGAAAAACAGACCTGAGAGCAATGCTGTTTGTGCCACCAGAGGCCTAAAAGGGACAGACTCAGGGTTGGATGTACTGTTCTGAGGGGTGGACCTCAGTGAATCCCTAGGACAAGAACACTGAGCTGGAGAGGACTACTCTAGAGTCTTAAAGCCTAATGTAACTTGCTCTGCTGGATTTCACATTTGCTTGGGACCATCTGGTTTCCTTCCCATTTCTCCCTTCTAGGAGTCTATTCTCTGCCTTTCCTGCCACTGTAATTTGGAAGCAGGTAACTTCCCATTGTTTCACAGATGAGAAGAAATTCTGTTCCAAAACAGTCACCCATGACTGATCATTTCAATGATGAGATTTAAGCTTATGATTTAAAATTTTTTTATCCAAGAAGCAGGAGTGAGAGAGAATGAACTGGTTCACGCTCCCAAATGCCCGCAATGGTCAGGGCTGGGCCTGGGGACAAAACCAGAAGCTGGGAACTCAATGCAGATTCTGAGGCTTAACATACATTAAGTTGCCCTCTATATGAAGTTACCTCTGATACCACATGAGAGATCATTCCTTATACTCAATAAGTATGACAGATCTTGTGTTTGCTTTTAATCACTGCTAAATTCTGATCTGATAATTAAGATATCCAGGCAAAGCTATAACAGAGCAAGTTGGGGAGGACTTTGTAGATTCAGGGGTGGGGAACATCGGGCGTGCAGGTTGTATATGGCCCTGCAATATTTAATCTAGCCCTGCCAAGGCAACCACAGGAATGACTCCAATGAATCTGGTCTGGCACTGTGGTATGGTGGGTAAAGCTGCTGCCTGCGACACTAGCAAACCTTATGGGTGCCAGCTTGAGTCCCGGCTGCTCCACTTCCAATGCAGTTCCTTCCTAATGGCCTGGGAAGGCAGCAGAAGATGGCCTGAGTTCTTGTGCCTCTGCACCCACATGGAGACCGGCAGAAGCTCCAGGCTCTTGACTTATTTGGGGAGTGAGCCAGCAGATGGAAGATCTTCCTCTCTGTAACTCTGCCTTTCAAATAAATAAATAAATCTTTAAAATAAGTCAGTCAAAGCAGGCTATGTTGGTAATCTTGTATTGACTGGGAAGGATGTTATAAATATCCAAATGGCCTTTGGCAGAACAAACATGCCCCACCCCTAAATAGTGGAAAGATTAAGTCCAGACTCAGCATTTCTAGGTTAGTCTCTTGGAACATGATGAACCTCAAGCAAGGCGGACAACTGCCAAGGGGAAAACTTCGAACAAACAGTCCAAGAAGAGATCTGGACAAACCAATCACAGTGGAAATAAATATCAGTTTTATTAACACTCAAAGTGCCAATCATTTATGTTCATTCCATAGTCCAGAAGGTTACTCAGAGTAAGCCTTTGCACCACAATCTTTCAAAAAAAAGAAAAATGAACTAACATGTAATAAAAAGCAATTTTCATTGTGCTAATTATTGCAGGCCTTCATGCACAAAAAATCTAAACAAAGATGTATGCCAACAATATACAAATTTCCATATAAACAAAGTCATTGATCACTAAACAAAATATAAACATGGTTTCTTTTATATTAGATTTTTTTAAAGGCTATTTACCAGCAAGAAAAAAAAACAAGTACACAGAAATTATAAAACTCAGAAATTTTATACATTTTTACAAGCACAATTTTGAATAAACAACACAAAGTCAAAATGTGCATGAAATGTGGCACATACCACACTATATCTGGCTTCTGGTAGGTTCTAATCACACCGGTTCCTTTTAACATAACAAGCTTAGTGACACTCAACTTCAACAGTGGACTTTATTCCTAACACAAGTAACTTTATGTGGCACCGCATATTGAAAGCAAGGTTTGTGTTGTTGTTTTTTTTTTTTTTTAATACAATAACAATGTCAATTGGAAATTTCTATTTCCAATTATTTTTCTGGCAGTTACTTAAAACGCACAGTACAGTATAAAGACACAACAATATATATTTGGACATTTCTAAGCCAATTTATAGTCAATTACAGAGATTCACAATCTGTCAATGTATATTGTTTTGTAAACCCAGTCTGACCTTGCCCAGTAGGGGAAAAAACAAAGCTGAAATCCTTCGGGGGCAGAATAAAGGAAATATTAACAAACCAACAGGACAGGCCAATGGCAACTGGAGATATAAAAATCTTGACAAGTCTTGAAGACAATTTAGTTTCTTGCATTTTTAACAGCACTGAGAATTCAAAGGCCATTTTAGAGGACATTGTTTTTGATACTACTCAAAATCTATTTTTTTCTCTTAACTTGCATTTCCCAGAATTCTCAAGAGAATTCACTGCTTCTCTTTGCAAGCATATTTTGATTGGGCTCTTAAGTACAATGTGTGTCCAATTCTGGAAATACAAATACATTTTGAATGGTTAAAAACAAAACTAAAAAAATATTTTGATCAGCCAGCTGAAAATATATTCATATAGTAAATAATCTCTCAGAAAGCTTTTATATATATTTAATTATCCTAACTAAATAGTACCCTTATAAAACAAGTTCATAAAAATGTAGAAATGAAATTAAAGTAAGAACTTACTGGGATATATACATGTGCCTAGACACAGAAAAAGACATCTCCACACAAACACACAGCCCCTGATACACAGAATCACAAAGCATACTTTCAACTTAGTAATGGATTTCAGAATACATTATAAAATTAGAAAGTAATGTTGAACTCCTGAGTTCTTCAACAAATACAGAACCATAGATAAGTATACTTTGTAGAAGCAAGAATGTTCATGTAAGTCAGTAATAGCAGTGCAGTAACTGATGGCTACATCTTGAAAGAAGTTAAAACACAGAGACACAGACAGTAGTTCAATGCACGCATTCATGATGCTCATACACTCATCAACAATTATTGGTCAGAATAGGAAATCAGTGTACAAATTAAACATTTCCAAAAATGTGCAAAAAGTCAACCTTAATATGAAAAAAAAAACCTTTGTACATAATTATAAACTGCCCAGCATTCAACTGAGATTAAAAACTTTTACAGAGAAATTAATAGATTAAATATAGAGAATTTAATGGTTACATTAAAAAATGTACATTAAGTCAAAGGGTAAATTTACAAATCGATAATCATGGTTGTAATAATTAAAAGTTTATCTTCAAATTTATCCAAGTTTGCTTTTATTTACAATGAATAAAAAGAACCACGTGAAATGTAAGAGATGTCAGACATTAAAAGTATTTTTGGTATTAACTTTGCAGGGTAGCAAACTTTAAAACCAACAGCAATAGAAAAAGTGTAAACCTTTTACTTACTAATTACAATTGTATTAAAACAATTATTTTTAAAGAAGCATTCTTGTTCTTAGATACTGCACTTTTAATTAAAAAGGGTATATTGCAAGGGTTTAGCTGACTTTCTTTTGCCCATAAGCCTTTCCAGCTCAAATGTTTCTATTAGTTCTGTCTTCTTATTTTAGGTGGAAGAAAAGTCTTTGGAAAAATGAGAATATGTCAAATCTATTTTGGAATCTAAGAATTTAATAGAGTTTAAAGATGTACCTTTGTTATTTATCTCTTCCCTTCTAGTAATGCTAAGATCATCACTAGTTACATATGCTTTTAAAAATAAATCCCCCAAAACATATAAATAAAGGAACACAAAAGTGCTTTCAGGATAATCATGAACTTGACTGTTCTCAACTGGCATTAAGGGATTCAGAAATCCTTATTTGAGGACAAATTCTGCAGTATAATGGAGAGCAGACACTTTCTTATGTTCCAAAAGATCTATGGCACAAGGCAGATTGTTGGTCTATAACCTACTTTTCTTCACAGCTTTGCTGAAATGCCCCTCAAGTCAAGCACAAGTTCATAAATGTTAAGACACTAGAAGAAAGTACGCCACCAACCTGAGGCATCAGACATCAAGGTATATCTATATGCATCTACGATCAGGTGACGTTAATAGATTGGCACGTGTACAGCTTAAATTCGTAATGTCTATATAGTTCCTTAATAGAAGCATTCTGCATGTCTAAATGCAAACACTGAGCACCTGTCCTTTTCTTGAAGGATAGACTGAGATAAAATTCTATTAGTACCTGCCTTACCATTTTTATGTTAGCTTAGAAATGGGCAGATGTAACAGTGCTAATCATTTTGGCTATGTGTGCAGGAAATATAAAAGCTTTGGTTTAAAGTGATTCTGATAATACAGACTGTTATACAAACAAGAAGTCATCAGGCAGAAGGAATAGTATTTGCTGATTGAATGCCTTTGCTGCCTGTAATAAAAATGCTGTATGACTATCAATTAAAATGCAATTATGAAAAATACAAACACATAAGAATGATATGAACAGATAAAATTTATTCTCTTTGTTACTACAGCTATGACTACTCTCTCACTTTTCTGAAGCTCAACCATGATCACTCTACTTGAGAGCTCGTTACCATCTACAGCTGACAGGTGAATAGAGAGAGATGGGTGGCCCTGATACTTCCCACGTCTGGTAGGGCATCCTGTGCAGATCATGGCAGGAGTCAAAGCAAAGCTAAAGACGACTGTGAAGCAGGAATGGTGACTTCACAGCACACCTTCCCCAGCCAACCAAAAAGAGGTATAAGACAATATCCTTTTGAAAAACTAGTAAGCCAAGGAATCTGGTTTTGATAATATCTTGCAGAATTTCTATTCCAAAAACTTCATAAAGAACTATGTAAGATCAATTACTTTATATTTAAGTAATAGAAACACACACACACACACACTCACACAAAATTTTAATCTACTTTTAGCAACCAAGAGCTTGGCAATCTACACTAAATACCTTTATTAAACAATCATTTGTACTAGCTAGTGGTGGAAAATGTACTGATGTTCCCACTTGAGGATGAGAACATTCATCCATTATCAGGAGGGCACACATTTTTGAGTTGTTCTTCGAAGAACAGAGATTGAGCTAACTGAAAACTCTCAACTTTCCTTTCTTCCCACCACTGCCCCAACTTCAAACACACACACACACACTCTTCAGAGAAAAGGTGAGCTAGAGTATCAGTCAAAATGTTATTTATAAAGCAAGGATTAGAATTTGTTATCGCTGGACTTCTTGCTGACTGCCCAATTCTCACTGCTTCAACAGCTGTAAACTACGTAAATGATCTCTTTAGGGCAAAAACAACCACTCTAGTTTGCGTGAACATGGTAACTGAATCATGATATACAAAGAACATGGAGGTGCTAATGTCACTGAAACTCAAGTAATCAACCAAGAAAACAATTTACTATGTCTCTTGAAGAATGACAATACCTCTTTCTATGCTTAGGAATTCATGTCTAGTGGAGAATGCAGTGCCAATCACAGAAAAATGCTAATATTTCTCTCCTAAACAGAACAACAACAAAAAAGGAGGTAGAAGGAGGAAGAGGAGGAGCAGGCCATTAAGAAATGTGTAAGGGCTAATACACAGTCTAAGGCCAAAGGAACTCTCGAAGTCTGCTGATTTTGGAAAAAATCTTCATTTTGGTGGGTAACTTGAATTATTAATATAAAATAAAATTAAGGCATACAGAGAGAAAGGCACTACTAAAAATAAGTAATTAAATTGCTTTCATTGACATTCGACCAATCTTAAAGTTCAAATAAATATGAACATTACATTTGTAACAAAGATCAAACTTAATGATAAAAATAACATGGTCTCAAGAAATTATCCTGATCTTAGCACAAATAACACTGACAGAGTTCAGTTCTCATCAAATGTTTTGGGTGTTTTCACAATTTAGACCTAAAGACTTTTTTTTTTTTTTTTTAAAGAGACAGCTAGGAAAAATAACCACCACCATCTCTCCCGCCCCTGTGTTATGGACTACCCCATTACTGGAACTGTTTGGGTGGAGGCTGTGAGTAGAGGTCCTGAGACAGACTACCTAATCTGGGGTGGGTGGGTCCCTCCAGCTGGAGGATACTTTTACTCTAACCCCTGTCGTTAATGACATTTCATTGTACAACAGCCCATCGTTAACATAAAATTGTTTTCTCCTTATTTCCAAATAATGGTAACACTTGAAACCCTTGCTGAATAGTCAGTGTTAGAGTATACCATAAAACAAGTAACCATCTCCATCCATGTTCCTCCTAGACCGAACCTCCTTGAAGGATGTCAATTTAGTACCTGACATAGTCACAACTACTGAATAATTAAATTAAAAAATTCTCCCTATTTTTAAAGAACAGACAGATTTGTATACTCAACTGACATCAGATGATTTCATATGAAGTTACTGACTGGTTCCTAGACTTCAGATGAAATCACCGGCACAGAACTCAGCCATAGGCCAGCCAAAGAGTCAGTTTCTGGCTTGGTCATCCTACCAAACTATCCAGATTTGACTCTCTCAGTGACTTTACATATCTTACAACTCTATCTCAGAAATACTACAGCACAGACCAGAGCTATGTAAGAGCTGGAAGAGCAGGAAGCTACTCTAAAGAAATAGCTTTGCCTCTTTTTTTTTTTTTTTTTTTTTTAATGTAATTGCTATTGGGAATAAGGTAAAGACTCTCTCAAGTGAAAGTCAATTCAATTTAAGTCAATTCAATTCAATCAAAGCTTTAATTTCTCTTTTATAGCTCAGTGTATGTATTAATATTTTAATCTTTATATACAGTATGTAAGGGTGACTGTGCCTTTTAAATTTTTTTGAAGGGAAAAGTCATTTTAAGATAGAAACCTGTTTTGTAAATTAAGAAAAGTGCTGACAATTTTCAAGGTGTTCAAACTGAAATCAGTCTGTATGCTTTTTAATACCTTTTAAAGAAGTGCCAACCCATCAAAATTTCCACTACTCATTAGGATAATTTTCAACTCTTTTATTCAATATATTTTATTTGCAATGTAAAAGGTCTTATGTTTGGTCCAAGCCTAAGTCATGCCACTTGGAGTCTCTCAAGGCCTAAGTAGAAAGATATTTCCTGAAAAGCTTATGTAAGACTGCTAGTAAATCTTCTCCAGCACCAAAAAGTCTGCCACTGTCAAAGCAGAATGCATTTTAAAGGCACAAAGTCAGCAGTCTGGCCATTTTCCAGCCTCAGCAAAGAAACATTACAGTATAGAAGAAATCAGCTGTGCACTTAAAAAACAAAATACATTTAGAGTCATCTTAAAAAGTTCAAATTTCATCTGTTATCCACACCATTATTAAAAAGAAAAAACTGGAGTGTTATATTTAATTTCCCCTGATAAAGGTGTTTCCTATCAAAAGTTTATTTACTTTTGGTCTTCCATGCCTTCCTCCCACCTTCAGGCTTTTTTGTTCTGAGTAACTCATTTTTATATATATATTAACTTTTATTGTGGTTTTTGGTACCTTCACAACTTGTTTGAAATAAATTCATACTTTATATAATAACTCTGTAAACTATCAGTCTATTTTTAAGTCTTTACATAAAGAACATTACTTTCCCATAGCTAATATTTTTCTTATAAAGCAACAGTTTTCTGCAGCAGTGTTAAAGTAGTAGTTTCTCCTCAGGTGCCTTTTCTCTTCAATAGCACTTAGAAAAGAAAAAGGAGACTGAAAAAGCAAACAACTTTGCTTTGGGTTCCACAGCCTCCCCAGATTCACTCTAAGGAGCATTTGTCTGCTATTCTGCACTGCTGGTTACCCTGACAGACCAAAAATGAGCCAAAGGGAAATCACAACCACACAAGACAAAGAAATGAAGGAAAAGCCCACTGGTCCAGACACCATGATCTTGCTCAAGTAGAAACGATGCCCTTCCTCAGGAACAGAAAGAAATCACAAAAGGTCCACAAACTGCGAGATTCTGTTTCTAGCACAGGTTTAGCAGTTGATTGACCAAGGCAGGAGGCACCTAATTCTTGTTCTTCCTTGTAAGCTGCTTCCTTTGATTTTAAGATTATGGGAAAAGCATTAACATCTAATTTGTGCTTTGACTTCTCAGATCAATAGCAGGATTTCAAATATTCCTCCAGGGAATGCCAGATAGGATCGTGATACAGGAAAACAAGATCTACCTTCAAGATTCCCTAGTAGCATACCTTTTGGCAGAGAATAAGAATACCTTAGTCCCTTATGAATCCCATGAAAGGAACCACACATTTAATGCCCCCAGGAAGACTATTATTTTCCAGACCTCTAAAAATAAAATACTTAACAGCATTTGCTTTAATTTGCTGGAAAAAACTGCAAGTAGCCAAATTACTGATCATATTTTTCAGTTAGCACAAACTCATTAGACAGCACGACCTTTCCCAGCCGTCTCATTCCACTAAATGTTCTTGCTCTTAGAAGATACATTACATTAGAAATACCTGGCAGTTTTTAAACTGTCCTGATAGTAGCTAACATTAATTTTGATAGGCTTTCATTTGCTCCAATTATTTACTGACTTCTACAGAGATTAGATCCACAAATGGCTGAGTTCAAATGGCTCAGTGCTCAAATTCATTTTGTTTCTAAAATGGAAGCCTTGCTGCTCTGGATGCTATGTACAGCTGGTAAGGAAGTGACTGGGATTTGCTTTCTGTTGAGATCATTCACCCTTGATCTAAAAGTAGGGGTATCAGTTCACAGAAAATCCTCATTTCACATTGTGTCACCTTCTCCTTAAAATCTGTTTTGCATTTACTGCTCTGTAAGTGGCAGTTTTCAGTTCATACCTGGGACTCGTCTTTACATCAGGGTTCCTAACCTTGGCAGTTTTGGGCAGGACAATACTTTGGGGTTCAGGGGCACTGTCTTGGTGTATGACAGGTGAGCAGCATCCCTGGCCTCTACCCTCTGGATACCAGGAGTATCCTCCCAGTCTCCAGGCATTGCAAGAGGCCAAGTAAATTATCCCCACTCCACTAATAACAACCGCACTGTTTCCAATGATATCTGTTTGTCTTTTTTCTTTCTTTCTTTTTTTTTTTTTTTTTTTTTTTGAGGGGCTTTATTCCTCTGTGACCCCAAGAACAGAGGTTTTGGCTCAGGACACTAGCTTTCACATACGGGTACTCTGAATTGAACTTATAGTTCCTAAATAATGCTATCTATGGGGAATCAGGAGCTAGAAACAGAAAGATGGTACACATGATTGTGAATAGTTCTCTATCTCCTTAATTTTGGGACTTTCCCCCTCAAGTAAAGAATACAGTTTAAAATATACTAACCAATATTCAGTCCTTTTTTTTCTTCCTCATTATTTCTGTTGAATGACAAATATGGTCTCATCTATTGCTCATACATTTAACGAGAGCACTCTCCTTTTGTCATTTACTTGAGTTTGTTGCTCACTGAATTCCCATATTTCTTTAAAATAAAATATCTTTTTCTCATAAGCAGAAAGTTATCCCTCAAGGTTTATGGATTCCAGTACCATAGATCTACTATAGTGTATTTGCTTATTATACTGGTTAGGACTAACAAATAAACATACCTCTTACAGATTCTTCTATCACAATTCCTACTGAGCAAAAAGCTTGGTAGACAGAGGTTAGGATCTAAAGAATACAGATGTAAGAAGAAACCTATATTCTTTAAGTTGAGTACCTACCCTAAAGTCAAGTTTAGGGTTCAACCCTACAATTGAGGATCTATATTAAATACTAGGACTAAAAACTACAAATGACACATTATTTTCTTCTCTGTTTCCCATATCTCTCCAACACCACTAAGACGTCAGTGATAACAGGGAAAGACTCTACAATCTTTATGTATTCCAAATGATTTGTGTATACTAAAAAGAGTGACTATGTACTAAAGTGCTTTATCTCTCTGAACCACATCAGTACATTATACAAACTTAAAAAAAAAGTTTCAAGTTCTTGTAAGGAAAAAAAGATTAAATATAAAAAATTTAGGTTACTATAATTATTAAACAAATTTAACCAATAATCAAGAGAAATACTTTCCCTCTTGTCTTTTTTCTCCCCATCTCTCTTTTTTTTATAAAACAGAAAAGTGCAGTCAGAGAGAAGGTGAATGCACAGATGGGAGCCGGGTAGAGGCACAGGAAAGGTTACTGGCTGCTAGTGATAATGCACAAACATGTGCCTTAAAAGTTCATCAGCTGAAGGTCTCAGTTTGACCTCTACAAAAATCCGTTTGAGGAAATCTCGAGTATAGTCTGAGACATGAGGTGGCAGCTTTGGGTTTGTTGGCTGAGTGGCGATTTTAAAGATGGCGGCCATCGCTTCAAATTCAGCCCACGGTGGCTTTTCAGTTAACATCTCTACCACAGTACATGCTACACTCCTAAAAAAGAAATAAATATATTATACAAGCAATAGCATCATGAAATAAAGCTACTAACCTAGAAAATGAGAAAAAGAAGTCCATATAAATTTAAATACAACTTGATTTCACATTTAAACATTCACTAAAAGGTTGCAATTACATAAAACTGCAATTTAAACATAAAAAAAAAATCAAAGAAAATAACCCATAACTTGATGACTATAATTTAATCCAAATGGTGGGCAGAGAATATTACTGTGGTTTTATATGAGTTTCTAACCTGGTGCTAAAAATAATTGTTTTTACCTTATAAAACATTAGAAGATGTTTGCCCTCAGGTGCCTAAAATGAACATCTATTAAAATCTTTGCTGGGGGCCGGCGCCGTGGCTCAATAGGCTAATCCTCCACCTTGCGGCGCCGGCACACCGGGTTCTAGTCCCGGTCGGGGCGCCGGATTCTGTCCCGGTTGCCCCTCTTCCAGGCCAGCTCTCTGCTATGGCCAGGGAGTGCAGTGGAGGATGGCCCAGGTGCTTGGGCCCTGCACCCCATGGGAGACCAGGAAAAGCACCTGGCTCCTGGCTCCTGCCATCGGATCAGCGCAGTGCACCGGCTGCAGCGGCGGCCATTGGAGGGTGAACCAACGGCAAAGGAAGACCTTTCTCTCTCTGTCTCTCTCTCTCACTGTCCACTCTGCCTGTCAAAAAAAAAAAAAAAAAAAAAAAAAAAAAAAAAAAAAAAATCTTTGCTGGGTGAGAAGTTGCCAATGACCACTTTGTGTTCTAACTTAAAATTATCAAGCAATTAAAGATTAAGTGAATTATTATGACATTAATAACAGACTAATTACTTTCAAAGATCTTCAGGGAAATCAAGTAAGACAGCTTTCTAATGCTGAGATTTGCTTCATACAATATCCTTAAAGAATGAAAGCTCTAAATATACTGTCAATTATAAGCCTCAATGAGGTATAATTAAAATAGTATTAATCCTTACAATTGTTGCATTGTATTTCAGAAGTACAAAAGAGAATTTTGTAGCAGGTGTTGTGGCACAATGGGTTAAGCTGCCAAATCAGACAATGGCATCCCAGTCACAGTGCCTGGGATTGACTCTTCCATCTGCTTCTAATGCAGCTTCCTGTTATCGTGTGGGAAGGCAGCAGGTGGCCCACATCAGAGTGACCCAGCAGTTCTTGACTCCTGGCTTCGGTCTGGCCTAGTCCCAGCTGATGAGGGCATTTGGGAGTGACCTATCAGAGGAAAGATCTCCCACTCACTCATGTTTCCCTCTGCCTTTCAAATAAATACAAATAAATAAATCTTTTTTAAGAGATCATTTAAATCCAGCTCAATAATTTCAACCCTGAGTGGGAACATTTAAGAAGTCCATAAAGTCCAGGCAAGTCTCACAAACCTCAAAACCTACCAGATATCTGCTTTTCTACCATAGCCTTCTCCACTGATTACTTCAGGGCTCATCCAGTATGGTGTGCCTGTGACAGACTTCATTCCTGTCCCCGACAGACAGATGGTTTGAAGCCGTTTGCTGGCCCCAAAATCTCCCAGTTTGACATTGCCTGTTGAATCTCGCAGGATATTTGCACCTAAAAATCAAGAAATATCTTCATTTCATTAATTTTACTGGCAGTCTGGAATATAGTACAAAAGAATAATGGCAGAGAACCAGTTACTGAACTCTTCAGTCTGTCTCCAAAATTAGACAACTTTTATCTCCTGATCAGTAGTAGTACCTGGTACAACACCAGCTATTTGTTGCATAAACACAGAATTTTTAAACAGCTGCATGTGCTTCAGGATCTAAGAGAGATCTCAAACTAAAAAGGACTAGTGAGGGCAGGAGATGAGAGGAACATGAAAAGAAAGATGAAGGAGCAAGAATCATAAAAGGGGGCCAGCCCTGTGGCATAGTGGGTAAAGCCGCTACCTGTAACACCCAGCATTCCACAGGGGTGCTGGTTCAAGTGCCAGCTGCTCTACTTCCAATCCAGCTCCCTGCTAATGTGCCTGGGAAAGCAGCAGAGGATGGCCCAAGTGCTTAGCCCCCTGCACCTACATGGGAAACCAAGAAGAAGCTCCTGGCTCCTGGCTTTGGCCTGGCCTAGCCCTGGTACTTTGTGGCCATTTCTAGAGGGAACCAGTAGATAGAAGATCTTTCTCTCTAACTGCCCTTCAAATAAATAAATAAATCTTTACAAAGAAAAAAAAAGTCACTGTAAGATCTTGGTTCTCAGTTTGTCTGTCATAGAGCAAGCAGCCCATGGCCAAAGCTTATTTCCTTGAGAAGTCAGCTTCTCCCTACAGGGTCTTCCTGTGGAACCTTCCTAGCCAAAAACTTCTAGCACTGTTTCCCCCTCTGCTACTACATAAATATTGTATTTTAAACTTTTTCTTAATAATAGGTTTTAATAATTTAAATGTCTTATAAGCAAGCTTTGAGTTTTCCATCTGTTTTTAGATGCCTTTTTTTTTTTTGAGATTTTTACTTTTTATTTATTTGAAAGGCAGAGTCACAGAGAGAGGAGGAAAGAGTTGGAGAGAGAGAGAGGGAGATAGCTTCCATCTGCTGGTTCACTCCTCAAATGGCCACAACTGCCAGACTGGGCCAGGCCAAAGACAGGAACCAGGAGCTTCTTTGGGGTCTACCACCTGAGTGCAGGGACCCAAGCACTTGGGCCATTCCTCTGCTGCTTTCCCAGATGCATTAGCAGGGAGCTGGATCAGAAGTGGAGCATCCAGGTTTTGAACTCGCACCATATATATGGGATGTTGGCATCACAGATGGATGCTTTACCTGCTATGCTACAATACCAGACCCTAAATTTCATTTATTTTTTAAAAAAAGTTTTTAAATGTTATACAGCTTTAGGTTTATAGAATTACTGCAAAGACAGTACAGAGTTTCCACATACCCTGGTATTATCTCACATTAGTATAGTATATTTGTCATAACTAATGAATATTGATATACTGGCACTAACTCAAGCCATACTTGCTCAGATTTCCTCAGTTTTCCCTCTAATGTACTTTTTCTGTCCAAGGATCCCATCCAGGATCCCACACTGCATTTAGTTATGGTGTCTCCTTAACTTCTTCTTGGGAAGTGGTTGTTTCTCAGATTTCCTTGTTTTTGATGACTGACACTTCTTAGGAATATTGGTTAGGTTCCTGCAGAATTAGGATTTGTGTCATTTTTTTTAAGATTCACTTATTGGGGCTGGCACTGTGCCGCAGCCGGTTAACACCCTGGCCTGAAGCGTTGGCATCCCATATGGGCACTGGTTCGAGACCCAGCTGCTCCACTTCCAATCTAGCTCTCTGCTATGGCCTGGGAAAGCAGTAGAAGATGGCCCAAGTCCTTGGGCCCCTGCACCAGCGTGGGAGACCCGGAAGAAGCTCCTGGCTCCTGGCTTCAGATCGGCATAGCTCCAGCCGTTGTGGCCATCTGGAGAGTGAACCATCGGATGGAAGACCTCTCTCTCTCTCTGCCTCTCCTTCTCTCTCTGTAACTCTGACTTTCAAGTAAAATAAATAAAATCTTAAAAAAAAAAAAAGATTCACTTATTTATTTTTTAAAGATTCATTTTATTTATTTGAAAGATTTACAGAGAGGTAGAGACAGAGATAGGTCTTCCATCTGTTCCAAATGACTGCAACAGCTGGAACTGAGCCAATCCTAAGCCAAGAGCTTCTTCTGGGTCTCCAACGTGGGTGGCAGGGGCCAAACACTTGGGCCATCCTTCACCATTTTTCCCAGGCACATTAGCAGAAGATGGATCAAAAGTAGAGCAGCCAAGACTTGACCTGGAGCCCAAATGGGATGCCAGTGCCGCAGGCCTGGGCTTTTAACCCGCAACACCACAGTGCTGGCTCTAATTTTCTCATGTTTAAATTCATGATTAAACTTAGGGATATAAGTTTTGGGAAAGAAGCTCAGAGGGAAACTGCCATTCTCACCCCATGATGTTAAGGGCACACACTGTCAACATCACTGTTGTTAATCCTGATCTCTTGGCTTCAAGTAGTACTGGCTCCACTTCCGATTCTGGCTTCCTGCTAATGTGCACCCTGGGAGGCAACAGTTGATAGCTCAAGTGCTTGGGTCCCTGCTGCCCACATGAGAGACCTTGACTGAGCTCCTGGCTCTGGCCAAACACAGTCCTGATTTTCTGTGCATTTGGAAAGTGAACTACCATAATTTCATAGCTAAATTTGGAGGTTTGATCAAATTCAGGCTCTGTTTTGGAAGGAAGGGATAAGAATGTATTCTAGACTATTTTAGTAGCATCAGAGGTTATTAAGGCCAACACCTATATATATTAGTTCCCTGGTAATTATAAAATGTTACTATTCTATCATTTCTCTTCCTCTGTTAGTCAAAATACTTCTGTGCTGTGGTAGGCTAAGCCTCTGCCTGCCGCATCAGCATCCCATGTATGCATTGGCTGGTGTCTTGGCTGCCCCTCTTCCAAGTCAGCTCTCTGCTAATGGCCTGTGAAAGCAGTGAAAGATGGTCCAAGTGCTTGGGTCCCTGCATACATGTAGGCAACCCAGAAGAAGCTCCTGGTTCTTGTCTTCAAATTGGTTCAGCTCCGGTTGTTGCAGTCATTTGGGGTGTGAACCAGTGGATGGAAGATCTATCTCTGTTTCTACCTCTCTCTGTAACTCTACTTCTCAAATAAAGTCTTAAAGAAAAAAAGTAAGTTTTCTTTCATCCACTATTTGGTCTTCAGTTGTATAGGTTAAAAAAATGCATGGAATAGAGGAGTTTTTGAAATCAGCTTTTTCAAAATAATGAGCTGGTTGCCTAGCAACAATGATCCATTCATTCTTATCCTAAATTTCAAAATGAACTCAGGAATTTAAACTGAAAATCAATCAACTACCTTTCTTTTGTCCTTACCATTTAAAAATTATTCATAAAAATGTGGGAAATACAGAAAAGTAAAAATGTTGAAAAAATAATTATTCATTTTTAAATTTTTTTTTAATTTTTAATTTTTTTTTGACATGCAGAGTTAGACAGTGAGAGAGAAAGGTCTTCCTTTTCTATTGGTTCACCCCCCAAATGGCTGCTACAGCCGGCACGCTGTGCCGATCCGAAACCAGGCACCAGGTGCTTCCTCCTGGTCTCCCATGCGGGTGCAGGGCCCAAGGACTTGGGCCATCCTCCACTGCACTCCCGGGCCACAGCAGAGAGCTGGACTGGAAGAGGGGCAACTGGGACAGAATCTGGAGCCCCAACTGGGACTAGAACCCGGAGTGCTGGCACCACAAGCGGAAGATTAGCCAAGTAAGCCGTAGCGCCGGCCCCATTCATTTTTTTCATATCATTCATCTTCCATTCAGTATAACCACCGTTAATCAAACAAAAATTTTCCTTCTATGTTCCACTTGATCATACTGTATATCCCAGCTTATTTACTGATGTTAAAGATTTATTTTGGGGCTGGCTCTTTGGCATAGTGAGTAAAGCCACCGCCTGCAGTGCCAGCATCCCATAAGCGTGCTGTTCCACTTCAATCCAGCTCTCTGCTATGGCCTGGGAAAGCAGTGGAAGATGGCCCAAGTTCTTGGATCCCTGCACCCGCATGGGAGACCTGGAAGAAGCTCCCGGCTTCTGACTTCAGATCAGCACAGCTCTGGCCATTGTGGCCACTTGGGGAGTGAACCAGTAGATGGAAGACCTTTCTGTCGGTCTCTGCCTATGCTCTCTGTAACTCTGCCTTTTAAATAAATAAATAAATCTTTTTTAAAAAAGACTTATTTATTTAAAAGGCAGAGTTACAGAGAGAGAGAGGGAGAGCCAGACTTCCATCTGCTGGCTCACTCCACAAATAGCCACAATGGCCTGGGCTGGGCCAGGCTGAAGCCAGGAGCTTCATCCAGGTCCCTCACATAGGTGCAGGGGCTCAGGACTTGGGCCATCTTCTGCTGCCTTCCCAGGTGTTAGCAGGGAGCTGGATTAGAAGTGGAGCAGCCAGGACTAGAAGTGAAGCCCATATAGGATGCCGGTGTCACAAGTGGTGGCTTCACCATAATCCAGCCCCGATATCCCAGTTTATAAGTTACTTTTTTTCCATTATCAATATATTTGCCTTCCAATGCTTTCAAACCAGCTTGTTTCCATCCTCATTTGACAAGGGCAGTTCATCCCTATGACAGAGTTAGAAAAAGATCCATTTGGGGAAAGCACCCTCATTCCTGGTCTTGCCTTATTATGAGAGCTACTGAGAAACTGGCTTGAATACAGATTGTTCCTAATCAAGTTAATTTCCCTATAAGCGTCTTCAAACTATCAGGATTTGTACCTAACAATTGAGTTCTGCCTGAAATGGGGAAATCAGGGGGATGCTCTCACACTCGCTGGTAAACCCACCCTTATACATGTCATCTGGCTCAGTATTCTGCATACTCTGTCACAGAAGCTGGTTTGGGAATGTTCTGCTAGGCCTGAATATGGCCATACCACAAAAGCCTGGGAGCTCTTAAGAGCCCCCAGCAAGACCAATGCATAATACACATACTCCATTAATACAAGGGGTATTCAAAAAGTTGGTCAAAAATGTGTTTTATGAAAGACCTACCCATGGATCTTAAAATTTTTTTTAAATGAACGTAGACTTGTCTTTTAATTTCCCATGAATTTTTCTGAAGCACTCTCCTGTACACATACACACTCACAGTTTCTCTGTTTATTTTTATTGACAGTGATTTCTAAACTTGGGGTCACAACCAAGCCTTCACAGAATTAAACCTACAGAGATATATTTTGCAGTTCAGAGTTTTAAGCACTCTCAAATCTCCTACATCCCCAACACTCATTTTTTTTATCATTTCATGCATTTACTTACTTACCTGATCCCTGAAAAAAGCTATTTTTGTTTTTAAAAAGTTTAACCAAGTTGGAGTTCAACAAAGCTCAGTCTTGAGCTCTTTTCCTTCCCTTTATTCTTTCCCTAGGTAATGACATCCATTTTCATGACTCTGAATATGATCTCAACATAAGGTATATTATTATCAAAGCTAACTTTTTGTTATTTTCCAGATATCAGGCACCGTCCTAAGAATATTTCATGCATTAACCCATTTAATTCTTACAAGAATCCTGAATTGGAAACTATTATTATTCTCATTTCAGAATGAAGAATTGAGGCATACAGAGATTAAGTTACTATTCCACAATCACACAGTTAGTGACAGAAAAAAATCGGAATTTGAATCAGGCAGTGGGATGGCAGAGCCCCACTCTAATCACTCTACTGCAATGCCTGCATAGCATGTATGAAAACCCAGTCTCACTTGTTTGGTCTTTTCAACTTCATTGATTCTCTGAAACTCCCCAGTGAAGCTACCCATTTGTGGAATCTGTACCCACAGCACTGCACTAGTGGAACAGTGTCAAGAGTCCATGAGAAAGCAGAAGAACTGTTTTCCTATGGTACTTCAGATATAGATGAATTAATTTAAATGTTAAATGTATTAACCATATCACCTGCTTCATTCACATTCACAAAGAACTGTGTTCTCAGAACAAAAAATACCTCATCTCTTACCTTTGATGTCTCTATGGACAATCATATTACTGTGCAAATAGTGGACACCCTCTAAAATTTGACGGGTATATTTCCTTGTCACATTCTCAGTAAGAGCTCCATACGCTTTCAATTGGTCCTTAATTGAACCCTAGGAAAAAAACAATTACAATAAAAACTGTGCTGTGGTTTGAAATGGAAAGCAATAGTAAATTTCTATTTTAAATAATTTTTTCATTTATTTATTTTATTCATATGGAAGGTAGAGACAGACAGAGAGAAAGATGGAAAGGGAGTGAATAGGAAGAGATGGAGGGACAGACAAGGAAAAGAAAAGTACTTGAGTCAGCCACCTGTTGCTTTCTACAGTGCACATTCACAGGAAGTTGAATCAAAAGTGGAGTAGCTGGGCTGGTGCTGTGGTGTAGCAGGTAAAGCTATCGCCTGCTGTGCCAGCATCCCATATGGGTGCCAGTTCAAGTCCTGGCTCCTCCACTTCCAATCCAGCTCTCTGCTATGGCCTGGGAAAGCAGTGGAAGATGGCCCAAGTCCTTGGGCCCTGCACCTGCATGGGAGATCTGGAAGACACTCCTGGCTCCCGGCTTTGGATCGGCGTAGCTCCAGCTGTTACAGCCACTTGGGGAGTGAACCAGTGGAAGACCTCTCTCTCTCTCTCTCTCTCTGCCTCTCCTTCTCTGTGTAATTCTGACTTTCGAATAAATAAATAAATCTAAAAAAATAAGTGGAGTAGCCAGCACTCAAACCAGGCACTCCAATATAGGATGCAGGCATCCCAAGTGGCAACCTAACCGCTGTGCCGAATGCCCTCTCCTCAAATTCCTTTTTTAACATATCCTACTTTATGGGAATGCATGTATTTTTAAGTGAGTAAAGACACTAACAACCATATTGAAAGTTAACAGAATTAGAATGCACCCTATAGATTGGGAAGAATAACATACAAGGAATGATAGGTCACAAATCACAATTTGTAACTCCTAATGAAATTACTGACTCTAGCAATGACTATAAATCAGTTTTAAAACATTAGGTAGAAGGTTGAAAAGGAAGTGGATATTAACATATGCCATATGAACTGTAGCTCAGATTATTTTCAGGTCTGCAGGAAAAAAATTTACATTGTGGCAATTAGGATGTCAATCACCCTAAGTTAGCAGTCAAGTTTGGCATCACTACAGTGCAACAATAGGAAATCATGTCTCCTGATGGGATGCAACGCGAAGTCTACAGATGAAATAAAAACATGAAAGTTGAATCTAATTTAGACTTCACATCTAACGGAGTTTACAGGAAATAAATAAATAAAGGAAGACATTAAACAAAATACACGAAGATGCGATTTAAGTCTATGAGATGGGGCTATTAACAGAAAAACTATTTCAGTCTCTTTGCTAAATCTGCATCATGTAAAATTTTATTGTTCAGGATAAAAAAAGAATTAAGGGACATAACTAACTAAATATAATGTGTGGGTATAGAATGGAAACTGGTTAGGATAATCAGCTATAATGGACATTTTTTGGAAACCTAGGAAAATCTGAGGATGAACTACTGTAATATCTATAACCTATTTTAGAATAATTTAGCAGTAATGAGCTAAAATTTCAGAAATAGATGAAGAGAACAGAAAATATTAGACAATTCTAATTTAAAACTCTTGAAATGTCCTTAACTAGGATTAACATTTGACAATCAAGGTTTTTTAATTTGTTTCCTTAACAAGACTTAACAGATTTTCAAAGAGATATATCAACTTACCCCTGGCATATATTCCATAAATATGGAAAGTGTTTTTTCCTGGGGATCCCTCAAACAGCCATAATACTGAACAATTCGCTCATGCAGCAGGTTTTTCAACAGCTGAATTTCACATTCAAGTGCATTTACTTCCTAAAAAACAGAATGCACTGTCTTTACAACACTGTTAAAAAGCAAAAAATTCCAAGTTCATGAATTATCAAGGCAATTTCACTTTAAGATATTTACTACTCAAGAAACAAATAACTTAAGATCTCAAACCAGAAACTTTAAACAGTCTTTGATGATATACTAAAGCAACATTAAATCAGATTAGGAATATGACTAAAGTATAAAGAAAGAAAATTCCATAGTACAAAGTAGATAAAAGTTACCCTTATCATCTGTTTTGCAAATAATTTGCATTAAGGAAAACCCCCAAATTCTGTATATTATGTATTTTCTTTCAGTAAAAATGCATCTTACAATGTGACAAAGTCTGTGCAGTGATTATTACCTTGCTGGTCTCAGGGCTCTCGGGGTCAAATTGAACTTGCTTAACAGCCAATTCTCTTCCGGTATCAACATCATAACAGAGGTAGACCCTGCCAAAGGCTCCTTGGCCAAGCAGTTTGCCCAATCTCCAGTTAGTTGGAGCTCGAGGTGCTGAAAAAGAACACTTCCTTAAAATGGAGTAATCAGTTGGCACATGAATAGGAACTAAATGAATATACTGCATCACTGATAATCCTTTATTAAATGTGCTTGGATATGAGGGAAAATCATTACTACCCAAATTCATAATGGTTATAACCTTTCAAGATTTTTCTCTTGGGCCAGCACCGCGGCTCACTAAGCTAATCCTCAGCCTGCGGCACTGGCACCCCAGGTTCTAGTCCTGGTTGGGGTGCCGGTTCTGTCCCAGTTGCTCCTCTTCCAGTCCAGCTCTCTGCTGTGGCCCGGGAGGGCAGTGGAGGATGGCCCAGGTCCTTGGGCCCTGCACCCGCATGGGAGACCAGGAGGAAGCACCTGGCTCCTGGCTTTGGATTGGCGCAGCTCGCCTGCCGCAACATGCCGGCCGTAGCGGCCACTTGGGGGATGAACCAATGGAAAAAGGAAGACCTTTCTTTCTGTCTCTGTCTCTCACTGTCTAACTCTGCCTTTCCAAAAAAAAAAAATTTTTTTCTCTTTTTCTCTTTAGTCAGATTTTCTGAGGATCTAAACTGACACAAGTTTCATATCCCCATGACTTGCATATTTATAATTTTTTGTGATTATAAATGTGATAGCATCTTTCAATCTAAGATGCACTAATTTTCAGATATACTATTTCTAAAGATTTATCTATTTATTTGAAAGGCAGAGTTAGAGAGAGGGTGGGAAGAGGAGAGACAGAGAGAGAAAGAGATCGAAATCTTCCATCTGCTGCTTCACTCCCCAAATGGCAACAGCAAGGGCTGGGCAAGGCTAAAACCAGCAGCCAACAGATTCTTCCAGGTCTCCCACATGGGTGGCAAGGGCTCAAGCACTTGGGCCATCTTCCACTGTTTTCCCAGGCACATTAGCACAGAGTTAGACCAGAAGTGGAGTAGCCATGATACAAACCAGTGTCTATATGGAATGCCAGTATTGCAGGCGGTGGCTTAACACACTGCGCCACAACCTGGGCCCCAAGATGCACTATTTCTTATTTACACTGCAGCAGTATTTGGAATTAGATTTTCAGCTTCTACCTGCAACACAAAAAGCTGGAAAAAGAATCATTCCCATCCTAATGATAAAAAAGTCTATATAATTCACAAAATTATAACCTATATCAAATCTATCAGAAAACAGACTGCAGGGCAACCAACTAGCCAGGAATCCAAGGAAAAGAAGACATCTCCAAGGAGAGGTGAAATGTGAGCACTGGCTAACACAGAAAGACCCATATGGTACAGAAGGATAACTCTCCATTTTTAAGAAGTGTAGGTTATGAGAAAACTAAACCCTTAGGATCCTGTTCCACACACAAGGGTGAGTTTACACTTACTCAAAGTCTATTCTGTGGACCTCCACAGTGTACTTATGGGCAACACTACAAACTCCTCCCAAACCCTTCTCCCCTAAGAAACAGAAGTCTCAAACTGCTGGAGGAAGAGCAGCAAGCCATGTCACTTCTAGGTTACAGCTGAAAACCCACTAAGGTTAGGAGAACCAGGGTTGGAGATGAGTCCTATTCCCAATGGCCCTGACCATTAGAATTCCTGTAAACTGATGGGTGACATTCAAAATTGCCTTCTGTGGGGAGCAACTCAGACTAGACTAAGTTACTCGAATTAAGACTTATTCTATGCATCTGCTCTCCCACAATATGGCACTGGGAGAGGAGTAAACAGCTTCTACGCAACTGCCTCCAGTTCAACCAATAAACTGTGGGACCTGCTCCTGATTGGAGGAGAGCAGCGTACTCGGCGTGTGGGTAGCAGAGTTGGGATTGGTGGAAGAGGACTATAAAGGAAAAGAGAGACAACATGCACGAGGAACATCTATCTGAAAGAACACCTGAGCAGCCCCCGAGAGTGCCGGCTGGCGGTGTGCCGCTCCCCTGCGGAAGTGGGGAAAGTGGCAGGGGGAACCGCCCTTCCACGGAGGTGGAAAGGACGGTAGCCAACCCGGGAAGAACCAGCAGCAAACCCGGGGAGGGCCGAGCAGACAAAAGAACAGCGCAGGGTCCTGTGTCGTTCCTCCGCGAAGAGGGGGAGTGACACCTTCTTTCCAAATGTGGGTTAAATGGAGTTGGTGAGCCCCAAACTTGGGCTAGAGCAGAAGGCATAGACCAGGGCAGTTATTGCCATGTATGTTGTGGACCTCAGTTTTCATTAAAGTATTTATTGGCATCAAAAAAAAATTCCTGTACCCCTGGAAGATGGGCAGAAGCAATGCGAAAACTCACTTCTGAGAAGCAGGAAGAGAGAACCTAAGAATGAAGCTGGACAGGAAAAAGAGACCCTGCCATTTCTCCTCTGCTGTCCTGGGCCAACATATAGCTGCAATATACTGATGAAGGAAGACAAGGGCACAGACAGAGCCTCCTTCACTGACAAGATAATGCACAAGAAAGGCCAGAAGCTGAAGATGCAGCAAGACCACTGAGAAAATCCCTCTAGAAATAGTACCCAGGGTAAGTCTAGAGGAATTTGATGTCAGTGTTACCCAGAGACCATAGCAACAACAAAATCCAAAGCCATCTCAATTCCTGACTAGAGTGACTCAATCCCCCATAACAAGAGCCTAGCAGAAGAGCTGTGCTTATTTCTAGGCATAAATTCTATTTACCTCAGTCTATTATGCTATCATAACATCTAGCATTCAATGTAAAATCATAAGATGCAAAAAATAAATTTAGAAAAATCTAAAGGAAGGATAATCAACATAACCAGACTCAAGAGATTCAGACAGGAAATTTAAAACAACTATGATTAACACATTAAATGCTCTAATGGAAAAGTCAGACAATATGCATGAACAGATAAATACTTTTCCAAAAAAAGACTCATTTATTTATTTATTTGAAAGGTAGAGTTACAGACAGAAAAAGATCTCTCATCCTCTGGTTTACTCCCCCAAAGTCCGCAAAGACCAGGACCAGGGTTGGGGCAAGCCAAAGCTGGGAGCCTGGAACTCCATCTGAGTCTCCTGTATGGGTCTACACACTGCTTTCCCAGGTGCTTTGGCAGGAAGTTGAATGAGAAGTGGAACAGTTGGAACTCGAACTTGCACCTACATGAGACTCGAGTGTTGCAGGCAGCAGTTTAGCCTATTGTGCCACAATGCCAGCCCTGCAGATGAATATTTTCTGAGAGACAGTTAAGGGTCAACTGAAAATGCTTGGAGTAATAAAACAAGTATAAATAATTCCTTCAACAGGATCATGAATATACTCATCAGAGTTGAGGAAAGAATCAGTAACCTGAGAATAGATGCAAAGAAATTCCCAAACTGAAACAGACACATACACATACAGACATACACACAGACATACACGTGTGCGCCCGTGCACTGGGGGTATATGAAGGGAACAGAGGTATGAGACAATATCAAACAGTCTACTGTACAGATAATTGACATTACAAAAGAAGAAGAATGAACTAAAAGCAATACTTGAAGCGGTAATGACTGACTGATAATTCTTTCATAAAACTTAGAGAATGCAAATTGGGAACCACACACAAATATATCTAAACAATTTACATTCAAACTGCTGAAAAACAGAAGACAAAATTTTGAAAGCTGCCCAGGGTAGGAATAGGGGCAAACTACATACAGAAGAACAAAGATAAGAATTACAGCAGTTTTCTCCTCAGAGAGCATACAAGCCAAAAATGTCAGCACTAGGCACTTTACAAAGATAAGTGGAAAGAATGGATGAAAATGGAGCTTTAAAGTGCTGAAAGAAAAAAAAAAAAACCTATGACTGGAATTCTATACCTAGATAAAATATGCCTTTCAAAAATGAAGGGAAAATAAGTAACTGAAAGAACAAAAGATGAGAAAGAATTTATTACCAGATTTGTATTATAAGAAAGGTTAAATGCAATTCTCAAGCAGAAGGAATTTGATATCTGATTAGATGTTGGATCACACAGAAAAGGATAAACTGAAGGTGTATATAAAAGCAGTACAAAGGGGCCAGCACTGTGGTGCAGCAGGTTAAAGCCACGGCGTGCAGCACCAGCATCCCCTATAGGCACTGATTCGAGTCCTGGATGCACCATTTCTGATCCAGCTCCCTGCTAATGCATCTGGGAAAGCAGCTGAGGATGGCTCAAGTCCCTGGGCCCCTACACCCTGGCTCTGGCCCAGCCTACTCCTGATCATTGCAGCCTTTTGGGAAGTAAACCAGAAGATGGAAGATTTCTCTGTCTCTCTACCTCTCTCATTGTTACTCTTTCAAATAAATAAACAAATTAAAAAAAAAAAAAGAGGAAGAAGTAGTAGTACAAGGGCCAGAGCTGTGGGGTAGCAGGTAAAGCTGTCACCTGTAGTGATGGTTCAAGTCCTGGCTGCTCCATTTCCAATCCAGCTCCCTGCTGGTATGTCTGGGAAAGCAGCAGAATATGGCCTGAATATTTGGGCCCCTGATCCCACATAGAAGATCCAGAGTAAGCTCCTTGCTGTTGGCTTCAACCTGGCTCAGTCCTAGTCGTGGCCATTTGGGGAGTGAGCCAGCGGATGGGAAGTATCTGCCTCTTTGTAACTCTGTCTCTCAAGTAAATAAATAAAAAAATAAAAGTACAAAGATATTACTCTGCTATTTTTTCATCACTTTAAAAGATAGCTGTCTGGGGCCAGTGCTGTGGCATAGCGGGTAAAGCTGCCACCTGCAGTGCTGGCATCCCATATGGGCAGTGGTTCTAGTCCTGGCTGCTCCATTTCCGATCCAGCTCTCTGCTATGGCCTGGGAAAGTGGCCCCTGTAGCGGCGTGGGAGACCTGGAAGAAGCTCCTGGCTCCTAGCTTTGGATCCGCGCAGCTCCGGCCATTGTGGCCAATTGGGGAGTGAACCAGCGGACAGAAGACCTCTCTCTCTCTCTCTCTGCTTCTCCTTCTCTCTGTGTAACTGACTTTCAAATAAATAAATAAATCTTTAAAAAAAAAAGATAGCTGTTTAAAGCAAATAGCATAGAAACGCAACGTGGGGTCATGGATGTAGAAGGTATTACAACACTAGCACAAAAGGAAGGAATACAGAATATGCAAATACTGCTGCATGAATCTTCAAGGGTGGGGAACCTTTTTTCCGCCAAGGGCCATTTGGATATTTATAACATCATTCGTGGGCCATATGAAACTATCAACCTAAAAATTAGCCTGCTACAGGTTCAGTGAATTTTGAGTCCCACTTGTGGTTGCTATGGCAGGGCCAGATCACCTGATTTCCAGGGCCTTATTATGGCTGTGGGCCAAAGGTTCCCAAGCCCTGCTTTACATGTATTGCTTACATATGGTGGGTTTTCAAAAAAATCTGAGGAAACTGTAGGGATCACAAAATTTTTTGCACCAAAATATACTTAACTTCTAATTTCATTTTCCATGAACTTTCTGAAGTACTCTTGTAAAGCACAAATACTCAGTCTGGCCTTAGTGACCATTATAATCCTATTACCACTATTTCAAGGAAGATATCCCCATTCATGTTCCTACAAATGAACTGCTCCCCATTTTCAGACTATGGCATAGTTTCTCACACACTTCATCTCCTTAACTGATGAATTTCTACCCACACTTATGACCTAGTTATTATGCTATAGACTATAATTATTTCTCCATATATCATTCTCCCCATTATACTATGTCTTATGAGGTCATGCTGAAATTTCAGTAGGAGTCACTCAACAAGGATATATGGAATGAGTGGATGAAAAAATGACTAGCTGGGTGCAGTAGGTTAATCCTCCACCTACGGCACCAGCATCCCATATGGGTGCCAGTTCTACTCCTGGCTGCTCCTCTTCCAATCCATCTCTCTGCTGTGGCCTGGGAAGGCAGTAGAGAATGGCCCAAGTCCCTGGGCCCCTGCACCAGCATGGGAGACCAGGAAGCAGCACCTGGCTCCTGGCTTTGGATCAGCACAGCTCTGGCCATTGCAGACATTTGGGGAGTGAACCAGAAGATGGAAGACCTTTCTGTCTCTCCCTCTCACTATCTGTAACTCTACCTCGCAAATAAATAAATTCTTTAAAAAAAAAAAAAAAAGGCATAATTATCTCAAGTAATTAGCAGGAAAGCTATGCTTATAGCTCATATTCCAACCACCTTTACAAACATCATTACCTCTTTTTGAGGAGTCTGTCTCAAAGTTTGCTTGGTATTTACTCCTCTTAATACTACAAATTTTGGTGAAAATTCTGCTAAAATATGCCAATTTCTATTACTTACAACGGCTGGGTGGGCTGATGTCCATCACAGTCAAGGTAGGATTCTCTATATCACTTCCCCTTCTTCTTATTCGACTATCATCATACTCCGGGGTAAAGATACTGCTTCCACTACTGGTACTTAAGGAGTGATCAGTAGGACTGAAACTCACAGGAGACCGAAAGCTGGTCCCCTGGGTCCTTCTGGCTCTTGGAAAAGTTTTACGACCTACAAAATGAAAAACAAGAAATATTTTATACCTTTTATCAATATCCTGTACTATTAAAATATTTAAATTTGTAATGTAGGGAACTTTTGTTCTATGACTAGGCTATGAAACTGAAACAGCAGTTTGCAGGAGGCAGGGATGAGTACGGGGGATTAACAGAAATTTATTCCAACTCAAACAATCACTTAGGGTGAAATGTACACATATAAAAATAACAAAATAGGACTCTCACATTTTTGGATAAAAAGGAGAAAAATATGTTATTCTCATTTCCAATAATTTTAAAATATAAAACAAACACTGCAAAAGTTTATAGGTAGTACTTCTGTCTTTAAGGGGCAATGTGAGTATAAATTTCATCTTCAAGAAGTAATTTTCTGAATAAAATAATTTTTAAATTTCTCCTTTTAAGAGAAAGAGAAGTACGTTAAGTTGACATAAAGCTAAAATACTATCATGGTTTTATTTAAAGACCAATTTTCTCAAAAAAAAAATAAAAAGTGTCTTTTAACCAGGATACTAAGTGATTCTGAAACCAATTTATGTCTAACAGTATTACACAAATACAGGACTTTAAATTTTTTCATTTATTTTATTATTTTTGATATTTTTAACAAAGTGTTCTTAAAGTCTAATTGTCAATAACTTACCATCATTATACTCTTGGTGGTGATATGAAATATGATACCTTCTTGGATATGTTCCTCCTTTTCCAAATTTCTCAAAGATAGGGTTATCATAATCTGTTATGACAGATAAGAAAGTTTTATGTTGTATAAAAGTCAAATATTTTTAGTGATGAAAATCATATTTAAAAGTTTCTGAAGAACTAGCACTATGGTGCAGTAGGTTAAGTTACAGCCTGCGATGCTGGATCTCATATCGGAACACCAGTTAGAGTCCTAGCTGCTCCATTTCCAATCCAGCTCCCTGCTAAATATGCCTGTGAAGGTAGCCGAAGATGGCCCAACTATTTAGATCCCTGCCACCCATGTGGGAGACCTGGATGCAGTTCCTGGTTCCTCAGCCCTGATCATTGTGGCCTTTTGGGAGTGAACCAGCACATGAAAGATCTCTTTTTCTGTGTCGCTCTGCCTTTCAAAAAATTTATTTCAAAAAATACGTAAGAAAGGAAATAACTGCCTCCCTGAGAAGCAGTTTGCCAAGCCTTTAAAAAAAAAATGCTTTTGATTTAGGGGATACACATTTGGTACAGTGGTTAAGTTGTGGCTTGAGACATCTGCATTCTATATCAGAATGACTAGGTTCAAGCCCTGGCTCTGATTTCAATTCCAGCTTCCTTGTAATGTGTACCCTGGGAGGTAGCAGGTGATAGCTCAAGTACTTGGGTTCCTGCTACTCCTGTGAAACACCCAGATTCAGGTCCAGGCTCCCCATTTTGGCCTGGTTGCTGTTTTAGGCTTCTGGGGAAGGAACCAGCAGATGGGAGATCTGCCTCTCTCTCTCTGGCTCTCTGCCTTTCAAGTTTTTTAATAAATAAAATGAAAAATTTTTTTTAAATCTTTGATTTTTCGAACATTTCCCCTCTTCCTCCCAACGAAAATATTACCCAATGACACAAACAATTATAATTTATATAGTCTAACCTGAAAATTCCTGATGATTATCTGGATAGCTCTGTGCCCTAGGCATTCGTGACTTTGGATAGCTCTCTCTAAAAACAGAAAATGTCACATTAAGTTATGAGAAAGTATATAAACAGGATATTTTAAAATCTTTAAACAGTATATCTGGTCTTTATTTCTAGGCATATAGTACCTAACATCTTTGTAATCTTTAAAGTGATAAGTGTCTTATATGCTAATAAGCTAACTGCTCCCTGCCCCTTAGTAGATTTAAGATAGGGGCTGGTCATGGAAAAGACCAATACAGGGTTTGGAACTTCCATTTCCATCCACAACTTTCATGGATAGGGCCAAAGCAAAAAAGTTGAATGTCAGCTGGGTTCTATGGAGTAGTAGATTAAGCAATTCCTTGGGATGACCATATCCCGCGCATCAGAGTGCCAGTGCAAGCCCCAACTCTGCTGCTAGTGATCCAGCCCCTTGCTAATGATCCTGGAATGTAGATGACAGCACCTGATGTCAAGTTCCAGGTTGCTGGCTCCTGCCTGGCCCAGCCCTGGTTTTTGTGGGTGAACTAGGATATAGAGTATCTTCTCTGTCATTCTTACTTTCAAGTAGATGAAAATAAATAATTGTAACTTTACCTATTAAAAAAAAAAAAGTTGATCACCAATAACCAATGATGTATTCAATTCTGCCCATGAAATGTAGTCTCCATGAAACCCAAAAGGACAGGTTTTGGAGAGCTTCCTGTAGGTGAACACATGGAGGTTCCTAAAGAATGCTGTGTCCTGAGAGGGTCTGGAGGCTCCCCACGCCTTTCCCCACACCTGGTCCTATATTTCTCTCCCTCTGCTAATTTCTTTCCCTCAGTTCTGTGAGCTGCTCTATGTAGCAAGCTAATGGAACCCGAGGAGATGTTGTGGGAACTGAAAATTATAGTTGCTCAGCTAGATGTAGAGGTAAAACAGCCTGGGGCTTAAAACTGGCATGGCAGGAGTCATTCTTAAAGACTGATACTTCAACCTGTAGGATCTGACACTGTCTCCAGTCAGAATTAAACTGAATTAGAAGACACCTGGCTGGTGCCCACTATAACTGATTCCTTGCTTAGTTTGTGAAGAAAAATCCCACACATTTGGTAGGAGTTATTTATCTTATATCCTCAGAATATGTGCAAACAAAGGAGCTCATTCAGAAATGTTAACATACCTAAATAAAGATAAATTTTTTAAATACTTATTTGGTGCATGTAGGGGGAAAAAAAAAACCCTGGCTTTTAAAATTAACTTGTAGAATATAATGGTAAAAATTATGTATTTCGCATTCACTGGTGCTTAAAAATATCTGTGTTTCAATTTAAGCTCTGCCACTTAACTGTGTAACCTTGGCAAATCAACCTGAGGTTGTTCCACATCTATAAAAAGGACATAAGTTCTAAGTCATCATAGGTAAACAGGTGAAATGTTAAGGAAAACGCCTTGCAAATATTAAGTACTCAACATGTAATTTTCTTATTACCACCTTTGATTTCTTAAATGTCTACCTTGAGGTATTTGACACAGACAGAGGCTGCATATATATGGATAAGAAAAACTTAAGTGGACATTACCACAAAATATGTAATCTTTACAGAATCTGCTGTCACACAACAATCTCAAAGGAGATTAAACAAAGCCGGCGCTGCGGCTCAATAGGCTAATCCTCCACCTTGCGGCGCCGGCACACCGGGTTCTAGTCCCGGTTGGGGCGCCGGATTCTGTCCCGGTTGCCCCTCTTCCAGGCCAGCTCTCTGCTATGGCCAGGGAGTGCAGTGGAGGATGGCCCAGGTGCTTGGGCCCTGCACCCCATGGGAGACCAGGAAAAAGCACCTGGCTCCTGGCTCCTGCCAGGATCAGCGCGGTGCGCCGGCTGCAGCGGCAGCCATTGGAGGGTGAACCAACGGCAAAGGAAGACCTTTCTCTCTCTGTCTCTCTCTCTCACTGTCCACTCTGCCTGTCAAAAAAAAAAAAAAAAAAAAAAAAAAAAAAAAAAAAAAAAGGAGATTAAACAAGAAAAGATTTTAATATTCACCCATGTGTTACAAAGTGACTACCATGAACACTGTCCTTCTCAGACCAGGAGAGGGAGCACTTCTAATAAACAATTCACAGCCACAACTTGATCCCCCTCATATTCCTCAACAGCTATTTCACAAAAAAAGTTTTTAAATACTTGAAATGACAAGCAACACACTAGGCCACAATGACCAAGAATGTAAGTTATTTTGAGTCTGGTATCAGAATGAAAGTAATCATGAATAGGTAGCACTCAAGAAATTTCCAAATTCAAACATACTTATGAAAACTCTGACAGCAGTTTCACACACACAGTTTTAAATGTAGGGGCCAGTGTGGTGGCACTGTGACACCAGCATCCCATTCCAGAGCGCTGATTTGCATCCTGGCTGCTTCACTTCTGATCCAGCTCCCTGCTAATGTGCCTGAGAAAGCACTTGGGTCTCTGCCATCCATGTGGAGACCTTGACAGCGTTCCAGACTCCTGGCTTCAGCCTGGCCCAGTCTTGGCCACTGCAGCCATTTGGGGAATAAGTCAGAAGGAAGGTCTCTTTCTGTCCCTTCATCACTGAACTTTTCAAGTAAATAAATCTTTATAAAAATTTTAAAATAATAATGGTAAATATATAGAAATTCTAAATGTGCATTCACTTTCAATGAACACACTTTTGGCAAGCAGAAAAAATAATAAACATACTGAATTCCTTAAGGATAAAGGATTTATCCAAGGTGGGAAAAATTCATTTGCCATTAGCGTAGACACACATCAGCTAATTATTCATCTAAATACAGCACAAAAGTTACTGATAATACATACTTACTGTACATTCATTTATCCACAACTATTAAAAAAAAACAAAAATATTATCAATTACCCATCCAAAGGACTATCAAGTGATGGACAACTTCCTGAGCCAGAATTTTCAGGACTGCTTAAAGATAATGGATCCAGCATCTAGGAAAACAATAGAGTTCTGCCATGATTTGATCTGACATAACCCAAAGCTGCCTTTTTAAAATTGCTCTATTGAGGTGTAATTTACATAACATAAAACTCATCCATCCAAAGTACACATTTCAATGGCTTTTAGTAATACTGTAATACTGAGAGTGTGCCACCCTCACCATAGCTTTAGAACATTTTCAGTACCTCCAAGAGAAATCCCATCCCAAAAAGGTCTCTTGTACGTAAACCACAACTTCAAAACTTCTTAAAAGAAAATACACTTTCTCTAGAAACTATTAGCTAAATAATAAAAATTTAAAACACATTACATATTTTTGTCTCCTTAAAACTGAATAACAGCCCCACCCAAATGGAATCTGGATAATAAGGCGACTGCTACCTCATTACAAAATGTAAACTACTGTAGCTATGCAAGCACCCAGTGCAATGTTAAGTATACCTGTTTTATCTACTGAAATGTTCCTGTATTTTAAAAAATGTTTTTACTTCATAAAATTTGTAGTTTTACTCTTTCAAATGTCAAAAAATATCAATGTTAGCTAATGCTAGGATTTCAAAACAAAACTTTTGTTAATTTATTCTTCTGTGAATAAGCAATATAAGAAAATCAGTCTTAGTCCAGCTTTCTTTATACATTAATTGATACAGAACACTTCAGTGGGCAGTTTCCTTTAAGAAGGCAGAAGTGAGCCTGGAGAAAAGGTCACACATACATACACACACACACACACACTCTCTCTCTCTCTCTCTCTCTCTCTCCCTACCAAATCACACCGCACCTGACAATGTATCTGAACAAAAAGGAAAGCAACATCAAGCTTCTGCTTACTTGGTCCATGCTCTCTGGAATGAACTCTCCTTCACTGTTGATGCTAGTGAATGACCCGTTCCGGGCAACCTGGTGTAATTCATCTGGAATGTATCCTGGGGGAGGGGAGCTTCTGTCTCTACTAGTGGAACCTCAAAGGAGAAAAATTACGTGCATTTTTATAAATACCAGCAAGGAAATAAAATTTTGTTTTAACTGAATAGGTTGTATTTCTGAACTACATCAAAAGCAATTTTAGCAAATGAATCCAGTGTTTGTTAAAACTTAACAGAATGCTTATGTTTGTAAAACTAGAAATGTTTCTGTGCTCTTCATAAGCTCCCACCCTACTCCCTGTAATATTCAGTTAATATTTATTAGGTAGTACGTTCTCCTGAGTGCTGACAGCTGTATCATGGGCTGATAATGCACATTTTTAGATATGCTTGATATGCTGCTTCTGAACTTCCAGAGGCCACTGGTACCGTAGCACATGCTAGCTGTTAACCTAACTGATGGGCGGCATTATGATACAGTGAAAGGATAAGGGCTCTGGAGTATTCCAGTGTACATCCCCACCTCTGGCTATTTACCAGCAGCTATGTCTTTGCATAAATTACACAATCTTCATTAGCCCATTTCCCTCATCTGCAAACATGAAAATAAAACTCTTCTGTGCATGGGTGTTGTGATCACAAAATCATTCATAATGAACATGGTCTATGCATATTTGGCTCGGTGATATTCTTTCCATTCACTCTCTTTAATCTTTAGAAATCTGAAGTGAAATTACTTCTTTGTCATTTAGCCCTATGTAAGAGTATTTATAATTTTCAATCTTGCATTTTATTTTGGGGTACTTAAAAATCAGGCTTTTTCTGTGGCAAATCTTATTCCTGGAATTCAAATTTATTAGTAGTTTAGAAAAATAGATGAGCAAGAGTTGTGCTTAAGCTTGCAACACCAGCACCCTATATGAACACCAGTTCATGTCCCAGCTGCTCTTTTTTTTAAAAGAGTTATTAATTTATTTGAAAGGCAGAGTTAGAGAGAGGCAGAGGCAGAGAGAGAGATCTTCCATCCACTAGTTAACTCCCCAAATGGCCCCAATGGGCTGGAGCTGGGTGGATCCGAGGGCCAGGAGCCTGGAGATGCTCCCAAGTCTCCCACATGGGGTGCAGGGGCCCAAGCACTTGGGCCATCTTCTACTGCTTTCCCAGGCCGTAAGAGAGAGCTAGATCAGAAATGGGGCAGCAAGGACTTGAACTAGCACCCATATGGGATGTGGCACTGCAGGTGGTGGCTTTACCCACTACACCACAGCATCCTCCCCACCTCCAGTTGCTCCACTTCTGATCTAGCTTCCCCTGGGAAAGCAGCAGAAGACAGCCCAAGTACTTGGGTCCTTGACATACATGTGAGAGATCCAGAAGGAGTTCCTGACTCCTGGCTTGGACCAAGCCCTGCTCTGGTCATCAAGGTCATTTGGAGAGTGAACCAGCAGCAGTGTGTGTGTGTGTGTGTGTCTCCCTCTATCTCTGTAACTCTGCTTTTCAAATGAGTACACACATCTTTAAAAAAAAATTTTATTCGAGGGGCCAGCGCTGTGGCATAGTAGGTTAAGCCTCCACCTGTGGCACCAGTATCCCATATAGGCAATGGTTCAAGTCCTGGCTGCTCCACTTCTAGCCCAGCTCTCTACTAATGGCCTGGGAAAGCAGTGGAAGATAGCCCAAGTGCTTGGGCCCCCCCACCCATGTGAGAGACTCAAAGGAAGCTCCTGGTTCCTGGCTTTGGATCAGCCCAACTCTGGTTGTTGCTGCAATTTGGGGACTGAACCAGCAGTTTGAAGACCTTTCTCTCTGTCTCTCCCTCTCTCTGCCTGTAACTCTGCCTCTCAAATAAATAAGTAAATCTCTAAAAAATTTTTTTCATTCAAAAAGCAGGTAGACAGACAGAGCTGCCACCTGCTAATTCACTCCCCAAATGCCTATAAAGACTCAAACCAGGAGCCAGGAACTCAATTCAGTTCTCCAATGTAGGCAGCAGGAATTGAATTGCTTGAGCCATCACCACCACCTTCCATGGTCTGCATTGGTGGGGAGCTGGAATCACCAACCTGGAACTGGGCATCAAACACAGACACTCCAATATAGGACTCAGATGTACTAAGTAATGTCTAAAATGATAGGCAAATGTCAGCCCAAGTCAAATTTAAGGCAAAAGGGCTTTAGCCTTATATAAAGGGGTCATTTTAAATGAATGCCAGCATTCATTAGTGAGACAGGCAGAAAAACAGCAAGGTACATATCAAGGGAAGCACATAAAAGAAATCACCTACACTTCTCTGTAAAATGATTAGAGGCTGAACTTTGAGTCAGTGTCAATTTAGGTTCTACAAATAACTATAGCCACAAAGATGATATTGGGCCCTATTGTTTTTATTCTTTCATAAATCCTTATTTATAAAAGATCAATATATTTAATTACTAAAAGGAGACAGGGAAGAAAAATGGTTATGAAAACCCCTTTATCTTCTAACTTGACGGCCCATTTGTCTTCACTCTTGTTAGTAATGGATCTATCAATCCACACTTGCCTCAGATCTTTACACTGGCCTACACCTCCACCCCAAAGGAAGATTTCCTCTTGCTTCCCTTTATGAAGAGAATTAAAGGTAATAATTACCAATAATCAAGGAAAAACAGTAATGGTCATATGTATGTATCAAAGCCATTCCAAGTTTAAAGTAACGCCAATAAAAAACTAGTGATTCTATATAATTTCCAGTTTCTTCTTCCTCTGGCACTTAAGTCAAACAACAAGAACATTTATTAGTAGATTAAGGTATTTGGTAGAATTTTAATTCAAAATGAATTCAAAATGTCAATTCAGCTGGGGCATTTAACTTGCTCTGTCTAATGCGATGAAAATGAACTGGCAACTTACTTCAAAATATAGGTATTATAAAGTGGTAAGAAACAGATAAAGAAATGCACAACTAAGAGTAGTCATGCTTTCCAGAGTCAGCAGTATAGAGTACTTTACAAGAGTTCTCTCAACAATCCAATGAGTTAAAGACAAATTTACTGGTCTGATGGCTGCTGGGTTAATTAGAGTGCTCAATGATTCAGATACCAGCTTTCTTACCTATCACAGACAGTCGTTTTTTCCTTTCTGCTCCAAATACTGTGTTATCCAAATCTTCTAGTGATGTTAATGGTTCTACAGTAGTAGCCTACAGAGGATAAGTGACAATTTTAATGTTATTCTTCCCCTTCAGGACTTTTAAATAGAATCCTCTTCCCTACCAAACACAATCTAGCTATTCTATATTGTTTATGGGCCTTAGCAAACCTTACACTCTTTGAAACTTTTATTCTAACATAATTCTTCCCAAACTGTCAGTTTCTGTTAGCTTCACATACTCAAAATATTATACTTATTTGTAATTTTTGACTTGTAGTTTTGAAGAGCAAAGTTATTGAAACAATAGCAATTAAAGTGTGTACTTTTACATTTATTCATATTGAAAATACAGTGATGATTACATAATGTAACTATTTCAAACATTGGATTTTATAGGCTTAAATCCCACAATTATTAAGAAAAAATTCCAATTCCTACCTGTGCATTACCATTTATTACAAGCAATATTTTGAGGCTCTTCATATGAATACTACGATCCAACAGTTCCACAGCTTTATCCAAGTCATCTTGGGTAGTTAGTGGAATTACCAACTAAACAAAAAGGAACATAAAGAATCATACAGCCATCTCATCAGGTCAAGCTCTCCCATGGTTATCCCCATTACTAGGGCATTAAAAATTTCAAAATACCTTGCTCTTTGATTTGTTACTACAATGACAGTCTGAATAAGCACATGACTCTATATTGTTTTGCTCTCCCCATGCTGCTACCAGTAAAATCTCAGAATAGATACAGCTAAATATTTTTAAATTTAGCTGTTAATTACATAAAGATTAATTTTCTAAGATTCTTCCACAATATTGCCAAATATAACTTACAAAATATTCATCCCCAAATGACATTAAGGAGTACAACACAAACTGTATAAAATAAAGGTATGATTTTTCATCTGCACAGATGAAACTCTCAGTGCTTTTTCCAATAGTAAACACAGATTTGCGCTCATGCCCAGTGCGCTCCTTGACACACCAACACCCACAGCATCTGTGACAGCTGCCATAGAGAACTGCCACAAGCAACCTACATGCCATCTGCAGTCCACCTGGGGTTTGCCTCTCTGACCCTGCTGGCCTGAGCACTGTTCTTGCAAGAAACCAAATGGGTCAGTCATCCCATCAACTCTAAATGTGGAAATCTGCTTTCATCAATTGTCTCATGGATCAGCTATTACAGAGGACAAAAGCACCAAAGAGGTCTGTGAGAAAAAGTATGATGCATACATTTTAAGAAACTCAAAAATACTTTTAAAATGTCAACTTAGTAGTTCAAGAAGACTGTCAATAACTCCAAAGTACATTCAACTTTATTGAAAGACAAACAGAAGTAAACAAATGAACGTATTCCACTTGCCCTTATTAGCAGAGTCTATGAGTCACTCAAATTGAAGGCCTACATAGTTTGGGATTCCCTACAATACCTTGTGAACAAGGACCTATGCACATTAGCAATAACTACAGAGCACAGCAAAGAGAAAAGACTTGGTAAATGTTATTTAATAAATATCATGTAGGGGAAGAAGGCACTTCAGGAACAGTGGGTTAAGCCATATCCTATGACACTGGCATCCCATATAGCACTGGTTCAAATCCTGGCTGCTCCACTTCTGATCCAGCTTCCTGCTGACATGCCTGGGAAAGCAGCAGAAGATGGTTCAAGTGCTTGGGCCCCTGCCACCCACGTGGAAGACCCAGATGGAGTTCCAGGCACTGGCTTCAGTCAGACTCAGACTCAGCCAACTGCAGCTATTTGGGGAGTGAAACAGTAGATGGAAGATGGATCTCTTTCTCTGTCTTTCAAATAAATAAATACATCTTAAAAAATAAACAGATAGATAACCCAGAGGTGAAAGGTGAAAGTTTGATGTACATCCAAACCCACTAACTAGCAGGGCATACATTCATTCTCTATGATTTCTTTATGAGAAACACCCTTGTTTTAAGAACCACAAAGGACTACCATGAATTCCATCACACAGTCTGCTCACATTTACTAACTCAACACCTACAACCTAAGTCCCAACTTCTGTCTGAGGCTAATTTCATACTACAAGTTACCCAGCCACTGGACTCTGTTTTCCTTTTAAGAATTTGTTCCTAATGAAAAAATAATTATTAACTAATATTACACAAGTCTGATCTATTTATCTGCTTAATAAATTCCTTTCCTTCTCCTACCAGTTATGAATCAAATGGGCAATTTTGCTCCTCTCATTAATCATCTTTTTTATAGTCCTGATGTGATTATCCCTATGTTCTAAGGTCACCTATTACAAACAGTAAAATCCAGAATGAGAGTCAAGAACAAGTCCTGGCTTATCTAAATTATAGTAAATAAAACAGAATTTTCATGCTTCACAAATTCATTTCAGTATTATTCACGCAATCTCCCTTCAGCTAATTTTTGATATGTTATGTTAATATAAATCCTTTCCACAAAAGAAAAAAAATTAGTTCAAGAACACAAGGAATAGAACTTAAATTTGAAATAAGTGAATTATCTTCTTGACTTTACACAGTGAAATATGAAAATAGCCCATAGATTTTCTTGTTCTCATCTAAACTGAGAAAGAGTTCAGAAAATCTCCCACAAGAACAACTACAGTCAGCATCTTACTAGAAAAAACAAATCCATTCAAGCTTCAAATTCCTGGTTATTTCAATTCTGGTGAACCATAAGTTTATACGGTAATAGTTCATTTTGGGCCAGCACTGCAGCTCACTAGGCTAATCCTCTGCCTATGGCGCCGGCACACCGGGTTCTAGTCCCGATTGGGGCGCCGGATTCTGTCCCGGTTGCTCCTCTTCCAGTCCAGCTCTCTGCTGTGGTCTGGGACTGCAGTGGAGGATGGCCCAGGTCCTTGAGCCCTGCACCCGCAAGGGAGACCAGGAGGAAGCACTGGCTTCTGGCTTCAGATCAGCGCAGTGTGCCAGCCGTAGCGGCCATTTGGGAGGTGAACCAACAGAAAAGGAAGACCTTTCTTTCTGTCTCTCACTGTCTAACTTTGCCTTTCCAAAAAATAAAAAATAAAAAAAAAAGTTCACTTTGAACAGCATGAATGATACTGTACCAGAAATAAGTAAATAAGTGGAATAATATGCAGTATACATGAATTTTTTATTTGTCTACAGGTACACAAAACTAACACCTCTTGTAAGATTTTCCTTAGGGCCTGGAGCTGTGGTGTAGTAAGTTACGCATCCACCTGTGGAGTTGGTATCCCATATGGGTGCCAGTGTGAGTTCCGGCTGCTCCATTTCCAATCCAGCTCTCTGCTATAGCCTGGGAAAGCAGTAGAAGATGGCCCAAGTCCTTGGGTTCCTGTACCAGCATGGGAGACCCGGAAGAAGCTCCTGGATCCTGGATTCCAATCAACCCAGCTCTGGTGGTTGTGGCCATTTTGGGAGTGAAATAGCGGATGGAAGACTTTTTTCTCTCTCTCTCCGCCTATGCCTCTCTGTAACTCTGCCTCTCAGATAAATAAACAGATCTTAAAAAAAAAGAAACTGCAAGGCATCACTATAGTATAGTACTCGTCCCTTTGTGGATATTAAATGTTTGGGTTATGGATTTTTACTTTCTCAAAATATTTTCATCTCTGAGCTGTACGTGGTTTCTTTAGACAAGCTACATTAACATTTTCTTTTGCTTTAACTATTTAAAATCTAATATATTTAAGTATTTTATTTACACTTTTTAAAATGTTATCTATTTATTTGCAAGGTAGTTACAGAGAGAGGCAGAGGCAGAGAGAGAAAGTCTTCCAATTGCTGGTTAACTCCCCAGTTGGCCACAGCAGCTGGAGCTGAGCTGATCCGAAGTCAGGAGCTAGGAGCTTCTTCCAGGTCTCCCATGCGAGTGCAGGGACCCAAGGAGTTGGGCCATCCTTCACTGTTTTCCCAGGCCACAGCAGAGAGCTGGATCGGAAAAGGAGCAGTGGGGACTCAAATCAGAGCCCATATGGGATTCCGGCTCCATGTTAGCGCACTATGCCACAGCATGGACCCCTTGCACTATTTTTTTTAACACTGATAAAGCACCTTCACATGTTTTCTTGCATTAATTTTTACTAAGCTGTCTGCTATCACTCTATCCCCACTCCACTTTATTTTTAAATTTTATTTATTTATTTGAGAGGTGGAGTTACAGAGAGAGAGAGTGACAGAGACAGAGACAGAGAGACACTGATTCACTCCAGAAATTGCCCCAAGAGCCAGAGTTGGGCTGATCCGAAGCCAGGAACCAGGAGCCAGGAGCTTCCCCAGGGTCTCCCAACGTGGCTACAGGAGCTCAAGCACCTCGGCCATCCTCAGTTGCTTTCCCAGGCCATAGTAGAGAGCTGGATTGGAAGAGGAGCAGCCAGGACCTGAACCAGTGCCCATGTGGGATGCCAGTACTGCAGGCAGAGGCTCAGCCCACTATGCCACACCGCAGGCCCCATGGCACTTTTCCTATTTCTGAAACACACACATCTTTTCCTCCTTAGGGTCTCTATATGCACTGCTCTCAAGCCACTCTCCCAATCAGCAAGGATCTTTGTCTGAAACTCTTTGTAGGATCAGTTTTTCATACTTAAGAGTCTCAGTATATTCTGTAGACAAATGAAAAACTCACTTATACCACATATCATCCCACTTACACAAATATTTCTGGCATTGCTTTTCTTTAATATTATAAATAGGACATCTTCTGCCTTTGCTTTTATTCTTCATCACAATACTTTATACATTTCCTTCAAAGAATTTCCTATGTTTGAACAACCCACTTATCAGTCGTCTGCTTCTATACTAGTCTACAATGTTTCCTCTGTGAGGAGCTGCAATTCCTAACTCATTATATTAGGCTTCAAAAATCCAGTGATTATTTTGTAAAGACAAGAAACTAAAATAACTACTAAATCATTCTTGTAAATTTTAAGATCACAAGACCTCACAAAGAACTTTAGAGTTCTCTGCGGTGGTCATGGGCACTGGCATTTCAGCCGGGTTTAACTTGAAGGAATCATACAGCGTGGATGTCATTGGGACACTTCCTTTGGGGCCATTAGCAGAGAGCTGGATTGGAAGAGGAGGAGCCAGGACTCGAACCAGCACACATATAGGATGCAGGCACTGCAGGCAGAGGCTTAATCTCGTATACCACAGCACCGGCCCCACACTGTATTTTAAACCTCAAATCAGTAAATTGGTATCATGAACGTGTCACTAGCAATGATTCAATGTAAAGCTTTAACACAGTAAAAAAAAAAAAAACTCAAAGACTGAAAGAAACCTTAAAGATCATCCAGCCCATCCTAATTTTACAAAAGACTAAAAAGGGATTGCCCCAGAATACAAAGCTCCTTAGTGTCAGGCAAGCATTCAACATCACATGTATTAATTCCTAAACATAAGCTTACATTGCTAATCATGTCATAACCAACACTAAAACAATCTTTTATGTTTTAACTAAACTGTTAAGACTGCCAAAGCTCTAATGTCTATAAACAAGTGTAGAATATGAGAATAGTCCATCCAGAGTACAAATTAAGTATAAGACCAAATTTCAATGTAATATATATTTCTTTCTATAATAGATTATCCATTCACTCACATTCCCAGTAATACCTTCTATTATTTTCTATAATAGCAAAAATTTCAATCAGCTAAAATTCACAAATATCCATGAGAAATTCCTGACATATCATATACTTATCAATCCCTAAAAAAAAAAATCCTAAACACAGTCTTATAAACATAATACTTCCCAAAATAAGTACTAAAAATTAAATTATACATGATTACCTCGTTATTGGTATAATGTAGATCCATAGACTGTCCAAAGGCAATTTTAGCTTTAGACCTCAGATCTTCCAGTTTAACTGGTCTGGGGAACTGAAGGATTCTATATGGGAAGAATTTTAAAATATTTTTATTTTCTTAGACATAAATAATATACTGGTACAGTTACCTCATTAGATAAAAAATGAAACTACATAAATGCTCACTTTTGTTAAACATCAAAACAGATTTTAAAAAAAATATGTATTACATATGTAAGTATCCGAGAGACAAAAGAGAGAGTGAGCAAGCTCCCATCTGCTAGGTTATTCCCCAAATGCCCACAGTGGCCAAGATTCAGCCAGGCCAAGGTTACGAACCAGGCACACTACCCAGTATTCCCTTGTGGATGGCAGGGGCTCCAGTACTTGGGCCATCTTCTGCTGCTTTCCCAAGCACATTAGTAGGGAACTGGATTGAAAGTAGAACAGATGCGGCTCAGACCAGTTCTCCAATATGAGATGCCTGCATTGAAGGTAGCTGTGCTACTATGCCAGCCCCCAGGAAATTTCCTTTTGAAAATTTGTATTAGAGAGAACAAACTTCAAAGTTTTTTGAGCTTTGTATTAAAAATCTGTGCACTTGATCAAATTGTTAAAGGGTTAGGAATTTGGTCTAGTGTTAAGATGCCAGTTAGGATGCCCCATCCTACCTTAGGGTGCCTGGGTTCAATTCCTGGCCCTAGTTTCTGATTAACTTCCTGTTAATGCAGTTACTTGAGCCATCAGCACTGCCTCCTAAGATCTGCACATGAACTATCTCTGTTGCTATGTCTGCCTACCTCTGTCTCTCACTCTCCCTTTCAAATAAATAAATACTTTATTTTAATTTTAAAAATAAAGAAAGTGATTCTTTGGGGATTCAAATTTTGATGACTTTATCCTTATCCTCAACATTTTTGGGCATATGTCTCATGTAAGCATAACTCCAAAATAAATATTTTAAATGACTAAAATTTGTAATCCATGTTTTAGTATTTTCTTCCTATGTCTCAAAAGACTGGCCTGTACTGTGATCCGAGAGCATATTCTGCAAACCTGAAGACTGCCATACTAGCCCAGACACTCCAAAAGAGACAGCATGTCTGCTGTGTTCATATTACCCCTTCTAGGCCTGTCATAAGTAGGTACTCAATAAGTAGTAGTAAACTAGGTTTTTAGAATTGGGAGAACATACATTAAAGAATCTTAACAAGGAAAGCCAATTTGATAACAATTATATGATTATTATCTAGTATACTCACCTTTTTTTAGTGTTTTTGTGTAAAACACACTTAGACCTTCAAGTCATATGATTTATGAACTATGTTAAACTCCCTAAAACAGGCTTTTCATTAACTTAATGGAAAACTCATAGCAGAAATGAAATCCTATCTTCTCTAACTCCTGTAGTTTTTATTAGCAATTTTGTTATCAACTATAACTACCACCACTTTTGTACTGAGCTACAAATACCAAGAGGAAGACTAGGTTTAAATCTCTGCTAAATAATTTATAGTCACTGTTCTAACTCAGTGTCCCCAACATTACTAATGAAATACATAAAGTCTCTGGAGAATAATCAAAATTGTGAACATTAAGTCCATAAACTCTATATAGCACAGAGGGATGATACAATTATGGGAAGGAGAAATCTTTAATTTCCACTGAGTAAAAATAAAATGGAATTATGATATTTAAAGCTGCCTTGTTCAGTGACCTTATTTCTCTTCTCTTCTAATACTGAAAAGTAAAATCATTAATCACTTCTAATATCAAGCCTAAAATTTTGACAGATTCTATTTTGTAGTCCAAGCACATGTTACATATTACCAAGTACCACTCCATTCTCAATTTATAAGCCACGAAATTTCAAACAAAATTGGAAAGAACCTCGCTAATCAGTACACAGGCTTGATTAAATCAATTAAATGCCATGTAATGTTTTCTTCCTTACCTTTTTTCTCCTCTGTGTTCAAATTTGACCCGGACATCATTCTGTAATGAATTGACAAGTCAGTCATCTAATCATTCAAAGATCAGATAAAATTTTTAGCATTTCTAAACAAATTTTTCTTAGCCACTCATTTAAAATACAGCAGAAGGGCAAAGATTTTTCATTTTCAGTATCAGCTCCAATCAATTGACAGTGTCTGTCAAAAAGGTGAGATGAGAATTATATGTTTCTGGCCGGCGCCAAGGCTCAATAGGCTAATCCTCCGTCTGCAGCACCGGCACACCAGGTTCTAGTCCCGGTTGGGGCCCCAGATTCTGTCCCGGTTGCCCCTCTTCCAGGCCAGCTCTCTGCTGTGGCCAGGAAGTGCAGTGGAGGATGGCCCAAGTCCTTGGGCCCTGCACCCCATGGGAGACCAGGAAAAGCACCTGGCTCCTGGCTTCGGATCAGCGCGGTGCGCTGACCGTGGCAGCCATTTGAGGGTGAACCAACAGAAAAAGAAGACCTTTCTCTCTCTCTCTCTCTCTCTCTCTCTCACTGTCCACTCTGCCTGTCAAAAAAAAAAAAAAAAAAAAGAATTAAAGAATTATATGTTTCTGACTCTGGACTCAACAGGAAAGAGCTCCAGGATCTACTTAATGAAGGCATTAAGACTATTAGGCATTTGCAGGTCCTGTTGCAGGGAATGTGGAATACTGTACTTATACTTTTCATGCTGGGAATCCCAAATTAATTTCACTTGTAAGCATCAAAATCACCCTCATCCTATTTGCAAAAAAAAACCAAAATAAAACTACAAAACAATTTGCTTATCTTAAGTGCCTGAGGAATGGATTAAGTATGGGCTTTGGAGAACAGTTACTTTGTTAAATTAAACGGTATATTTTCCCCAAATATATAATAAATAACAATAGTTGATTCAAAAGTATAAAAGCTGAATACTCTAAACAAGTCCTCTGTAAGAACAGGATATTAAAGGAAAATAATTCATAGGACAACAAAATAAACTTTAAAAAATACCTGTTTTTTTGGTGATGAAGATTTTGCCTTTCTGGTTTCCTGTAAGGATAGTGCTGGCCGACTTGCCTTGTGAAGGACAGCCAGATCTTGCATGATTGAGTTCAAAGCCTGCTGATCATCTAGAGATTCTTAAAATTACATATGTAGAATTGTAATTTCAACATATATTTATCACAGGCCTCAAATACAAAACATTAAATAAAATCTAATGTAAAAAAGCATTAGTTTAACATAAAATACATCTAAAACATTTTTATGCTATACCTACAGTGAAATGAAACTTTACTTAAAAACTGAACATAAACAAAAGAACTCTGAAAACAAGTAAGACTAAAACTGCACTAGACTCAAGCTATAGCATCAGACACACAACAGATCTATAAAAGCAAAATAAAGTCATTCTGATTCTTCTAATGACTTAAAATCCTAGATAGGAGTCAAAATGGCTCTGGAATAGCAAATTATTTTTTATGACTCCTAAACATAACATCAACCAGATATCTAAAATCTTAATAAAATCAGGGGAGAGGAGAGTATATAAATACATAATCATTTAACATTCGTATGCAAAGAAGAAACTTCATGTTAGGCCTTTTTCTTCTTTCATCAATATTTAAGAGTCAGAAATAAAGAAAAGTATCATCTACAGACACTGGACAACTGAAACCTAGACGTATAAGCTCAAACTCGTTCACATATGACAAACTAGTTAATGATATTTGTCAGCAACAAGTTAAAAGGTAACGTGGTAAGAAAAATCCATTCCTTAGAAAAAGTACTGAAATGGTAAAACTAAGAGAAAGATCATGAATCATGAACTGTTTTGGTCTCTTCCAAATACATCAAAGATTTCTTTCTGAGACGTTAAGCATGCACCTCAATTAGAAGCTCTCTTGAAGATTTCAGGAACACCTTAATTGATTTTCACTAGAGTAAATCAATCCTAGTGATAATCAACAGTTGATAAATGAAAGAATCAAAAGCCTTTATAGTTTATATTCTAAAATGTTAGCATTATGGTGACCAATAATTTATGTTCCTAAAGTAATAATTAATACATGCTATATATCTAAGGGAAATCATTCATATTAATCTAACAATTCCACAGTTCTAACAGTCTTTTTTTTTTCTTTTTTCTTTTTAGATTATTTTATACTTATTTGAAAGGGAGAGTTAGAGAGCACCCACGCTGTACTTCTAATCGGTGTTCTACTTCCCAAATGGCCACAACAGCAGAGGCTGGGCCAGGCCAAAGCCAGGAGCATGGAACTCCATCTGAGTCTCCCATGTGAGTGCGGGGCCCAAGGACTGGGACCATCTTTCACTGCTTTCCCAGACATATTAGCAAGGAGCTAGCTTGGAAGTAGAGCAGCCAGGATAAGAGCCAGTCCCCATTCTGGGATGCCAGCCCCAACCTAACAGCCTTTCAGACACACAAATACCTGACTTATCCAGTACCATCAATAGGCCTCTTCTTACTACATCAATTATTTAATAACTTCTCTTTCAGTCTAATAAGTTCAGAATGATCCTAACTGGAATACAATAATTTGATGTGACCTTCTTGAATAAGAGTCTTAATTCTATATTGGGGGTGAGGGGAACTCCTAATACTTAAAGGTAACTATGTTGTTCTAATTATCCTATTAGAAAAAACAACTGAATCTTTTTCTATTTTTTTTTTTTTAATTTTTATTTTTTGACAGGCAGAGTGGACAGTGAGAGAGAGAGACAGAGAGAAAGGTCTTCCTTTGCCGTTGGTTCACCCTCCAATGGCCGCCACGGCCGGCGCACCGCACTGATCCGATGGCAGGAGCCAGGTACTTATCCTGGTCTCCCATGGGGTGCAGGGCCCAAGCACTTGGGCCACCCTCCACTGCACTCCCTGGCCACAGCAGAAAAACAACTGAATTTTTTAAAGATTTATTTACTTATTGGAGAACCAGAGTTACAGAGAGAGAGAGAGGAAAAGACACGGAGAGGTCTACCATCTGCTGGTTCACTCCCCAAATGGCCACAATGGCTGGGCCTGAGCCAATCTGAAGCCAGGAGCCAAGAGCTTCTTCTGGGTCTCCTATTGTGGGTGGGTAAAAGGACTCAAGCACCTCAGCCATCTTCCACTGCCTTCCCAGGCCATTAGCAGGAAGCTAGATCAGAAGTGGAGGAGCCAGGCCTCAAATCAGCACCCAAATGGGATGCCAATGCTACAGGCAAAGGCTTAACCTATTAGGCAACAGTGCCAGGCCATTTTGATATGTTTAGTATCAATATCACAATGCCAAAATAAATAAATGTCAGAGAAGGCTTTTGCTAAAATCTCTTATCGCATTTATATATATTTCCTTGCTTTAAAAAAAGAGCATGGTTTTCTATAATAAATGCAAAAAAGGAGAGAGTCATCTGAATAAAAGTTCAGCCCTCAGGAAGATGATGCATAAAACAAAGGATAATTTAACTGAGGTTCTTTCTTTGTGCTGGTGTGAACGATCCATGAAACTTAAGACTTATTTTAAGGAGACAGATAAAACGGGAGCTAACAAATTGACATAAGATCAAGCATAATGATGAAACTATTACGCTCAAACCATAATGAGCATTGTTCTAACAATTCTTTTTATTATTTTTTTCCCCAAAGAAACCTTTTATTTAAGGAATATAAACTTCATGCATTTCCTAAGTACAAGTTTAGAGTATAGTGATTCTTCCCACCATACCTGCCCTCCCACCCCACCTCCTCTCCCATTCCCAGTCCCATTCTCCACTAACATCCATTTTCGATTAACTTTAAACACAGGAGACCAACTCTATGCTAAGTAAAGAGTTCAACATTTGCATGAGGAAAAAAAAAAAAAAAAAACTGGTCCTCAACAGTCCAGACAGGACTCAATTAAGAATCTCTAGTGGGCTGGCACTGTGGCATAGTGGGTAAAGCCGCCTGCAGTTTCCAGCATCCCAAATGGGACCTGGTTCAGGTCCCTGCCCCTCCACTTTCAATCCAACTCTCTGCTATGACAATAGAAGATGGCCCAGGTCCTTGGACCTCTGCACCTGTGTGGGAGACCCGGAAGAAGCTCCTGGCTCCTGGCTTCAGATTGGCACAGCTCCGGCCATCGCGGCCAATCGGGGAGTGAAGCAGCAGATGGAAGACCTCTCTTTCTCTGCTTCTCCTTCTCTCTCTGTTTAACTCTGACTTTCAAATAAAAATAAATAAATCTTTAAAAAGATTTATGGAGAAGTGGGATTAAAAGATAAGTTTAAAAAAAAAAAAAAAAAAAAAAAAAAAAACCTCTGGGGCAGGCATTGAGCCTAGCAGTTAACAGGCCCATGTTCCCTACTGAAGTACCTAGGTTCATATAGCTCTGGCTTCTGCTAATGCAGACTATAGGAGCCAGCAGAGCTGGTCCAAGTAACTTCCCACTCACATGTAAATCCCAGACTGAGTTACCAGCTTTGGCTCTAGTCAGGGGCCAATGGGTGTTCTCTACCAAATAAATATTAAAAAAAAAAAAAAAAGAGAGAGAGAGAGAGAGATCCCTGTGGTGGTCACAGGGTACCAGTCAGGTTAGGCAGATGATATATGGATGATAAATGTCCTAAAGATCATGAGTTGACTCAATTAGGCAGTGAGGACACCAGTGGATCCCAGACTCTGATGCAGTAGTGGGTTTCTGACATATGACATATGACAACATTTAACTGAGTACAAAGCACAGAAAATATTTGGGAAATAAATTCAAATAAAATCTCTTACCAGAAATACTGCATTAAATCTCATATGCTCATTTGTTATATCTGAAAAATACTATGACTATCCTCAATGAAAAGCTCAACTGTAATTCACACTTTTAAATAACCCTAGTTGTCTGTGACTTCTTTTATACATTTTTTTAAGCAATAAATGTTCTTTGCTTTGTTACTGAATTGCAGTACTATTCAAGAATGATGACAGAAATCAATTTAATATATAACTCAGAACGCAAGGGAGAGCAAATAAAATGAAAAGTTGATAGGAATTCAGTAAGAAAGGAAAGAGCAGGGGAGAGGAGGAGGAAGGAAGTAAGGAAGGGCTGGCACTGTGGCATGGCAAGTAAAGCTGCCGCATGCAGTGCCAGCATCCCATATGGGCACCAGTTTGAGTCCTGGCTGTTCCACTTCCTATACAGCTCCCTGCTAATGCACCTGGGAAAGCAGCAGAAGATGGCCCAAGTGTTTGGGTCCCTGCACCCATGTGGGAGACCCAGAAAAAGTCCTGGCTCCTGGCTTCAGCCTGGCCCAGTCCTGGCTGTTGCAGCCATCTGGGGAGTGAACCAGCAGATGGAATATCTCTCTCTCTCTCTCTGTATAACTCCGACTTTCAAATAACTAAATAAATCTTTAAAAAAAGAAAGAAAGGAGGGAGGGAGGCAGGAGGAAGGAGAAAGAGAGAGAAAAGCAAAAAGTATACCCAATCTAGAGCTGAAGATGAAGCTAACTAGTGTGGAGGATCTGGACAAGAAAACAAGGTGCTCAAGGCAACTAAGAGAATGTCGGAGGCTGGCACTGCGGTGTAGCAGATAAAGCTACTGCTGGCAGTGCCGGCATCCCATATGGGTGCCAGTTCGAGTCCTGGCTCCTCTACTTCTGATCCAGCTCTCTGCTATGACCTAGGAAAGCAGTAGAAGAAGGCCCAAGTCCTTGGGCCCCTGCACCCACATGGGAGACCTGGAAGAAGCTTGTGGCTTCAGATCAACCCGGCTCTGGCCGTTGCCGTCATCTGGGGAGTGAATCAGCAGATGGAAAATCTCTCTCTCTCTCTCTGCCTCTGCCTCTCTGTAACTCTGCCTTTCAAATAAAATAAATAAAATCTTTTAAAAAAGAAAAAAGAGAGAGAGAATGTGCGGGAGACTGAAAAAGGTAGGAAAGTGAAGTTTTGGCTTACACACATGCCACAAGTACACACAGTGTGGCACCTCTTCACAAAAGAACATGGGTAGGAGTGTGCAGCAGTTACATTGCTTCCTGGGATGTCTGCATTCGGTATCAGAGTGCCAGGTTGTTTTTTTCTTTAATGTAAGAATTTCTCTTTTTTTTTTTTTTTTAAGATTCAATTATTTATTTGAAAGGCAGAGTTACAGAAATGCAGAAGCAAAGGCAGAGGTGAAAGAGATCTTCTATCCGCTAGTTCACTCCCCAAATGGCCACAATGGGGGGGCCAATCCAAAGCCAGGAGCTTCCTCCAGGTCTCCTACACAGGTGCAGGGACCTAAGTACTTGGGCCATCATCTACTGCTTTTCCAGGCCATAGCAGAGAGCTGAATCGGAAGTGAAGCAGCCAGGACTCGAACCTGTGCGCAAATGGGATGCCGGCACTGCAGGCGGTAGATTTACCTGCTAGGCCACAGAACTGGCCCCAGAGTGCCTAGGTTTGAGTCTCAGCTCTGCTCTCAGTTCCAGCTTCCTGATAATTCACACCTTGGGAAGCAGCAGGTGATGGCTCAAGTACTTGGGTAACTGCTATCCACATGGGAGACCAAGACTGAATTCTGAGCTCCTGCCTTCCGTCTAGCATAGCTGTTGTAGGCATTAGAGAAATGAGCTAGCAGTTGGGAGAAATCTCTCTCTGCCTCTCAAATACAGAAAAATTAATTAACCAATTTTTTTTTTTTGGAAACAAAGAACATGAGTAAATTTAAGCTTAAAGTAGTCATCTCCAAGCCATACAATTAACACAAACACTGCCTGATGGAAAATCTATTAAGAAAAAATATAAATTCTCACATCAAAAATTTCTTTATAAATGGGCCTATCATAACAAGTAATACAGGAAAATTTGCCCCTCCCCCATACCATCCTTTAACTATAGCTGACAATGCTTTTGGTTTGAACTTACCCATCATGGCAACTGGTTCAACAATTTGAAAATTAGGAAAATGGTTCTTCTGTCAGCATTCTTTATTGCCTTTGGGGATGATAAAAAAAAAAAGATAAATGTATTAGTAAGAAGAAACAAATGAGGCAGCCACACACACAAAAAGTCAGTATAAATAATATTAATGAGGGGGGCTGGCACTGTGCCTCAGTAGGGTAAGCCTTAGCCTGAGGTGCCAGCATCCCATACGGGCAGCAGTTTTTGTCTGGGCTGCTCCTCTTCCAATATAGCTCTCTGTTAATGGCCCGGGGAAGCAATGGAAGGTGGTCCAAGTGCTTCGGCCCCTGTAACTGCATGGGAGACCCGGAAGAAGCTCCTGACCCCTGGCTTCAGATCAGCCCAGCTCTGGCCGGTGCATTGATTTGGGGAGTGAACCAGTAGATGGAAGACCATCTCTCTCTCTGTCATTCCCTCTCCCTGTCTGTAACACTACTTCTCAAATAAATAAATAAACTCTTAAAAAATAACATTAATAAGAAATATATAATATGACTACTTTACACATTCTGCTGGGAAGAGGTGATTTACACTGGGGACTGATTAACTCATAAAAAATTCTAGACTCCCGGGAAAAAAGCACACATTCAGCATAAACCAGTGTTTCTACAAACAGTTAGGCACAGTGAATTGTTATCAGTTAAAAAGGTTGGAACCCTCCCAAAACTCAAGTGTCAGCCAAGGGCCGGCCTTGCTGACCTTGAAAACTAGGCCTTTGTAAGGATAAGCAGCCATCAGATCTGTTATATTAAAACTTTTCTAGATAAGCAGCAACAGGAAACTTCCACATTGGTTTAAAGAAACTGCATAAAGGGCTGGCGCCGCGGCTCAGCAGGCTAATCCTCCGCCTTGCGGCGCCGGCACACTGGGTTCTAGTCCCAGCCGGAGCACCAACGTTGGGTGAACCAACGGCAAAGGAAGACCTTTCTCTCTGTCTCTCTCACTGTCTACTCTGCCTGTCAAAAAAAAAAACAAAAACAAAAACAAAAAAACAAAAAAAATACAACAACTGCATAAAGCAGTAATTATATCTGTTTTTCCAGGCATACAACTTATAATTATATAATTTACATAAAAGTAACAGTACAAAGGAGAAAAGAATGGACTTATTGAAAGTGTTTATAAACTAATGCAATTAAGTTGGTATTAACCTAAACTACATGGTTATCAATTAAGGTATTAATAGTAATACCCAGATCAACAACCAAAAAAACCTTTTTAAAATATAGTAAGCGGGGCATCTGGCCTAGCAGTTCAGATGCCGAAGCCAGTTAGGATGCCTGTGTCCCTCATCCAAGTGCCTGGGTTTGATTCCTAACTCCAGCTCCTACAAGTGCAGACCCTGGGAGGTTGCAGTGATGTCTCAAATAGTTGGGTTCCTGCCAACCACACAGGAGGCCTGAAGAACATTCCTAGCTCCTAACTTCAGCCCCCAGATCACTGCAGGCATTTGGGAAGAGAATCAGCACATGGGAGCACTCGTTCTCGGTCTGCCACTCAAATGAAAAACATACACGTGTTTTTATTATATATATCATGAAATATATGTAACATTAATATATAAAACATATAAAATGTTTTATGATATATATCAAAAGAAACAAAAAATTTTTTATGATACATATCAAAAGAAAAGAATTAAAAGTATACACTAGTAGGGCCGGCGCTGTGGCGTAGCGGGTTAATGCCCTGGCCTGAAGCGCCGGCATCCCATATGGGAGCCGGTTTGAGACCCGGCTGCTCCACTTCCGATCCAGCTCTATGCTATTGCCTGGGAAAACAGAAGATGATCCAAGTACTTGGTCCCCTGCACCCACACGGGAGACCCGCAAGAAGCTCCTGGCTCCTGGCTTCGGCCGTTGCGGCCAACTGGGGAGTAAACCATCGCATGGAAGACCTCTTTCTCTCTCTCTGCCTCTCCTCTGTGTAACTCTTTCAAATAAATAAATATATCTTTAAAAAAAATTACACACTAGAAAACACCTATGTGATATAAAAGGCAATAATGGAAAAATTGACGAACAAAACTAGAAAATGCCAGACATAATCAGACCTTAAATTACACTAAGTATAAATGGAAGGAACAAAGGCACAGATTAATAGAATAAAAAAATATAACTATATATTATCTATAACAGACATACTTTAAATTCAAAGACTAGAGATTCAAAGATTCAAACAGGTTCAAAGTTAAAGAAAACACTATGCAAAGTAGCCAGCGGCCTGAACTGGCTATACAAACAAAACAACAATCATTCACTGGTTCACTCTCCAAAAGACCGCAATGGCTGGGATTGGGCAGGGGCCAAAGCCAGGAGATGTGAACACAATCCAGATCTCCCACCTAGATGAAATAGGCAAATTCCTAAAAAAGAAACAACCGGAGCGGACGCTGTGGCGCAGTGGGTTAATGCCCTGGCCTGAAACACCAGCATCCCATATGGGTGCCAGTTCTAGTCCCGGCTGCTCCACTCCCGATCCAGCTCTTTGGCCTGGGAAAGCAATAGAAGATGGCCCAAATCCTTGGACCCCTGCACCCGCGTGGGAGAACTGGAGGAAGCTCCTGGCTCCTGGCTTCGGAGTGGTGCAGCTCCGGCCATTGTGGCCAATTAGGGAGTGAACCATCGGATGGAAGACCTCTCTCTCTCTTTCTGCCTCTCCTACTTTCAAATAAATAAATAAATCTAAAAAAAAAAAAAAACCTACCAAAACAGATTCAAAAGGCAACAGATTTTGACAAACCTAGAAAAAAAAAAAAAGACTTGGAAATAAACAAAAAAGTTCTCATGATTTCTCATATCCTTTACCAGATGCCTTCAAAGATCCAAACAAATTAATACTAATTATTACTCCAAAATGGGAGGAATACTTCCCAATTCACGCTGAAGACAGTAGTACTCTAATACCAAATGTAAACAAAGATATCACCAAATAAAACTAAGAGATCAATAACTCTTATAGGGATAGATACAAAAAGTCCTCAACAAAATACTAGCAGACCTAATCCGAAACATTAAAAAGGAGTGCATGCATAAACGTGTGAGATATGGTCAACAAAAGCAAGGCAGATTCTGCATACAAAAATCAACATAATAAGCCACATAAATAGAATAAAAGAGAAAAAAAACAACATGAGGATACAGAAAACGTAGAAGCCAAATTTCAACGTCCTTTAATGCTTAAAAGACAACCTCATGTTGATAAATAGCATCTATGAAAAACCCACAACTAACACCATTCCTAATAGTGAAAGACTGGATTTTCCCCCTAAGATCAGAAACAATACAAAGATGTCCACTCTCTTGCCACTTCTATTTAATACTGTATCAGAGGTTCTAGTCAGAATATGAGGCAAGAAAATGAAATGAAAGGAATGCAGATTGGATAAGTAAAAATATTCAGGGGCCGGCGCTGTGGCATAGCAGGTAAAGCTGCCACCTGCAATGCCAGCATCCCATATGGGTGGCGATTTGAGTCCCGGCTGCTCTACTTCCAATCCAGCTTTCTGCTATGGCCTGGGAAAGCAGTAGAAGATGGCCCAAGTCCTTGGGCCCCTGCAACCACGTGAGAGATCCAGAAGAAGCTCCTGGCTCCTGGCTTCAGATCAGCACAGCTTTGGCTGTTGCAGCCAATTGTGAACCATCGGATGGAAGACCTTTTTCTCTCTTTTCTCTCTCTGCCTCTCCTTCTCTCTCTGTATTTCAAGTAAACTCTGAATTTCAAGTAAATAAATAAATCTTCAAAAAATATATTTACAGGTTGACAAAATCCTATCACAGAATATTATAAGATATTCACAGAACACTATTAAAACTGATAAGTAAGTTCAGTATATTTGCAGGCCACAAGAGCAATGGTGAAAATTCAGCTGTGGGACAGGTGTTTAGCCTAGCAGTCAAGGCTCCAGTTAAGACATCTACATCCCACACTGGAGTGCCTGGGTCTTACAGTCAGCTCCAGCTCCTAACTAACTTCCTGCTAATGCAGACTCTCAGGGGCTGCAATGATGGTTCAGGGTGAATCAGTGGATGGAAGATTTCTCTTTCTGCCTTTCAAATATATAGATAAATCTTTTAAAAAAATAAAGTAGAGCTAAATATACAGAAAGACCTAAATCTACAAAGCTCTTAAAGGAACAGATGCATAAAGCTTTGGAAAATTAGGCAGTAATTTCTTAAATATGACACCAGAAGCACAATAAAAGAAAAAATAATTAGACTTCTTCAATATTAAAAATTTTTGTGTGTCAAAGGATACTATCAAGATAGTGAAAAGACAGTCCATAGAATGGGAGAAAATATGTGCAAATCATGTATCTGATAAGAATTTATAAAGATCTATAAATAATATAAAAGGAACTATTAAAACTCAACAAAACAACTAATCGAATTATGAAATGGGCAAAGGATTTCACTAGAGGTTCATCCAAAGATACACAATGGTCAATAAGCACTTGAAATTATGCTCAATATTATCCGTCATGAGCGAAAGGGCACTTCATACTCAGCAGGAGGGCTATAATTTAAAACACAATGTCAAATGGTGGTATGATATAAGAAACACAAATTGCTATTTCCATGCCTATATACACCCAAGAGAATTCATAACACACTTGTAGAACTCCATTAAAAAACCTGAATACTACATTCAATGGCACAGCATTATTTACAACAGCGTGAGGTGTGGAAATTGAAACGTCCATCAATATGACTCAGTCAAAAATGGAGCAAAGTACAGATGCATGCTTCAACAGGCATAAACCTTGAGAACACTTTTAGGTGCAATAAGGTCATAGATTAATTATTTCACTTATATGAAATGTCCAAAATAAGTAAATCTATAGAGACTAGGGAAAATAAGTGGTTTTCTAGAGCTAGAGTATGAGAAATAGGGAATAACTATGGAAAGGCACAATGTGTCTTTTGGAGGCGATAAGGATTTCTGGAATTAGTAATTAGTGGTGACAGTATGTGGTGGAATGAGAAGGCCATGCCAAGATGAATGCTGGCAAACGAGCGTCAGTTACTCAGGAA